TAATGATCAAACTAATTACAAAGTGGATAGTGCAAAAAAAAAAAAACTTGATAAATGGAAGTTAATCACAGCAAAACAAACAAAGAAGGCGCTAGCATTGCAATTTAAATGACTAGATAATGTTAGCATAATCCTTACCATTATCTTTTTATCAACTCAAACTTTCTACTGGAAGACCACGACATTCAAGCCAACGTTATAATTGGTCTACACTATGATCCCTGATGGTTTGATGGTGGAATTTTGCCCCTGGTATTTCATTTTCGTCTAAAGTGACAAGTGGTATTTGATTCATTTCGGCAGTGTTTGTCCGAAACATGTGGGCGGGAGTTGACAGGCGGCGGGGGCGTGTCTTAGTGACGTCATTCAGATAGTTCGCTATTCTGATGTGGTTTTTCTGAAAATGGCAAATGAACTGGATCTGTGGTGCTGTTCTCTCTGGTTATATATTTGTATACATTTCTTTGTGTATATATATATATATATGTGTATGTTCATGTATAAACTGTATCAGAATGCCAGGACAGATCCGTGCCATGTTGGAAAAACATTTGCGGCGCGGCTCTGGCTTGTGGCTGTTGTGCAGAGAGTGGTATTTCGCTTATGAAGTGATTCCGTTCGAGCTGTCCCCTCCGCACTCACGCACTTTCTCCTGTTCCACCAAACTCTGAACCACTCACAGGCTCTGAGTAAACCTCCATAAACACTGACACATCTGAGACAACCGGGGAAGACTCGGACCGGGATCCACGGAAACAAAACCACGGACAGTTACCACGTGCAGTGATAAGTCTCTCTCTGAACTCTCTCTGGTCTCTTTAGTTTCTGTCCGGTCCATCTCTCTGGTCTCTCTCTCGCTCTGGTCTCGCTCTGGTCTCTTTAGTTTCTTTCTGGTCCCTCTCTCTCTGGTCTCTCTCTCTCTGGTCCCTCTCTCTCTGGTCTCTCTCTCTCTGGTCCCTCTCTCTCTGGTCTCTCTCTCTCTGGTCCCTCTCTCTCTCTGGTCTCTCTGTCTATGGCCTCTCTGTCTCTCTGGTCTGGTCTCTTTCTCTCTGGCCTCTCTCTCTGGTCTCTCTCTCTCTCGCCTCTCTCTCTGGTATCTCTCTCTCTTGCCTCTCTCTCTGGTCTCTCTCTCTCTCTCTCTCGCCTCTCTCTCTGGTCTCTTTCTCTTGCCTCAGTCTCTCTAGTTTTTTTCTGGCCTCTCTCTCTTTTTCTGGTCCCTTTCTCTATGGCCTCTCTGTATCTGACCTCTCTCTCTCTCTCTGGTCTCTCTCTGGTCTCTTTAGTTTCTGTCTGGTCCATCTCTTTGGTCTCTCTGTGTCTGGCCTCTCTCTCTGGTCTCTCTCCACCCTCTCTCTCTGAACTCTCTCTGGTCTCTTGAGATTCTTTCTGGTCCCTCTCTCTCTCTTGCCTCTCTCTCTGGTCTCTCTCTCTTGCCTCTGTCTCTCTAGTTTCTGTCTGGCCTCTCTCTCTCTCTCTTTCTGGTCCCTCTCTCTTTGGCCTCTCTCTCTCTGATCTCCTTCTCTGGTCTCATTCTGGTCTTCCCACAGCCCTCAGTCCTGCTCCTGCACGCACGGCTTTTCACAGCTGCAGCAGCGCTCAGACCTATCACCAACAGCTCTGACACCTCTGCTCTCTCTCTCTTCAGCCGTCGTGACTTCAGGTGCTCAGACATCTCTATAACGTTTGCAGTGAGGGATATTTTTTCCAACCTTAAAACACACAGCTGCTACTTTACCCTCACAATCTCTGTATAAACCTGTACAAACACACACACACACACACACACACACAGCCCCAGACCCAGAGTGAAAAACAAGCTATTTTAGAAAATACTTGACATGCCAGATTACACATGTGCAGTCGCATCCTGCCAAGTACCCAGAGAAATGTGATCTTATTCTGGTCAGCTCCAGTCCAATGAATGACATCCTTACGCTCCTATTTGTTGAATAATGCATTTGACTCAGGGCTGGGTGTAGAGGCAGATCTGGGGGGGGAGTGGGGGGTGGAGAGGGAGGCAGCGGCGGTGGTGGTTTCTGTGGTTGTGTGTTTATTGTTGATGCTTTGTATTTATCCTCATTAATGCCACACTGATGAGAGCTGTCACTGCATCGCACGCTATGAGCCCGACCTTCCCTCGCCGCATTCAGGGCCACGAAGAAAAGTGCTTCTGCCGGAGACGGGAGGCAGATGGTCCACAGACGTCAGAGGCCGGCGACTGGAAGCGTGGTTTTATGATTTCATCTCCATGATTCAGAGCAGAAAAAAAAGCTTTGAGATACGTTTGAGTAATAATAATAATAAATAATAATAATGCATCAGATTTATACTGAGCGTTATTGGAGGCTTCACATGTCATTGTTCTTTCGCTCCAAACACGGTGGTGATGAACTAACACTATAGCCACAGCTGCCCTGGGGAGACACTGACAGAAGTGAGACAACCGGTACAGTATGTGCCATTAGCCCCTCCCACCACCACCAACCATTCACACACACACCAGACTCATTCTAGGCAATGTGGATAAATTGTCTAAGTGCCCAAGGACACAATGGTAGTTTAGCACTTTACAGCCACAACTGCCCCACTGTAGCACCTGGTGTCCCCAGAGGTCTCCCATCACAACTCGAACCAGGCCCTGCCCTGCTTAGCTACAGAGGTCTGACAGGATCAGGATTTCACCTGCAGGTATGAACAATGTCCTTCAAAGGGCGACGCGGTGGCACAATGATTAGTGCTTGTCCAGCAAGAAGGTCCTGGGTTCGATTTCACCTCCAGACCTTTCTGTGTGGAGTTTGCATGTTCTGCCCATGTCTGCGTATGATTCCTCCAGGTGCTCCGGTTTACCTTGCCACTGAAAACATGTGCAATAGGCCTGAAATAAGCCCCCTGTAGGTGACCTGCTCCCATCTCTGTGTGGAGCGAGAGACTAATGCCCAAAAAGAAAGCAATTGTAAAGCGCTTTGTGACTCTGGTCTGTTATCGGCGCTATATAAATAAAAATGACTTACTTATTCACTTATGTCCTGTGTAGGGTGAGAAAATGTCGATATCACACATAACTTAAGTTATGTACCTGATATCGGAGAATTGGATAAAAACAACCATGTAATAAATACAATAATTGATAATAGCTTTATTTAGGGGCACCAGGGAATAACTCCCAACTGTTAACGTGCATATGACGTAACAATATCAATTAATTGGCTCATTTATTGATTAAGTAATCTCATGAGTCCTTTTATTATTTAATTAGCTAATTAGTCCAATTCTCTTCAATAGAATCTGAAGGTAGTGAATTCTTTTACAAATCAGTGACCCAATTTCTGGAGTTAAAAGTACAAATATCACTTTCAGACAAAGATGGTTTTGTAGATTTAATGAAGTATACACAATACAGACTAGATATGAAATATGCAAATTGTCAAGAATAACATGAAGGAAACGTTGATTTCAAGATACATTGTTAAAATGCTAGGCTAAGGTGAGCTTAGCAAGGCCTTTGCCTATGAATGGATTGGTATAGGCTGAGGCCTGCATGTGTTCAGCCTTGGTAGGAGAAGTATTCTTTGAAGTATAGGTTTTAATAAAGCCAACAGCTGTGTGTAGCAAGAGCGCAGATTATACAACCAGAATAGCCTTGGGTGAATAGCAGTCCTTGGGTCTTGATGGCGTTGGATGGAGGCTTCTTGTCCCCAGGGCCTGGACCATGCGGCTGCCTCATGCGGTTGAACCAAGTCCTCCCACGATCCACAGTCTAGGTGCCAAAACTCAGCAACTTCTTCAGGTTGAAGCTGGAGGCTATTGAAGGGTTGTGGAAGTCCTCTCAAACGTGGAGCTGAGGTTTGAGGCCATCTAAGAGGCCCGAAGCCCCTTGGTTGCCTGAGCAGAGCCCAGGGCAGAGCCCAGGGAGGTCTCGTCACTCCGTGGTTCCCAAGCAGACTGGGTTGTCTTCCCTTGTTGTAGAGTTGTTGGGGGAAGGGTGTGGGGGGGTTTTGCCATGGCACTTATCTTAAAACATCTTGCCCACAATAAACCTGAACCACAAGGATTTACACACAGTGAGACAGAAGTTATAATATGTCTCAATATACAACAAAATGTCTTTGATTGAGGAAAGAGGTCATTTTAATTTATCCTACAAAAAGTACAGAGCTTTTTGTGTCATGGTCAGAGGGAGCAGGGGCCCGTTTCCCTCTGAGGCTCCCAGTTTATGGCGTGTTGTTTGCCTGTGTTGGCCTTTCACGACAGGAAACGTTTCAAAATGAGAGAGAACATGAGACCAGAAAGTGCTTAACAAGTGAAACCAGATAGAAACAACTAGGCATTAACATAAATAATCACAATGTATTTAAACGAGTAGAGATAAAATCCTTCAGTGAAATGCACAGCGAAAAAGTTTTTAACTTGCATGGCTTTGAAAATTGTCAGACAAGAAGCCTGTTGCACATTTTCAGGAAGACTGTTTTAGCTGCATTAATCCTAAAGGCTGCCTCCCCATGTTTAGTTCTGACTCTGGCGGCACCTGTAGAAGGTCAGTCCCTGTCAGAGAGAGACCAGAGAAAGTACAGAGAGAGAGAGCGAGACCAGAGAGAGACCAGAGAAAGTACAGAGAGAGAGAGAGACACCAGAGAGATCATTAGTGCAGTGTACCTGGCCCCTGACTGGCCCCTTGGGGGCAGACTGGAGTTGATCCTATGACTCACGCGCGTGACCGTGAGGGGGACACCTGCGGGTCTGCGCCTTTAAGAGCGCGTGAGCGCGAGCGATGGACAGCATCCGCGTGCACGCGCTTAAAGTTTATCAGGAGAAAAAGCTTCAGCAGCTGCTGGAGGATGCTGCAGGGAACCGCACGGACACAAAGGCACAGCGGCCCCGGGACAGACACGGCTGTAGGAGGCTGCCAGGAGCCCGGGACAGCAGCTGATGTAGAGCCGGTGTAGAGCCGGTGTAGAGCCGGTGTAGAGCGGTGCAGAAGCAGAGCTCTGTGTCCCGGATGGATGCAGCTGGAGCGGGACATGTCCAGGTCCAGGTCCGCGCCGCTGGTGCCTCTCGGGACCCGCGCTCTGCTGTTCGCGCTCCTCACGCTGCTCGCGGTTCTGCTGATCGTGGATGATGTCGCACAAGTGGAACGAGAATCCCAGTGAGTGTGTGTTTGTGTGTGTGTGGGTGGGTGTTTGCGTGCGCGACTTTGTACGCGTGTCTGTGTATGAGTGTGTGTGTGAGAGAGAGGTCTGGGTGTATTGTTCTCTCCGCCGGCAGTAGACTGGGTACAGGGGACAGTGAGTTTCATCACAGGACACTGGACAGACACATGTGAAACATTCACATCAAAGCAGAAATCAAAGACACACTTAACATGGGACGGGGTCGTTACACTAAAAATTGTTTGGTTACATTCATTGAAAATAATATTAATGATAAAAACCGCATGCGGAGTTGGAGGCCCTAGTCCCAAGCAGCTGCTGCCTCCTATCGCTCTTCCATTGTGTTGGATAGAGTTACTTCCAAAAAGGATCTATTTATAAAAAGTAATTTGTTACAGTTACTAATTATTTCAAACCAAAAGTAATTGTGTTTATGACTGTGTTATTGAGGGACAAAAGTAACTATGAAAACAGAAGAAAAGTAGTCTGAGGCACTCTGTTATAGTGAAAAAATAAAAGTCCTTTATTGAATGGCAGTCCATTCAATAAAGGACTTTTATTCTTTTTGACATTCTAAATCTGCTAGATTGCCCCGTCTTTGAAGAGCACCTGTTATTTATGCCTTCTACTACTCGTACCGACAGTAGCTCAGTTGGTAGAGCGTTGGCCTTCAGGCCTGAAGGTTGTGGGTTCATTTCCCACCTCTACACCTTCTCCACCAACTCCCACTGATGACTGCTGTCGTTGTGTCCTTGGGCAAGACACTTAACCCCACTTTGCCCAAAGCCCCCACTGAAAGATCAAGGCTATGCTCACACTCAGAGAGCAGCCGTCCTCCTCTGGACTCACCACCTGCAGAGGGTCAGTGAGGGGCTGGTGCTATGAGACTTGGGTGGCATCTCTGACTGCCACCCCCCTGACCCAGAAATGGATTAAAGGGTAGAAAATGGATGGATGGATGGATGGATACTACTCGTACCCTCTGCAGCACTCACCTTCCTTGCTTTAAACTTAACTATGAAAACATTTCCGTAACCGTTTGTGTCACACATTTTAGGCTTAATGATCTGTGTTTTAGCGCTCTCTATCCTGGCGTTTATATCGTGATGACCAATGCGCAGCTCCTGATTGGCTCTCGGTAACTCGTGATTTTGGCCCCACATTCCCGCTCAAATATCGTGTTCGAGTTGGCTTCGGCTTCTTCCACATTAAGGCAAACGGAGGGTGATGTCACACTCGGTCAGTCCACTCATATATGCTCTGGGGTCTGGACAACGGCGGTTTATGTACCAAGGTTCCAGCTTTGTGAAGAATGTGGCCCCGCTCCCATCGGCCCCGTGTTAAACAAACATCTCTTAAAACCATTTCTTTTTGAACGCAGACTTTAAATGATCTTATCTTTCTCTGGTCCTGAAGGAGACGGGACGGTATTTACCATGTATTTCATTGGGACATTTATGGTGTGGCCACAAACTATAAAGGCCTGTTTCCACAGTAAAAAAAGTCTAAAGCAGGACTAAAGCAGGACTAAAGCAGGACTAAAGCAGGTCTAAAGCAGGACTAAAGCAGGACTAAAGCAGGACTAAAGCAGGACTAAAGCAGGTCTAAAGCAGGACTAAAGCAGGACTAAAGCAGGTCTAAAGCAGGTCTAAAGCAGGACTAAAGCAGGGCTAAAGCAGGTCTAAAGCAGGTCTAAAGCAGGACTAAAGCAGGTCTAAAGCAAGTCCAAAGAAGGTCTTAAGCAGGTCTAAAGCAGGACTAAAGCAGGTCTAAAGCAAGTCCAAAGAAGGTCTTAAGCAGGTCTAAAGCACAACTTAAGCAGGTCTAAACCAGGTCCAAAGTATGTCTGAAGCAGGTCAAAAGCAGTTGTAAAGCAGGACTAAAGCAGGTCTAAAGCGGGTCTAAAGCAGGTCTAAAGCAGGACTAAAGCATGTCTAAAGCAGGACTAAAGCATGTCTAAAGCAGGACTAAAGCATGTCTAAAGCAGGACTAAAGCAGGTGTGAAGCAGGTGTAAAGAAGGACAAAAGCAGGACACACACACACGCACACAACCTTTTTATATTTTATTTACAATAAGAACAACAGGGCTTTGGGGGATCAAGAACAAGATGGAGGCTCTGGTTCTATTGGTAAAAGTGGAACTAAAACGGCGCCGAGAATCCTGCTGTGGAAATGGAGCAGCCTCAGTCTCCATGGAGCAGCCGGGCTACGAGCAGAGCGGCCCAGATCCACTTACAGCCGAGGGGGGAGGAGGGGGTGAGGAGGGGGTGGAGGGGGAGGAGGGGGTGGAGGGGGAGGAGGGCCCCTGGATACCCCCCTTGGATACAAGAGTCCGATTATTGACCAGTGCAAATTCTATCTATCTAACAACAAATAGAATGGCAGCAGGTGGTGGAGACATGGAGCAGGACTAAAGAAGGACTGAAGTAGGACTAAAGCAGGTCTAAAGCAGGTCTATGGCAGGTCTAAAGCAGGACTAAAGCAGGTCCAAAGCAGGTCTAAAGCAGGACTAAAGCAGGTCTAAAGCTGGCAGGACTATAGCAGGTCTAAAGCAGGACTAAAGCAAGTCCAAAGTATGTCTAAAGCAGGTCTATGGCAGGTCTAAAGCAGGTCTAAAGCAGGTCTAAAGCAGGACTAAAGCAAGACTAAAGCAGGACTAAAGCAAGTCCAATGTAGGTCTAAAGCAGGTCTAAAGCAGGTCTAAAGCAGGACTAAAACAGGACTAAAGCAGGTCTAAAACAGGACTAAAGCAAGTCTAAAGCAGGTCTAAAGCAGGACTAAAGCAGGACTAAAGCAGGTCTAAAGCAGGACTAAAGCAGGTCTAAAGCAGGACTAAAGCAGGTCTAAAGCAGGTCTAAAGCAGGACTAAAGCAGGACTAAAGCAGGTCTAAAGCAGGACTAAAGCAGGACTAAAGCAGGTCTAAAACAGGACTAAAGCAAGTCTGAAGCAGGACAAAAGCAGGTCTAAAACAGACTAAAGCAGGGCACAAAAACACAGACAGATCAGGGTCGGCTCTGTATCTCATGCGGCTCATTAAAGTGCTGCGTTCTCTCCACGGAGGCTCTAAAAATAAGTGAAACAGATGCGTGGCACTTACCCACGCTGCCTCTCTTTACCGTCTAACCTGATTTCATGTGTTTTTCAGAGGTGGGCGTGTCCACAAGAGCCCCAGGCCAATCAGGTGAGCCATATGTCAACCGTGGATCCATACTCTTAAGATGCAGTACACTTTGACATCTCGATAATAAGTTTGTTGTGTGCTCCTCATTCCTATTGTTGTGGAACTTGTGATGCAACACTGGAATTTCCCCACCGTGGGACTCTCTTACTCTTATACTGTTTTTATCCCCTTGGAGAAATGTGTCCTCTGCATTTGACCTGACATCCATTACCACTAGGACCTGTCAGGAGCAGTGGTCGCCGTGGTAACCGGGACCTAGCTCCAGAAGATTTTGCCTATTGTTTTTAGCAGCATTCTGGTCCAAGCACTGGTGCCACGAAGAACTAAAAAAGGACCAGGTTAAACGAGGACCAGGTGGAAATACTCCTGGCGACACTCGCTTCTCAACAAGAAGGTTCTGGGGTCGAATCCCGGTCGGAACAGGGCCTCTCTGAATGGAGTTTGCATGATCTCCCCGTGTCTGCGTAGGTTTCCTCTGGGCGCTAAAACCATGCACAATAGGTGTGAATGTGATGAGTGAGTGAATGGATGGTGTTTGGTCGGAGAATACGATGGACCAGTGTGTTCGACGTCTCGTTTCCGTCATCACCGTGTGGAGAAAAATGTAACAATATCTGAACTGTGAACATTGTAAAGTGCTTCGGGTGACCTTGGTCTGTAAAAATGTGCACTATAAATACGGATTACTTTCTTACTTACTCCTAATCGGGGTAGAGTAGAGCCGAGCTGAGAGGAGTAGAGTAGGGCCAAGAAGGACTGGTGGAAATGAGGCTAAAGTTTCAGATAATTAAATTTGAGATACCAACTTCCTCTGATCCCATCCAGACATGATTCCATTCCTTAATCCACTTAAAACAGTTGGTGATTTGAGTGATTTGGTGAACTTCAGCTGATAATATAAAGTGGGTTGGATGAAGTAGAAAATAAATACCTATTTGGCTCCAGTGTGAAAGAATCAGGTTTTTTCATGACGAGTTTATAAAGTGTGTTACGTGTTTGTGATCTGACGACTTCACTTAGAAAAGCAGAGATCGGTCCAAATGTTTAGTTTCTGACATTCTGAAGCCTGACGGTACGAAAGCTCTTCCTCTTCGGTGACGGCCTCTCTCTGTGGTGCTCTCAGGCTGGAGCCCACCCCTGGAGCCTCCACCGCAGTGCGTGTGGAGCCCACCCCTGGAGCCACAGCTGCAGATGGAGCCAGACCCTCGGGGAATTGGACCTTCAACCATACCCTGGCAAACACCATCAGGTCAGATCCGGTGCAGACGTCACTGACCTCATGGACACAGTGTTTCTGATGCTTTCTCCAAATCTGATGATTCTTTATCAAATAACAATTTCATTTTTAAAAACAACTAACTTTTCAATATCTTTATAACAATGATAATGCATTGTTTTTTAATACAATACATTTATTTGACAGGGACAGTACAAAAAAACATTGTCAACCACAGGTAGCCGATGTCAAGTGACAGGGTTTCTAGCCAAAGGCTAATTTTCAGCCCCCGTCCCTGGTTAAGCCTAGAGTATACTTGCGCGGCGTGGCTTACGTTAGCGGTTGCGGTGGACCTACGTAAGCACAATTGATGTTACACTGGCGCGTTCCCCTTACGGAGTTTTGAGGAGAATGTTGTAATCCCACAACAAACCACATGAGGGCGATCACGCAGGAGCGGTCCCATTTACGCTGCTACTTTGTCCTCTTCAGAACAACATTAGCAAACAAAGCTGTTTGAGTTCATTACATGTGTTTCTACTGCAGGTTTGTGTGATAGTTTTATGGATTCATTATTTTATAAGTCATTTCAACTGTGATGCTGTGAATAAAGACACAGTTATTGTTGGAAACATAGTTATTATTAAATAGTTTTCAGCACAAACAGCAAAACAATAATAGTGGTAAATATCTGACATAAACGATTTACGAGTGCAGGAGGAAAGCAACAAACGCAGCTACGATTCAAACAAAGACAGGAACAGTGCAAAACAAACGACTGCACAGTTTATAAGTTATATATATGTTAGATAGTCCACAGTCTCCTGTATATCAGGCTCTGAGCCCAAACTGCTTTTCCTTCGAAGCACAAAGCTCTCTGCTCCATAGTGCCTCGTCCATGCTCCTGCTGCAGCCGCTCCATGCTTCCTTCCAATACACACACACGGACCAATCACAGCGGAGATTCCTTGCGGCGACCCTTACGTAGTTAGAAAATTTCGATGCTGCAGGGCAGGCAACGTAAGGGCCTTGCGGTGACCAACGCGTTGCGCAAGTGACGTCACGTTACCTCCGTAAGCTCCGCGCCGCGCGACTATAAACTAGGCTTTAGGCTTTTGAAGAACAGTGAAGAAACAAGTTTAAAAAAGGGGAGAAAAGAACAACAACACATCAATAAAAATAACTGGCCCCATTGGTCCAAACTAGATCCAGTTTTAGTGCTCACACTTCTGATTTTCCTTAAGCCACTTTTTCAGTTTTGTGGAGAAAAGTCTCACGTCTGACAGTGACTTCAGCTCCGGTGGCCAAGAGTTCCACAGATGTGAGGCCTTCACTGAGACTGACCCAGAGTCGTCCGGTCCCACTGACCGCAGCTCCAGTCTGCACACCCTCACTGCTGTACCTTTGGATATCTTTACACATTACTTCAGGGGCAAATCCATTAAAACACTTAAAAATAGGGAATAGGGCTCAAAGGGAAGAGGCAGCGGGACAACCCCAAATTTATATAGTGGGGGAACGGGGGACACACGAAGAAGAAATATGAAGCTCTTCGCGAAAATTCACTGTGGTAGACCCGGCCGCTGCTACAAGCCTGCTCATCCTCGACTCATCATACCAGCAACGCCCACATCTAATCAACCAATAACCACCAGGACAGCAAGTTAAAAGCCGGAGACACCCACTTCCCAGCCTTCTGAAGTCCGCAAGGCTCCGCGTCCCTGCACCTGCTGTGGTTCGCGTGTCTCCACTGCTCTCCTCCTCTGCGGGCTCTTCTGCGGGCTGCTCCGCGGGGCCCTCCGCGGGATTTTGTGCTGCTCGTTCCTCGTGGTCTGCTGCCGCGTGCAGACGGTCTGGCGGTGCCGTGCGTGTCCCTGCCTCCGATTGGCGGTGCCGCGTTGTCCCGTTGCTTTTCCCAAGTCTCTTGGCATGTGAGTACAGTGAGTGTGCCGACCGCGGACGGATTAATCCCGGAGTCTAGGCTGCAGGCGGCTGGTTTTTGCCCTGCGCACTGGACTGCAGGCGTCAGTTTTCGCCCCGTGCTTGGTCTGCAGGCTCCGTTTTCACACGTGTTTGAGCTAACTGAGGGGCAATGCATCTTAAATGGCATCAATCTCTATTGTCTGAGGGATATAAGAGGAGCAATGTGCATTAATTCAGATTCATGTTCTGCCACTCGCAGTAAAGCCACGTTGGAAAAAATGTGCAAAGACTACCCATCGTGCTCCAGACGGCACACACCAGAACTCTTGCCACGGCGCCATCTTTACAGCATTAATCTCATTACTCGCAGGTCACTATTGTTAAATGAATGGATTTAAATTTGTCTATCTGCAGGAGGAAGGAGGGGCCATGCATTTAAATAGCTAGGTCACTAGTATTAAATTGGGTAACTAAACTGCAGTTGTTGCATTTTGAAAGTGCAGCAGAAAGAAAAAGGGCCCAATGTGAATCTGCAATGGGTTTGAAGTGGAGTTGGAGCTAATGAACGCGTGGAACAGTGATCGTTCATGCGTTCTACCATAACCAAAGCAGCAGATGGCTCCGGGGACATCTGTTATTCGCATGGGAATGTTTCGGATTCGGGTTGATTTATTTCCTCAGGTTGTTAACCAACCATGGGCATGGTTCTCTGACCGCCGCTGCTGCCAGTCTCCTACTGATGCCTGTTCCCGCTGCTGCCGTTCCTACTGATGCCTGATCCCGCTGCTGCCTGTTCCCGCTGCTGCCTGTTCCTGCTGCTCCTGCTACTACATGTGCCGCTGCTGCTGTTCCTGCCGCTGCCGCTCCGCGGGCTCCCAGGCTGCACCTGTCTCTACGGCTCGGCTCTTCAGACACGTATGTAACCTGGCTCACAGAGACAAGCGGCGCACACTGGCGTGACACGTCTGTTGTTCGTATGAATCGCATTGTGGTGCTACTGCTCCTGCTAATGCTGCTTCTGCTGCGTCATACTGCTACCGCTACTGCTGCTACTGCTGCTATTGCTGCCGCTGCCGCTTCATACTGCTACTGCTGCCGTGCTGCTGCTGCTTCTTTTACTTTGACACCTCTCTTCACTTCGCATCCTTCTACTGAAACACTAAACAGCTACAACAATATTCTACTGCTGTGGCTTTGATACAGGATTATTGCTGTTATTATCTACGGATGCTGCAACTGCTGCTGCTGCTGCTGCTGCTTCATACTGCTACTGCTGCTGCTGCTGCTGCTTCATACTGCTACTGCTGCTACTGCTTGCTGCTTCATACTGCTACTGCTGCTGCTGCTTCGTTTACTTTGCCATCTCTCTTCACTGGCATCTCTTTTACTGAAACACTGAACAGCTACAACAACATTCTACTGCTGTGGCTTTGATACAGGATTATTGCTGTTATTATCTACAGATGCTGCAGCTGCTGCTACCCACTCTCTCAGAAGCTTATCCTGCTTCTAATGGATGCAGCCCGGCTGAGTATGCCGCGCTGCGCTGAACTCGCACCTATGCTCCCAGGGTCGCTTCGGCGGTCATGCTTCATCTCTCTACTTAATCTTCTGATTCTATCAGATGCAGCCGGCCGAGTTGCTGCGCTGAGCTGTCAATCGGACTCCTAATCAAACGCATCCATACCTGTATTCTTCACTCTTCTGATCGCAGGCTCCCCATCATGCTGCCCATCCTGCAGCGGCGCTGAACTCCAGCTCATCTTCCAAGTACATGTCTGCCCTCCTCGCAGCATCTTCCTGCTCGCCTTCTATGGCTTCTCTGCATAAGCGTTTCACTACTGCTCACTCAACCTTCATGCGGTCCGAGACACGGCTTTCCCGACCATCCTACTATCCTGATTATCTACTCTCCAACCCAAGATTCTAAGCGTAAGGGCGCCTGCAAACATCAATGGCCCTCTCCGACATGTCTCTGCCCCTACAGGTCTCCGCTTCTATACGGACGCTGCCCCTTCCGTGGGTTTTGGGGGTTCTTCCAGGACCATTGGTTTGCCTGGCCGTGGCCCGCTACTTTCCACCGGAGCATCTCTTCTGCCCTACACGAAATATTCCCAGTGGTCGTGGCTGCGCGCTGTGGAATCACACGTGGCAGAGAAAGAGGATCTCTGTCATGTGTGATAATCTCGACGTAGTGGAAGCATTAAACAAAGGTCGCTCTTTTTCACCCAACTTAATGTCCCCTGACCATTTCAACCTTCATCTCAAACATTCAAAAAAATCAAAGGAGCCTGCAATATAGTAATAGCTCGCTCCGACACATCTCTCTGCTCCTACAGGTCCATGATGCGTTACACTCGCCTCCGCTGCAAAAAGGAGATTTTAACGGACCTCTCTTTCTCACTCCAGACATTCTTCCCATGACAGCAACCTGGTTCAGAGCTCAACTAAGATCCCTACTGCTCCTCTGTAAATTATCTCCCCAGCTCTACACAGCTCACTCATTCAGGACAGGCGCTGCCACGCGCGCGGCCTCGCTGGGGCTCCCCCACACCTCTCTGCAACAGCTGGGGCGCTGTTCCTCTTCGGCCTTCTCCGCCTACATCAGGCCAGACGCGTCCGCCATCCTGGCTGCACAACGGCAACTGGCTTCCTCGTAAGCTCCCGGCAAAGCAATACAAAGCAAAGTAAGTGAACCTATAAGATTCTGGTGGCGGCACGCACTTTAAAGAAACTCTGCTGCAGCGTCTGGTATCGATCGTGATGCGAGCGCTCACGTCCCAGGCAGCGTCCGGTTGATCGTGATACGAGCACTCACGTCCCGGCGCTTAAAGGCAACTCTGCCGCAACGTCTGGTATCGATCGTGATGCAAGCGCTCACGTCCCAGTCAGCGTCCGGTTGATCGTGATGCGAGCTCACGTCCCGGCGCTTAAAGGCAACTCTGCTTCAACGTCTGGTATCGATCGTGATGCGAGCGCTCACGTCCCAGGCAGCGTCCGGTTGATCGTGATACGAGCACTCACGTCCCGGCGCTTAAAGGCAACTCTGCCGCAACGTCTGGTATCGATCGTGATGCAAGCGCTCACGTCCCAGTCAGCGTCCGGTTGATCGTGATGCGAGCTCACGTCCCGGCGCTTAAAGGCAACTCTGCTTCAACGTCTGGTATCGATCGTGATGCAAGCGCTCACGTCCCATTCAGCGTCAGGTTGATCGTGATGCGAGCTCACGTCCCGGCGTTTAAAGGCAACTCTGCTTCAACGTCTGGTATCGATCGTGATGCAAGCGCTCACGTCCCAGTCAGCGTCCGGTTGATCGTGATGCGAGCTCACGTCCCGGCGCTTAAAGGCAACTCTGCTTCAACGTCTGGTATCGATCGTGATGCGAGCGCTCACGTCCCAGGCAGCGTCCGGTTGATCGTGATACGAGCACTCACGTCCCGGCACTTAAAGGCAACTCTGCCGCAACGTCTGGTATCGATCGTGATGCAAGCGCTCACGTCCCAGTCAGCGTCCGGTTGATCGTGATGCGAGCTCACGTCCCGGCGCTTAAAGGCAACTCTGCTTCAACGTCTGGTATCGATCGTGATGCAAGCGCTCACGTCCCATTCAGCGTCCGGTTGATCGTGATACGAGCACTCACGTCCCGGCACTTAAAGGCAACTCTGCCGCAACGTCTGGTATCGATCGTGATGCAAGCGCTCACGTCCCATTCAGCGTCCGGTTGATCGTGATGCGAGCTCACGTCCCGGCGCTTAAAGGCAACTCTGCTTCAACGTCTGGTATCGATCGTGATGCAAGCGCTCACGTCCCAGTCAGCGTCCGGTTGATCGTGATGCGAGCTCACGTCCCAGCGCTTAAAGGCAACTCTGCTTCAACGTCTGGTATCGATCGTGATGCAAGCGCTCACGTCCCATTCAGCGTCCGGTTGATCGTGATGCGAGCTCACGTCCCGGCGCTTAAAGGCAACTCTGCTTCAACGTCTGGTATCGATCGTGATGCAAGCGCTCACGTCCCATTCAGCGTCCGGTTGATCGTGATGCGAGCTCACGTCCCGGCGCTTAAAGGCAACTCTGCTTCAACGTCTGGTATCGATCGTGATGCAAGCGCTCACGTCCCAGTCAGCGTCCGGTTGATCGTGATGCGAGCTCACGTCCCGGCGCTTAAAGGCAACTCTGCTTCAACGTCTGGTATCGATCGTGATGCAAGCGCTCACGTCCCAGTCAGCGTCCGGTTGATCGTGATGCGAGCTCACGTCCCGGCGCTTAAAGGCAACTCTGCTTCAACGTCTGGTATCGATCGTGATGCAAGCGCTCACGTCCCAGTCAGCGTCCGGTTGATCGTGATGCGAGCTCACGTCCCGGCGCTTAAAGGCAACCCTGCTTCAACGTCTGGTATCGATCGTGATGCAAGCGCTCACGTCCCAGTCAGCGTCCGGTTGATCGTGATGCGAGCTCACGTCCCGGCGCTTAAAGGCAACTCTGCTTCAACGTCTGGTATCGATCGTGATGCAAGCGCTCACGTCCCAGGCAGCGTCCGGTTGATTGTGATGCGAGCGCTCACGTCCCGGCGCGCAAAGATAACTCTGCCCGTTTTTGGGGATTATGCGGGCGAGCAAGCGCCGCGCTCAACAGAATCTCTCCCGGGCCTGGGGCGCCAAACATGCTCAATCAACAAACTTCTAACTGCATTTTCCCTCTTGGGTCTCTCCAAAGTGAAATGAAGCTCTTCGCGAAAATTCACTGTGGTAGACCCGGCCGCTGCTACAAGCCTGCTCATCCTCGACTCATCATACCAGCAACGCCCACATCTAATCAACCAATAACCACCAGGACAGCAAGTTAAAAGCCGGAGACACCCACTTCCCAGCCTTCTGAAGTCCGCAAGCCTCCGCCGCCCCACCTCCTCCGTTTCTCATCGAAGCGTGCTTGCCTACTGCCTCTGCCGCCACCAGTGCCTAGGCCCCGGGGGGGGATTATGCGGGCGAGCAAGCGCCGCGCTCAACAGAATCTCTCCCGGGCCTGGGGCGCCAAACATGCTCAATCAACAAACTTCTAACTGCATTTTCCCTCTTGGGTCTCTCCAAAGTGAAATAAACACGGGAGTGGCTGGAGGACCAAAGCTGCACAACGAATCAAAGACCAGGACAAAAAACAATTATAAAAATAATAAAACTTGTAATAAAAATACAGTAATAACTGTAATTCACAAAACACTAAAAAAAAATACACAAAAATACACTGTAAAGTTTTGAGAGAGGTCACTAAAATTGACTTTGCTACACTAGCAAACCTAAGATCTACAATTATAGCATACTGAAGAAGCAAGAGTTAAGTACAATTTCTCTGACTTTAGCATGAAAAAGTGCAAAATATTCTAGAGCAATAAATATATAGTTGTATTTAACATCTGTACATGTTAGCAGCATGAGGTCCTGGGACAATTTATTATAGCTTTTATTAGAGCCATTGGTCCATAAAGAGGCAGATGACCAACGTCCATAAAGGTTTTCAGTGTTTTGAGTGTTCATGGTACGTCCCCTTTAATGTTCCCACAGAAAGGACATCCTGCGCTTCTTGGACCCAGTCAGGGACATGTCCATCCTGAGGGGCGCGGTCCGTCCTGGAGACACGGTCCACTACGTGTTGGACCGTCACGCCAGCACCCACATCTCCCACACTCTGTACCGGCTGCTGCCCTCGGCCCCGCCCCTCCGCCGCCAGCACCACCGCAGCTGCGCCATCGTGGGCAACTCCGGCATCCTGCTCAACAGCCACTGTGGGCCCCGCATCGACCAGCACCCCTTTGTCATCCGGTACCAGCCTCTACTATTGCACGTTTGTTGGTTTTTTATCTGTATTTTAGTTTTTGTGTTATATGGACTCTTTGTGTGTCTGAAACAAATTATTAAATACAAATTATAATAAATCTCTCTCTCACATGGATAGTGAAGTGACCAAAAGTGGTCAGGTGTGCAATGATGAATGTCCAAAACGATTAAGGTGATTTAAATGAAGTTTCACAGGTTCCACAATTGTCCACAAGATGAATCCACTGAACAAAAGACAGAAAAGCAATCACGTAGGACATGTAAACTCTAACTGCAGAAGTGCAATCAAAAACTGTTTGTCTGTTAACTCAGGCTAACCTGAAAAGTGCTATAAAAGCAATGCTTCATTATCATTATTATTATTACATGTGAAAAAGTTAAAGATGATTTCTCCTCATGCATGTCCCTGTGTGTCCCTGTGTGTCCCTGTGTCTCCCGGTGTGTCCCTGTGTGTCTCTGTGTGTCCCTGTGTGTCCCTGTGTGTCTCTGTGTGTCCCTGTGTGTCCTTGTGTCTCCCGGTGTGTCCCTGTGTGTCCCTGTGTGTCCCTGTCTGTCTTTGTGTGTCCCTGTGTGTCCCTGTGTGTCCCTGTGTCTCCCGGTGTGTCCCTGTGTGCCCCTGTGTCCCTGTGTCTTCCTGTGTCTCCCTATGTGTCCTTGTGTGTCCCTGTGTGTCCCTGTGTGTCTCTGTGTGTCTCTGTGTGTCCCTGTGTCTCCCGGTGTGTCCCTGTGTGTCCCTGTGTGTCCCTGTGTGAGGACAGATGTAACCTGGCCCCTGTGGAGGACTTCGTGGAGGACGTAGGCTCCAGGACGGACCTGGTGACCATGAACCCCTCGGTGGTGCAGCGGGCGTTTGGGGACCTGCTGACGGAGGAGTGGAGGCAGCGCTTCGCCCGCAGGCTGCAGGCTCTGGGGGGCAGCGTGCTCTGGGTGCCCGCCTTCATGGCCAAAGGAGGCGAGGAGCGTGTGGAGTGGACCCTCAACATGATCCACGAGCAGGGGCTGGACGTGCGGACCGCCGTGCCCTCTCTGAGGCTGCTGCACGCGGTCCGAGGGTGAGCGCACACACCAGACACGGCAACAGAAACACAAAACCACACATCAACACACAGGGGTTCAGTATTTACAAACAAGAGAGGATTCACAAACCAGTTGAGGGCGGGACCTGGCTCAAAAGGGTCCATGAGCACGTGTGCTGACATGCTTTTAATCTGGCTCCTTGCCGGTGGGGGTGTACCCAGAAACAGAATTATCCAATGAATTCTTATGCCGACTTTTTTCCTCTCAAAAAGGGCTTTACAGTCTGGAACAAAAGTCAGCTCTTAGCTCAACGCTACATTCCAGATGGACGTCAATCATAGACTGTAAATATTATTGGACGTTGTCACGCCTATCTCCAACATTGAAACTAATATGCCATCACTTTGGCCATCTATGGGTAGTTTCAAAATGGCCACGGGGTCTGGGAAATGTTTAAAAAACGAGCCCCAACCATTTAAAGAGCGACTAAACACCAAATCAACTTTTATTTAAACTCATAAACTGCATAAATATGTTTATTGTAGTGCTCTCTATTGACTCTGTGATTCTGTGTGACGCCAGTTGGTGTGTGTGACGTCAGTTGGTGTGTGTGTGTGATGTCAGTTAGTGTGTGTGACATCAGTTGGTGTGTGTGTGACGTCAGTTGGTGTGTGTGACATCAGTTGGTGTGTGTGGCATCAGTTGGTGTGTGTTACGTCAGTTGGTGTGTGTGACGTCAGTTGGTGTGTGTGACATCAGTTGGTGTGTGTTACGTCAGTTGGTGTGTGTGACGTCAGTTGGTGTGTGTGACGTCAGTTAGTGCGTGTGACATCAGTTGGTATGTGTGACATCAGTTGGTGTGTGTGACATCAGTTGGTGTGTGTTACGTCAGTTGGTGTGTGTGACGTCAGTTGGTGTGTGTGACGACAGTTGGTGTGTGTGACGTCAGTTGGTGTGTGTGACGTCAGTTGGTGTGTGTGACGTGCGTCTGTCTGCGACAGTGATATAAACCCATCCAACTCTCACTCATGCCCCAGCAGCAGGTTGGAGTATTCTGGTAACATCTAGTGGATTAAAATTAAATTACATCAGTAGACAACCACTGCTGCTGAGATAATTCTGTGGATTAGGTTCTTGTGTAAACAAGAGTGGAATGAGACTTTCTGGTGTGTAAACTATTGCTTTAAGCAACTGTCATTTGTGTGACAAGTGAGCTGTCAATCACAGCCAAGACCACGCCCAACTCCAAGCCCCCTTCTTGTCCCTTGGTCCCCCAGGCAACGCCCTGTTTAGAGAAAATCTTCAAATGTTGATGTGGGCGGAGTCAGGCTGGTCACAGGTGTTTAGTCGCTCTTTAAGCGAGGCAACCCATACAGTATGTGCCCCTCCCACTACCACCAATTTTCTGTCTCTGTCTAGTTTCTCCAGATTGAAGTGTATCCGTGTGTGTAGGTACTGGCTGACGCAGCACGTGCCCATCAAGCGCCCGAGTACCGGCCTCCTCATGTACACGCTGGCCACGCGCTTCTGCTCCCAGCTGCACCTCTACGGCTTCTGGCCCTTCCCCCTGGACCCCGCTGGACAGCCCGTCAAGTACCACTACTACGACCAGCTCACCTACCAGTACAGCTCCAGCACCGGCCCCCACGCCATGCCCCTGGAGTACCGCACCCTCAGGGCACTGCACAGACAGGGGGCGCTGCAGCTACACACAGGGCCCTGCATGTAGAGAGGGAGAGATACTGTGCTGAGGGAGAGAGAGAGAGAGAGAGAGAGAGAGAGAGAGAGAGAGATGGCAAATCCATGGCAAAGCTCTCTCCTCTGACCACTGCCGGTAGTTTTCTAAGTACCACCAGGGGGCGCTGTAGCATCCACTGAACATGTCTCACACTGTGGCTTTAACTGAACTGAGCAATAACAGAACATCAATGTCTCCTTCGAACGGCTTTTCCATTTTATACAAAACTGAATGTACTTATTATAAATGCATGTCTTTCTCATCTTTGTACAGTCATCTCCGCTGCGGTTTGTGAAAGAGGTGCCACAGAGCACCTCCTCCTGCACGAGGGAAAGGGCTTCTCTGTGGTCTGAAACCCAGAGCACAGGGCCTTCTCTGTGGTCTTAAAACTAGAGCACAGGGCCTTCTCTGTGGTCTTAAAACTAGAGCACAGGGCCTTCTCTGTGGTCTTAAACCCAGAGCACAGGGCCTTCTCTGTGGTCTTAAACCCAGAGCACAGGGCCTTCTCTGTGGTCTTAAACCCAGAGCACAGGGCCTTCTCTGTGGTCTGAAACCCAGAGCACAGGGCCTTCTCTGTGGTCTTAAACCCAGAGCACAGGGCCTTCTCTGTGGTCTTAAACCCAGAGCACAGGGCCTTCTCTATGATGCGAAACTGTTGCATTCAGGGCTGATTTTAGAATTATGTATTAAATGTGTAAATGGTTCAGCCCTTGTGTGTCCGACAGACTGTTGTGTGTCCGACAGACTGTTGTGTGTCTGATAGACTGTTGTGTGTCTGCTCCGCTCAGAAAACCAGCGTTTCTTGAATGTTCCAGGTCTGGTCTTCAAACTTGAGACCGAGCCTTCGCTGCTTCCAAACAGTGGTTTACCTCTGTGCAGTCGAGCAGGTTCTTAAATCCAGCCTGAAGACACATCAGTGCCTCAGCCTTTAACACCAACTCCGTTCCACCGTTTTATATTTGACATGTATTTGTGTGTATTTTAAGATGTTTTTCTTTGCACTTTGAGCGGCTGGTGTTCTTGACCTGATGGTATTCACCTTTATTAAACCAGGAAAGTCCCACTGACATTTCAGAATCAGTTTCAGGGACGTCCTGGTCTCGGAGAGAGGGGAGCTATGGTACGTTTTCAGAAGGAAGTGTTGCAAATGTGCTATACAGTTAAATCTGACATTGACATAAATGGGTTGCGAGCCTTTCAAGAAGGATTTTGCATCAGTAACCGGACTAGAACCTGGAGGTCCCATCACATTAGTCCAGTTCTCAGGTCTCTCCATGGCCTCCTGCTGATGACTCTGAGGAGCACAGGGACCGGCCTCCTGCTGATGACTCTGAGGAGCACAGGGACCGGCCTCCTGGTGGGACTCTGATGGTCCCAGAGTCAGGACTAAACATGAGGAGGCTGAAATTCCGATTAATGCAGCTAAAACCTGAAACAGTCTGAAACCTGAAACAGAATGTACTGTGATGATTGATGGTTTGAATGCTCCTTTTCTTTGAGTTGCCTTGTGTATGAACTGTGTTATACAATTAAACTTGCCTTTCCTTTCATTGCCGTTGTGGCATTTTGTCTATACCCGAGACTTTTAGAAACATACTTGTGTTGATTATTTAACCTGTGCTTTCAAACTGTTATAGGTCACTTCTCTGACTGGGATTTCAGAGGTGGCAAGTAAAGTATGTGAAGTATTTTTACTCGAGTACAGTATTTGTATTTTTGACTTCTGCTTATGACCTGTACGTGTAAATGTGAAGTTGTGTTTGTACTTGTTTTCAAATAAACGCCTCGGTTGATTGACTTAAATATGTCATTTTTACTCCTTACATTCGACCTTCTCTGTGGTCTTAAACATAGAGCACAGGGCCTTCTCTGTGGTCTTAAACCCAGAGCACAGGGCCTTCTCTGTGGTCTCAAACACAGAGCACAGGGCCTTCTTTGTGGTCTGAAACCCAGAGCACAGGGCCTTCTCTGTGGTCTTAAACACAGAGCACAGGGCCTTCTCTGTGGTCTCAAACACAGAGCACAGGGCCTTCTTTGTGGTCTGAAACCCAGAGCACAGGGCCTTCTCTGTGGTCTTAAACCCAGAGCACAGGGCCTTCTCTGTGATCTCAAACACAGAGCCTTCTCTGTGGTCTGAAACCCAGAGCACAGGGCCTTCTCTGTGGTCTTAAACCCAGAGCACAGGGCCTTCTCTGTGGTCTTAAACCCAGAGCACAGGGCCTTCTCTGTGGTCTCAAACCCAGAGCACAGGGCCTTCTCTGTGGTCTTAAACCCAGAGCACAGGGCCTTCTCTGTGGTCTTAAACCCAGAGCACAGGGCCTTCTCTGTGGTCCTAAACCCAGAGCACAGGGCCTTCTCTGTGGTCCTAAACCCAGAGCACAGGGCCTTCTCTGTGGTCTTAAACCCAGAGCACAGGGCCTTCTCTGTGGTCCTAAACCCAGAGCACAGGGCCTTCTCTGTGGTCCTAAACCCAGAGCACAGGGCCTTCTCTGTGGTCTTAGACCCAGAGCACAGGGCCTTCTCTGTGGTCTTAAACCCAGAGCACAGGGCCTTCTCTGTGGTCTTAAACCCAGAGCACAGGGCCTTCTCTGTGTTCCAAAACCATCTAAACCGTAGTTCCTGTGTTTTGAGAATCCAGATTTTTCAGACAATAAAACTCTCATTATGATAAAAACGATATATATATTTATTACATTTCCCTTAAACACATCCAGACTGCTCCTCAGAACACGTTTTCCTGATTTGAGTTCCTGAGAATAAGTCCTTGGAACTCTCTGCAGTGATACGTGTCCATAGTGTCCCATCACAGAGGACCAGAGGAGGCTTCCACAGGAGGCTGGACTGGCAGAGGTCAGAGGTCAGAGCTGTTCACCTGCAAAACAAACACTAGAGGTCAGTGTGGCGCCCAAGCAAGGTCTGTGCTCATGTGGCATTTTATACACCCTTTTACCGCATTTTATTCACAATTTTATCGCATTCTATTTACAACTTTACAGCATTTTATTCACAATTTTACCGCATTTTATTCATGATTTTACACCATTTAATTCACGATTTTACCGCATTATATTCACAATTTTAATTTTTTTAAAAGCATATTATACACTATTTTACAGCATTTTACACACAATTTTAAAGCATTTTATACACAATTTACAGCATTTTATACACAATTTTACAGCATTTTATTTACCATTTTACCGCATGTAATCATTCTGTGTTTTATTTATTAACTCTACTGGGGAGTCAAGAAATACAATCCGATCGTTTGGTGCGATGCAAAAGTCACAGATGCAAAAGAGGAGGTTCTGCATTTATTAATCTTTATTTTATTAAATTGGTCCGTATTTTAAAAGAGAAAATGCAAGACGAAACACCAGTACAAGCAGATCACAGAGAGCGAGCAGAGTTCATGTGGAGTCGGGCTGCACATGAACCTTTGAGCTGCGTTAACAGGTGGGAGGGGTTAACAAACAGGGTTAAAAAAACAAGATTTAAATGGAAATTGTTTCAAAAAGTGACTTAGATTTTATTGCTTTTGGGGAGTTGAAAAGTGAGTCACAAATTCATTTTTTTCGGGATACTTTGAGGTTTTCTATTCTATTCCATACTTTATGTACATATTTCTTGCAATGCACTGTATGTATTGTATATTTTCATTTACCTATGGACCGTATTGTTTCCGTCCTTAATCAAAATGAATAATAATAATAAAATAATATTCAAAAATGTGGGGTTTGCGTGTAGTGCCCGGTGCTGGGGCCGCAGGAGAATGCGGTAAACAGGACATGGGCCCGTTTCCTGGAGGAAGACGAGCTGCGGGACAATGGAAGAGGAATGCAACCTTCGACTCATGGTGCAATACCATGGGCTGGGCTCCCATGGTCCTCTACACCGCCTATTGTCCCAGCTTTTGTGACTGCTTTCGAGGTCTGCTGTTTGTTTTAACTTGTTGATAGATTGAATGAATGGATAGATTTTCTTTTTTGGCGTCGTCAGTAACAGGAAGTCACAAACTAGGAGTTGGCTTTGGCCCAAGGTGCAAACAGTTAAGAGTAAAAATAGATAAAAGATTAAAAAATATTCACAAAATGTCTAAAAATTACTACTATATACAAGGGCACTCTGAGTACACACAATTATACTATAATAATCCCCATTGGACAATTGTGTTCTGTTGTCGTGAGGGTTTATGTGTTTCATCCATAGACTGTAAACAGATGGACGATGCTAACCCGCTAGCTCAATGAAGCCCAATAGGGAAGTGCTCATGGTGAAGTTTTGTTCCAACTCTCTCTATTGACTCACATTGAAAAATAAGATCTTGTAGTAACCGTTTGTGTCTCACTTACTATTTTGGGCTTTGAACTTGATCCTTTTATTTATGGGGAGAAACTCCGGCTTTCCTTAGCAACCGTCTTAGCAACAAGGACTGGCCCTGTTACGGAGTGAAGCTAACGTCGCAGAAAAATTGTCCATACAAGGAAATTGGCTCCAGCTAGCTTATGTTCAAATCTGCTTCTTAACACTAGGTTGATGTCGCACAATTTCACAGAGAAAATGGTCTGGACCAAGTGGACTCTGCTGCTGGGACCTAAAGTGATGTTGCAGTTTCATACTATTACAGAACTATAACAACTTTTAGAATGATGTATTTATTTGTGTGTGTGGATGACAGGACGTAAAGGTATGAACAGAAGCCTGACCTGCACTGGTCAGAGCTGCCTGGAGGTCGTCCTGGTTCGGAGCAGGGTGGGGGTCTTCCTGGTTTAGAGAGGCCATCTCCATGCGCTCCCCGGGGGTCATCATGATGTCATATTTACGCGTCCTCCGGATCCGCCGTCCCGACCTGCACCAGGGATTATAATCAAGGATGAGGCACAAGAGAGTTCAGCAAGAGAAAGCATGTGACATCACCAGCGCTGGGTCCTGAAGTCTGATCAAAACTCTGTGTGTGTGTGTGTGTGTGAAAAGAAAGTTTATATTTTTTGTATTTGACTTTGTAATTGCCCTCAGAGAGACAGCTCCGAGTGGAAACGTGGAGGCTCCTGTCCATAGAACATGAAGGACTTCTATGAGGAGGTCCATGGACTCTTTGAACTCTTAACACTCTGCAAAGCAATGTTTTTATTGGATCATTTATCAATTTGCTGCTGTGACCCGTCCTGCTCCACCCAGCGGCTACTCCACCTCTGCCGCTGTGACCCGTCCTGCTCCACCCAGCGGCTACTCCACCTCTGCTGCTGTGACCTGTCCTGCTCCACCCAGAGGCTACTCCACCTCTGCTGCTGTGACCTGTCCATCTCCACCCAGAGGCTACTCCACCTCTGCTGCTGTGACCTGTTCTGCTCCACCCAGAGACTACTCCACCTCTGCTGCTGTGACCTGTTCTGCTCCACCCAGAGGCTACTCCACCTCTGCTGCTGTGACCTGTCCTGCTCCACCCAGCGGCTACTCCACCTCTGCTGCTGTGACCTGTTCTGCTCCACCCAGAGGCTACTCCACCTCTGCTGCTGTGACCTGTCCTGCTCCACCCAGAGGCTACTCCACCTCTGCTGCTGTGACCTGTCCATCTCCACCCAGAGGTTACTCCACCTCTGCTGCTGTGACCCGTCCTGCTCCACCCAGAGGCTACTCCACCTCTGCTGCTGTGACCCGTCCTGCTCCACCCAGCGGCTACTCCACCTCTGCTGCTGTGACCTGTCCTGCTCCACCCAGCGGCTACTCCACCTCTGCTGCTGTGACCTGTTCTGCTCCACCCAGAGGCTACTCCACCTCTGCTGCTGTGACCTGTCCTGCTCCACCCAGAGGCTACTCCACCTCTGCTGCTGTGACCTGTCCATCTCCACCCAGAGGCTACTCCACCTCTGCTGCTGTGACCTGTTCTGCTCCACCCAGAGGCTACTCCACCTCTGCTGCTGTGACCTGTCCTGCTCCACCCAGAAACTACTCCACCTCTGCTGCTGTGAACTGTCCTGCTCCACCCAGAGACTACTCCACCTCTGCCGCTGTGACCCGTCCTGCTCCACCCAGAGACTACTCCACCTCTGCTGCTGTGACCCGTCCTGCTCCACCCAGAGGCTACTCCACCTCTGCTGCTGTGACCCGTCCTGCTCCACCCAGAGGCTACTCCACCTCTGCTGCTGTGACCCGTCCTGCTCCACCCAGCGGCTACTCCACCTCTGCTGCTGTGACCCGTCCTGCTCCACCCAGAGGCTACTCCACCTCTGCTGCTGTGACCTGTTGCTTATTTTTGTTGGCTTTTTCGAAGGATCCATATATTTTTAATTTTTGCTGCTACTGGACACCTGAAGTATCTATCTTTATTGGCCCCAGAAACAACTAAACCCTGGGTCTCCATCCTATAGCTCGGGAGATACCAGTAGCTCGCCACCCTTTTCACAGTATCTCCCAAAGCATAATCTTATGAGTAAATATAAAAAAGACTGATAGATTCTGTTATGGGTAAAACACGAGAAAGAAATGCTCCCAAAAAGTTTGAAATTGCCCAAAATTGACCCAGTAGAACATGTAACACATTTGCTTTATCTGTGATGGAAATAAGACTGAAGCAGGTTGTTTTAAGAATGTCAAAATAGTTTCACATCAAGATAAAAAGTACTTTGTAGCACAACATTGTGTCGACTGTCTAAAAGGAGTAGCTCTCTGCCACTGTCATCCTGAAATAAGTAGCTCTCTAAGTGAAAAAGTTGGAGACCCCTGATCTTAACTAAATACCAGAACTAAATAAGTTCTGGTTCTAATAAATCACCGTGCTACTTCTAAGAAACTTGCAGAAGACCTGTAAAAATACTGTTTGCTTTCAATTTGTCATGCCAAATATGGAATTTACATGTTTTTTCCCACAGAATATATGAGATGACCTAAGACGGAGATGAAAGCCACAGCGGTCTCCCATCCCAGTCCTGCCCGGGGCCCCCCACATCCTGCTCCAGCAACAGGTGGTCCTCTCCCCCACGTCACACTGACCTGAGCACCTTGAGCAGCAGGCACAGCACCAGCGCGGCCGTCACTGCGCACAAGAAGAAGACCCCGGACCTCAGGCTGGGCAGGGAGCGCATGAGGGTGGACTGCCGGGAGTCGGTGGCGTTGTGTGGCGGCTGCAGGGCGCGGGTGGAGGCGCTGGAAGAGGAGTTTCGGAGCGCGGAGGAGGAAGAGATGGAGGAGGTGGAGGAGGCGGCACCGAGACTCACCTCCGCAGTTACGCACCACCAACACGTCCAGGCCACAGTGAGCGCGGACAGGGTTTTTGTAAGCGCGGACATGGTGCAGGGAGAGGGAGGAGAGGACCGTGGAGATGCAAACAGCTGTTATTAAGAGCCAAGGAACATGGTCTGTATAAAGCGTGGCTCCGGGGGGTCTCAGAGATGGACCGAGAGTGGTCCGGCTGTGACGCACTGGTTTCCCCTCAGCTCGGTGTGTCCGTGTGGAGGTGGAGGTGGAGGTGCGGAGGAGAGGAGAGTCTACAGCCGCTGAGTCTGCTCCTGCTCTGAGGAGAGGAGCCAGAGCAATCCGGGTGGAGCTTACGTCACACATACGTCGCTCACGCAAATCCGAGACGTTTTCAGGATGTGCCCTTTGGCTTTTTAACTGATGAATACCACTCAGTGAATCTGTTAATCATCTTGGGAAAATTCCACATACATAAGTTAAAAGGTTTGAATAAAATACAAAAACGAAATTAATCTAATAAAAAACCACAAAAAAAACACTCACGTTTCACATCACCCAATAGCAACACAAAACAACACTATATTAGAAATTTGAAATCCATTGTTTTTTTGTTTTTTGCAATGGGATTTTACAATAAATTTAGCTGTTTTTCTTTATTTTTTCTTCAGTAGTAAACCTGGCTCATCCGTTCATACACACACGGATAGACAGACACACACACAAATACATACACACACCCACACGCACAGGGCATAGACACACAAAAACACACGCACAAATACATACGCACACGGATACACACACACACACAGGGGATAGACACACAAAAACACAACCACACCCACACAAATACATACACTCACACACACGGATATACACACACAAGGGATAGAAACACAAAAACACACGCACACAAATACATGCACTCACACAGTCTATGACTCACACACACGGATATACACACACACACACAGGGGATAGACACACAAAAACACACCCACACAAATACATACACTCACACACACGGATATACACACACACACACACAGGGGATAGACACACAAACACACACGGATAGACACACAGACAATACATACACACACATACTGTACACCCCCACACACACACACAGGGGATAGACACACAAACACACACGGATAGACACACAGACACAATACATACACACACACACACAGGGGATAGACACAAAAACTCACATACACACAAACACACACGGATAGACACACAGACACAATACATACACCCACACACACACAGGGGATAGACACACAAAAACACACGCACACACAAATACATGCACTTACACACACGGATCTACACACACACAAACTCCAAACGAAATTTTGCATCTTTGAATATTTGCACAATGAAATTTGAACATTTTTCTTGAATATTCCTGTTAAATATTGTTGTGGATTGGACCAAAACATCCATCGATTCTCATATATAGTCTTACGGGTAATATAAAATGATAAATACACATTCCTACACAAACCTGAGTTCAACATTGTCAGTTAAACCAACCACCCATGTTTACACATCAGACGAACTTTTGTTTACGTTTGTACACTTCGTAGTGAACTTAATCCTAAAATGAAAATATCACTGAAATGTAGGTCAATTAAAGGAACTATTTCTGCTAATGATCTTAAACTGTGTGGGGCACTTGTTCTTTATTATGCTAAAGCTAGAGATTTTATACTAGCTTCTTTATTATGCTAAAGCTAGAGATTTTATACTAGCTTCTTTATTATGCTAAAGCTAGAGATTTTATACTAGCTTCTTTATTATGCTAAAGCTAGAGATTTTATACTAGCTTCTTTATTATGCTAAAGCTAGAGATTTTATACTAGCTTCTTTATTATGCTAAAGCTAGAGATTTTATACTAGCTTCTTTATTATGCTAAAGCTAGAGATGTTTATGTATTTTATTATAGAGTTATTGTTCATTTATCTTGTGCTGTGTGCTCCTCATTCCTCACGGTTCTTTAACTGGTGCAAAACTGACATTTCCCCACTGTGCACATATGAAGGATCTTAATCATAATACTGTGTGGTTTATCGACTTAAACCTCTATCATATATCTCTTGGCCTTTTTGATTGTATTTTGCTTTAACTTGTTTGCACCGAGAGCCAAAGCACTTCTTGTTACTCGCACGGCAATAAAAGGATTCTGATTCTGATCTATAAAAATCTCCATTATAATCAAACAGTAGTTTCACAGTATGTTCCCATTAAACCAGTTCTCTAAAAGTAAAGATTGTTTTGTATGTATGTGTTGTTCCACAAAATACTGTGAGAAGCCGGAACTAACATAATTTCACAGGAAGTTTTCCAACAGTAAATGGCCAACGCAAAACGACATTCAGACGTCCATCTTACAATAAAATAAATAATAATAATAATATTTGGGAAGAAAATCCATAAATATAAAAAAAGAAAACGTTTTGTTCAGTCAATTTTCAATATTTGATTTAAAATAGTAATTCAATGTATTCAATGTATTTTTGTAAAGCCCTAAATCCCAACTGTAGTTTTTTCGGAGGACATTACAAAGCTGTCGATTCGCAAGCACAGATCAGAGAATCAAACCAGCTGACCACTGTCCATAAATGTTGATAAATGTCGTTGAATGTCGAGGGTCCTGGATCATTGCATTGTCCTGAGACCCTCTTGCAATAATGGTAAAAGTCAAAACATCCAAACCGCCCACAGATAAACTTGAAAGAACAGTTTTTTCCCGATGGGATTTTGAGTGAGATTTGATCATAGGTCAGAGCAGAGGGATTTGGCGACATCTAGTGTTGAGAATATGTAACAGACTCTTCACGTGTTGACAAACTGAACAGAGAACTGCCCTCTCCACTTTTTGAACAACTCTTTGGTCTTGGTACAATTGGGAGTCTTGATGATCCACCCGGAAGTAGAAAATCCTCCTATATACCTTTAACTGTGGCAAACGTAACATTGGTCAACACTAAAACATACATTTAAAACTGATCTCAGCAAAATACTAAATAAAAAAGAAAAAAAAAAACCTTCCTTTTCTGTTTTTCCTTTACCTTTTTGGCCTCAATGAAAATGCAAAACTAAAAAATAAGATATTAACTAGAACAATCACATAAATAAAACTTTTAGCAGACCCTTGTATTGTGTGTACTGTGGTAAGTTCATGTGCAGTCACTAAGCTGTGGTTGAGGAATTTGCTTTTTTCTCTTTTGCACACTATGCATTTTTCAACCTGGAGAGACTACAAGAGACAAGATGCGTTTTTTATACGTTTTGAGAGATTTTAGGGATTGAGTTTGTTTATTGGTTTGGAGATTAGGCCCCGGCTGTGGCCGTGCTCTGAAGGGATCTGCGCCTGGGTGCAGATCATGATCCCCCGGGGACTAGACACTGGTGGCAACAAGGCAAGGTGAATGTGAGAGTGAAGAAATCCTGAGGCAGAGGTGGTTGCAGATTGAAAGTCTGTTCGATGAGCTGTCCTCTGCTTTACTTTTAAACGCTGGCTTGATCGACATGGCTCAAGGGAGGTGATGAGCTGATTATGACAAGCTGGGTGAGGCGTGGTCCAGCCTGGAGTGATAGGTATATAGTCTACCATCCTGAACCTCCGATTAAGCTTCATAATACAAAATAAAATGTATTTGGTTTAAAAAAATACATTTTTACAGAAAGATGTTCATTACAGTCTTTTTATGAGACTTCATCTTTCAGTGAATTTAGGACTGTCCATGCAGATATCATTGATGACTCTACAGATGTGATAGCTACATATTGTGAAAATATGTTTTGTTATTAAAAGAGCCGTAGCAACCTCTTAGCAAGTTACAGAGTGAAGCTAATGCCAGTAAAACGTTTCCATAGGGAAATTGGCTACAGCAAGCTTATGTTCAAATCCATTCCATACATTAAATTCAGGTCTATGAGGAGGCGGTGCTTATAAGTTAATTGACTTCCTATTAAAAACTGGTTTATCATCAACTGCTAAGATAAGATCAGATACTTTATTGATCTCACAAAGGAGACATTTACATAAATTGAGTTGACAACAGCTTGTGATGTGTTTCTATTATAAATGCACCTGTGGACTTGCCTCTATGACAAGCTGGGTTCCTGGGGGTTTTTGGGAGTGGCCCCGATACGTGGCGCTTGGCTCTGATTTCTGTGTTTTACTTTTTTTCATAGACTGTAAAAATCAACGGACGTAGTGAGGCCTATCTCTGATGTTGAAACTTATGTGTCATCACTTTTCCCTCCTGCCGTTTTAAAATCGTTGCGAGTGGCCCCTCCCACAGGAATAGCCCCATTCATTTAAAGGAGCTAGTATTGTGGTGCGTAAGGAGCGGAGGCGGTGTGTCAAACAGCGGTGACAAACGTACTTGTTTTAATGCCATAAAACAGCCAGTGTTAACATAACTCCTTGCACAACCAAAACTTTTCTAACAGGGGTGAAAACTGTGCACAGGTATATATCGTCCCCCCGGAACACCGCAAGGGTCGTTCCATGGGTGAATTATGTAAACCACCGCACTGAATGTTTAGCACCGCCAACTCGCTCAGAGGCTTCTCATTTCCCCCACGCTGTCATCCCACGGAGCCATCTAGTTGTATTTGCGAGCTGATGCTAACATTAGCATTAGCGCAACTTAAGCTGTACAACAATCACTGATGAAATGGTACAAAAGCAACGCACCGCTAACAAAATATATTACTGAAAGATTACCGCTAGTTTTGCGTCTGAATGTAGTAAGATTAAGATTAAGAGATCCTTTATTTATCCCACAGTGGGAACATTTTGGAATAGTCTGAGCATAGATAGTCCGAGCATAGGTAGTCCGAGGCGGTCCCGCAGGTCTCTCCCATAGATAAGTCTCTCCGGAGGATACGATGTAAGCTAGCTATGTTTACCCGGGCTTGGTTTCTTCTTTGATCATTTTTCCGCTTTAGTTCCCTCTTCTCTTCTTCACTGTTGTGTTGTTCGGGCTGTTTTGCTGTGTATGCAGTTACAGCCAGAGGAGTTATAGCCAGTTATGCTAACATGCGACTGTTTTTAGAGGACGCAGGCTCGTTCTGTGAGTGGAGCAGGATGATCGGCCCGCTTAGTCTCTACTCGGCACTTTTATACGGCCTGATACTTATACACAGCTGAATCAATGAGCTCAAGTTATCAATTAAATTACGGATTATAATACAACTCGTATGTAGTAATAAGCATTTTTATGAACTCATTAAAAAAAAAAAAATCGGGTATAGCATCTTTAACAAGCGCACTCAAAAGTCCACAGCAACTAAAATTGGCTGGTCTGAAAAAAAAAACTGCAGCAGTGACAGTATCTGGAACATAGCGTTGGGCCAAGAGCTGCTTTGGACCATCCTGTAAAGCAGTTTTAGAGAGGAAAAAAGTCGACATAAGAATAAGATAATTCTGTTTCCGGGTACAACACCATCAGCACGTAGTCAGATTACAAACTTGTGTACAAGCCGGGACCCCCCACTGGTTTTGTCCCATCTACAATTGGAAGTCCTTGACCTAAACATTATTTAAGATAAGATAGGATAAACCTTTATTAGTCTCACAGTGGAGACATTTAATTTTATTCCATTTATTCTTCCTCTGTATTGTAACGTGCACCTAAAGTGTGTCCACACTTGATGTAAACCCTAAGTGTAACTTGTGCTTGTTGCTTGTACAATAAAAATACTATTATTGAAAAAAAGGGTTTCAATGAATATAATGATGTCATTATTAATGTCGGGAGAAATAATGTGTATATAACTAGTCCGGGCTGAAACCATGTATGTATTATAGCTGAAACAGAACATGGATGTATGGACGGTAGACTGTGTCGCAGTGGGTCTGACGTGGGCAGGACGTGGGCAGGACGTGGGCAGAGCCAGCAGGAGGATAAGAGCTGAGGCACAGAGAGGAGGCGGTACTAGCAGCGGACCAGCCGAGGAGAGAGCACTGCAGAGCGGCCACACACACCACCGAGACCCGCCAGAGAACAGGCCCCAGAGCGGCAAAATGCAGCTCCCAGGGCGGCCCGGAGCCCCCAGCCCGCGGAGGAGCAGGAGGAGACCCAGGAGCGGCCGGACTGGGTGAGTGTACCTCGACTTAGAGCCTTTCCCCGCGGTCTGCAGCTCTCAGGCTGCAGCCAAGATGGAGGCGAAACGACAGCCACTGCAGTGCTCAACCAAAATGGCCATGGTCTCCTTCTGCGTACAATAAAAACTGCTTTTTAGACTTTATTCTGCCGTGTGCTGTACTGCAGTCGTGACCATGTGTGCATCTGGTGTTTATGTCCATGTTCACCGTGTGTTTGGGTCCAAATCTCTGTCCATTTTCATCCTTTTTGAGTTTTCCTTTAACTGCGCAGTTAATATTTCCTTTGTCCTTGAAAGGGCAAACGCCCTGCTCTGAAATTTGATCAAAAATCCCCTAAAATCCTATTCAGACGATTGAAAAAGTTATGTGATCTTATTTGAACAACATTTAACATTTCTCAAGAGTTACAAGTTTATTTTAAGACATTTTGATATTTTTGACTGTTTTTAAATTTTCAAAAATTAAGAATGAAAAGAAATCTCGTACTTTTCTCCATGTTACAAAATGTAGGCAATCTTTCTGTAGGCTGAAATGTCCTTTTTTATAAAAGTGTTTGCATTTAAATACATATTTTAATGGTCCTAATTAAACCTTTTTTACAGATTGAAAAAATATCTGAATAAAATAAACTCCATGTAAGCCTTGTGAAGGTTGTAGTGGGTTTATACTTTAAACATCTTAGATTTACTTACAAATAGTAAATGGGGTGTTGGCTTTTAACCCTTTAAGACACTGACAAAGAGACCATTATATAATTAAAAAATATTACATCAATTTTTCAGTTCACAAAAGATCCTTCAGAATGCATCACATTAACCAATGTTTTAAACAATCTCAATATAAAGCGCAGAATGTAAAAGTATTATCAGGCTTTTGAACGAATAGTGTCTGGAAGGTAGTTGACGATGGAGTTATTTTAAAGAACCATTACAGTAGATTAAATAAAATCCCCCAAAACACTTGAATGTTAGTTGAAACAATTTTTAGTATTAAAACATATTCATTTTTAAATTGCTTTTGTCAAGTAAAACAAAAGCTGAGTTTTCACTTTATTTAGGTTAGTAAGAAACCATAAGTAACGTGGTTTTATCTTTTGCAGGTGCACATATGACGTTCCATAGATTTGTACGAAGACTTGAGATGACATGGTATGTGATAGAAATGTTCGCAGCTGTTCTTGTCAAACATGTCCACTAGTGTGCTGTTTGAGTTAACATGTCTCCTTTTTTTATTATAGGTCAAACTAGAGCTATACAACGCTATCAACAAGGAACATTTTCGTCAATGTGATGAAGTGTAAGTATGACATTTTTGACCATTTGAGTTCTAAAAATTAAACTTTTTAATATTTTAGATGTTTCAACATGCGTACCTTCGAGAGGTGGAGCTTAATTCTGCTGATTAGGATTTTGCGTAGGTTGCAGGTCCTGAAAATATTAAGGTTTTGGCTAGTACAGGCCAACCCCAGGTTATATCTAGCAAGGCTTCGTGTAACGTCCTTTGCTACTAAAGCAACAACGAGCTGGTTCAGGCCTTTGCGGAGTTTCCTTCTGCTTTTATGTGGACTGCACGCATTACAGATGATCTCCTTTCTCGGCTTGGATGGTTCACGAACCTAGGGGCTCCTAAGATTAGTGGCAGCAGTAAACATTAGCAGTATATTTTTTGGAAGTAACTTAACACACATTTATGTGAAAATTGGTATTATAAGACCTGGCCTTGTTTGAAGGCTTTAATAGATTTTTTATATAGTACGGGACACTGGACATCAACCTGCCCGGATACAGTGGTCTGCCTGGGGGCAGTGGTGCGTGTTGCCTGCTGGCCTCTGTTGGGTGGTTGCCCGCTGGCCTCTGTTGGGTGGTTGCCCGCTGGCCTCTGTTGGGTGGTTGCCCACTGGCCTTTGTTGCCCACAGGCCTTTGGTGGGTGGTTGCCCACTGGCCTTTGTTGCGCACAAGCCTTTGTTGCCCACAGGCCTTTGTTGGGTGGTTGCCCACTGGCCTTTGTTGCCCGCAGGCCTTTGTTGGGTGGTTGCCCACTGGCCTTTGTTGCCCGCAGGCCTTTGTTGGGTGGTTGCCCACTGGCCTTTGTTGCCCGCAGGCCTTTGTTGGGTGGTTGCCCACTGGCCTTTGTTGCCCGCAGGCCTTTGTTGGGTGGTTGCCCGCAGGCCTTTGTTGGGTGGTTGCCCACTGGCCTTTGTTGGGTGGTTGCCCACTGGCCTTTGTTGCCCGCAGGCCTTTGTTGCCAGCAGGCCTATTGTTGCCTGGTTGCCCGCTAGCCCTGGCCCGCAGGCCTTTGATGCGTGGTTGGCCTTTGTTGCCTGCTAGCCCTAGCCCGCAGGCCTTTGTTATGTGGTGGCCTTTGTTGCCTGGTTGCGCTTTGCCTGTTTGCCCGCAGGCCTTTGTTGCCGCATGTTGGCCCACTGGCCATTGCGGTGGCGCGCTGTTGCCCGCTGCCCTTTCTGGTCCTACAGCACCAGTGACTAGATTTGCAACAGGCTGAAGTTGGTAATGCCTCATCCACAAACTGCCAAGAAACAGATGAGTTTAATGGTGTTCTTTAAGAACTTGGAGCACCTGTTTTTGATTTTGTTTTAAGTCTAACTAGACTGCACCTGCAAGTGCCCTGCCCCCTGACTGCTGCAATCACCCAAAAGCATCGTTGCTCATGGGGCCTAAGATTCCCATTTGAGAAACTTGTAGATGGACGGGCATTTGATTTTGTTTTAATTACGTCTCGACGCTTTCAATATAATACTGTTCAGGAACTCTTAAATCTGTTCTGGATCAACTCAAAACCACTTGTGAAGAACCCTTGGTCTTTGCAAATAAACATTCCAAAACTAATGGCTAAAATATAGCCAAAGCTGAACTCCGACTTAATTGGAATTGATGTTTTATAGCTTTTAGAATATTTATTCCTGTTTTTAATTTTTTTTTTAAACCTGCCCTCTTTTACAGATGTCTTGAACACAGATGGGCTTACAGCAGTAACTACTGCAGGTAGGACTGATGCACCACCCGACTGTTTGCATGTTTCTGATACTTCACCGGCTCAAACACGGATGTGAAGCTTTCAACTTTAGGACTTCCACTCACTGCTAACTTTGTACCATTAGTTTTTAAATGGGGACCTATTATTATTGCTACCAAAACTCTTAGAATATTATTAGTGGATGGTGGAATAGACTGAACCGAATTGTTAGTTTTACCCCATTTGAATCATTTTGGCATCATTTTAACAGTTTCCATTTTAAATGTACACTGCACACAGAGGTTAAATGTAGAATAAACACATTTATGCTCTTTCCACTGCACCACTAGTGGTCATGTGTTGAACCAAAATCAAGCAGCTGTATAGATTACTGCCACAGACGTAGTGGTTGCATGTTTTATATTAAATGTTATAGATGGGCTTCTACTGCAGTCCCCTAGTGGTTATAATGTGAAATTAAAAAACAAGCGTTGTGTTGCAATGGAGTTTTCTACTGCACACCTAGTGGTTGTATGTGGAATCACAATTTTAAACGTTTCAATGATTGACTTACTTGTTACACCCTTAGTGGTCACATGTGGAATCTAAAACTGCGCTACACGCTGATGCTTTCAACTGTGAACCTCCTGACAATTCTCCTAGAAAATAACTTGAGGATTCAGTCGCAACACTTAGCATAATTTTTAGTTTTGGGTTTGGCGACAATGTTACGGTTTAGCTGGATTGTTTGGTTAATGTTACCGATGGCACAGATATTTAAAATTGTGCTTGCTAGCTTTGTTAGCTTCATCGCAATGGTTTTAAGAATAACACCATTTTTTGGCAACTGTTTATGGTACTATTTTTAAGAATGTTTGTGGGCTTACACGTTTTCCCTCTTTTCATGCTGTCAAGAAACCATCTCGCTGGATAACGGAAGAGCGGAAGATGCGCGCTTTAGCGTGAAGATGCCTAAAACGCTTGGGATTTTTGAAAAGAATACTCCTTTTTTGGACACGTTTCTTTCGTACTTTGGTGCGAACAGTTTTTTGTTTTTTTTTGTGTGACTAGCAGATTATTCAAAACTCTAAATTACAAAATCAGCCTCTGTATGTTTATAAAAATTCTGTCTTTTTAATAAAGGTTAATAATTTAATCTTTCTTGGTTTCATTTCATTAGTCTATTTCCCCTTAAGCCAAAATGTGTTCTCATTTCAATCATGTAAAGGTTTTTGGGGTGTTTTTAATCACTCAAACTTTTTTTTGTATAAAACCAAACATGCACAAAAAGGCAAAAGTTGAAGCACAAAATACAGTTGCCTTCTATACACTACATCAGTTTTTATGCTAGTTTTATATTGTAATGTGGACTACAGCTTCTAAAATGGCCACCAGGTTCCTGTCTGTGCAGGAAGTGATGCAAAGAAAGTAGAAAACTGATTTCATCTGTGACCAGCTTGGTGTTATTGTCCAGCTATGGCACATAAATGTTCCTGGAGACTTGTTGGATGTCTACTGCAGTATATTGGACTGTATTTGTTAGTATACTAGTACATAATAAAGAAAATAAAGCAAAAGTGGGAGGGACTTGTGTATCACCTGAGTGTGTGTGCTAAATGGAAAAAAAACGTCAAAGGCAGAGCTGGGGAAGGAGCTGGAGATGGCGTCTCTGCCCAGGAAAGGCTACTCAGGCGTTAGCAACCATTAGCACACGGCAGCCCACACCTACTCTGCCCGAGAACCAGTTGTGGACGTGTGGGATACTTCCCGGACACTGTTGGGGTGTTTGGTAGCTCTAAGCTCGGTGTTTTGGAGCCGTGTTGGAGGTCGAAAAGGACGGAGTGAGCTGTCGTTGTTTGTCGGCCATGGCGCTCCTCCATTTTCATAGCGCGGCTCCCTGCGTGCTCCCCACGGCCACAGTCTGACTCTGCCCCCGCTGCTGCACCCGGCCTGGAGCTAACACAGACTGCATTAATGGACTAGTTCGCCTTATATTGTGCTATTGAACGTATTTCAGCCAAAGTCGTGAAATATCCCGGTTGTGTATTAGTTAAATGTGACTTGTTCCGTGGTATGCTAGCTCCCACTTGCATGTAGTTAGCATGTAGTTAGCATGCAGTGATGCTCATAAATGACAATGTTTACCATTGTTTTTGTTATTAGTGCAATGACGCAGAAACAATCGCATGCGTCTCAGTGTCCGTGCTGCACAGAATAAGACAGTGGCGTCTACTGTTAAAGCAACTATAATTATGATGCACCTTTGCTACAGCTACAGGTTCCTTCAAAGTAGATTATGTGAGAGGTGTTTGAGTTGATTTCGGTTTTAGTGTTTGTGTCACTTCATTTGGGCTCAGTGAGTCTGTGCAAAGCCACTTTCCCAGGACTTCAGATAGTTCAGGTCACATACATCTATATTTATACTTCTATGGAGCAACACTGCAACTTTTTGACAACATACTGAGGACAAGCATCCCACTGCAACCTCTTCACAACACTGCCATGATGAAGAGTAAAAGTAAGAAAGTCCAGGAGGAGGGCTCTGCTCACAGCAATGCGTCAAGGTACGTCCCTGTGTGTGTTCGAGTGTGTACGTGTATAAATATGTGTGTACGTGCATGATGGGAGCTGGAGCTGCAGACCGTGGTCCTGTTGCTTTGTTCAGTCACACCTCTGACCACAGCATGAGTCCACTTTCCTGCGTCCGTGGATTTGTTACGTCATGCACTTTTCAGAATTGTTAATTGCCATGAATTTACTAGGAATTTGCTGTGGCTCATGGTGAAATAAATTATAACAGTAAGAGTAAAAAAATATATTTCCAACCTTTTTGAGACAGGGCACACCTTTTTCAATGAAATCACTCACTTGGCACACCCAGCTGAAACTGAAACAAAATGAAACTAGGCTTTATTAAGTCATTCTCATCAAGTGTTCTATAGAAAAATATATTATGTGGAGGCTGTTGTTGCTTAACCCTTGTGCTACCCTCGGGTCAAAATGACCTGCCACAGTGATTAAAAATAGAAGGACAGATATCCTAAATTGGTTTCTAAAAGGATCTAAATGACCCAGGGCTGGTCAAGTTAGAAAAAGTCAAAATTTAGCTCAAATAAAAAATGATACAGGGTATATTTTAATCACTTGTGACCTGAGGATAGCACATGGACAAGGGGGCACCTGCAAATCCACATGGGCTGTGGATTTACTCTTCCTGGGATTACAATATATTTAAGTAATTCATATGAGTTTCAATGTATACGTAAATTGCTTTGAATGCAGTTATTCCGTACGGTGAGACAAAAGTGTTTTCCTAACACTGTTAATGTATAACATCCCAATTATACTGGACAATGCACAACCTGAAAAACCTGTGTCTGTGTGTTCTTTGGAAAAGTATCAACTTTAGAAATACTTAAAATACTTGTAATGGGGGTTATCCTCCTTGCTATTATTTTTACGACTTGATCTGGCCTGGGGTAATTTTAGAAACTGCAATTCTTTGTTACTGTAAAGATACTGTTAGAGAATGACTAGCTCCAATGACATCTGACAAACCATAAAGCTGAGCTGTGTTTTGTATATTATTCCTGCTATAATTTCTTGATTCAATAATTAGTATAGTAGTCCTCTCGCCTCCTAAAAAGACATAAACAATCTACATTTATGTAAAGTTATTTGAAGTTTCAACAGTGGAACCAGTAAACCAATGAAACAGAATATGAACAGCTATTAATTTATGTGTGTTACACCTCTGCCTTTGCACCAGACGTGCTGCGAAGATGGCCGTTTGGCTCTGGTCACTTTGCTCTCTTCACTAACGAGTCTCCAGAGAGTTGAGAAAAAGAACTATCCAGGCACTCTTAAAAAAGACGTGAGCTAAACAAGGAAGTCTTAATTAAAGAGCCTTTTATTTACATAACCAAAGAAACATGTTTGGACCTCAGTCCAGACGTGTGGGTTGACTTTCAAGACTGCCATTCCTGTTTGAAGTGTGGAGCTTTAATGAACAAAGCAGAGCAGCTGAGCAGCACGGTGCAACGCTATTAGCACTTCGCTGTGATTCCACTTCCAGACGGCACCTCTGAGTGGAGTTTGCATGTTCTCTCTGTGTTTGCGTAGGTGTCCTCCTCTGCTCATTCAAACCTGTACAATATGTCTAGCATGTGCTTCCATGCTGTGACTGCTGTGACTATATATAAAGAGGACTACTCTAACAACCCACATAAAAACTAGATCTGGACCAAAACTAGCTCTGGACCAAAACTAGATCTGGACCAAAACTAGCCTCTAGCTCTGGCCACTATTGCACTTTACGCACGTCTGACGGGCAGCAGCCTACACGCATTGGAGTCCAGCACTAAGCTCTGGTTCTTTAAAGCATTCAAATAGAGTCACACAGAGTTTTCACAGAATTAGGACTCTCTACAGAGTCCTGTTTGAGACAGAGGCAGACACTACGCAATGGGTGGAAAATACAAGCGCGATGAACGACGGCGCGGCGTGTTCAGCTGCAAAAATGATGGATTTCCAACATGTTTAGTAAATAAATGAGGGAGCTGCTGTGAACTAGTTTTGAACCAGCACAACCAGTTCTGAGCCAGGACTGAAACAGGACAACCAGTTCTGAGCCAGGACTGAGCCAGGACTGAGCCAGGACTGAATCAGGACTGAACCAGGACTGAACCAGGACTGAGCCAGGACTGAGCCAGGACTGAACCAGGACTGTGCCAGGACTGAGCCAGGACTGAGCCAGGACTGAACCAAGACAACCAGGACTGAGCCAGGATTGAGCCAGGCCTGAAGCAGGGCTGGACCTGAAGTTTACTCCAAGTTTAACAACCCCTTAAAATATTTAGACAGAATTATTATTAATAATTGAACTTGGGATGACTTTTTTACTATATATTTTTGGAGAAAGTAACTTAAGTAATGCAGTAGTATTGTAATGCACTACAATTCAGATACAGTAATATTGTAGTGTAATAGATTCCTTTGAAATAACAGTAATAAGTAATGAGTGTGTTCACAGTAAAGTGACAATTGAAGTATCTGGACTTTAAAAGGTTATAACTTAAAAACTAAAATTACTTTCATAGATTTGGAAAAAAGATTTCAAACACAGACACATTGAAGAGATAGTGTGGAAAAAATCAAAAGGCATTTTAAACGACCAAATCAGCCTCTGATTGGACCATTCTATTGTGACACTAGTTACATAGAGAATAAAATGTCCTCAGTCTGAAAAAGCAGAAGATGAAATCCCACAAGATTTACATGGTTAACACAACAGAAGGAAATCACTTGATATAAAAAGGAATCGTAAAAAAATTATAAATAATTTATTAATTAAATGACCCCTGAAAAATGTATAACGGACGTGATGAGGACAGTCCTCTTTTCTCTAAAAATTAAACTTGAGAAAAAAAAATCTGGTCTGTTTTCACATTTAATTGCTTGACAATATGAAAGTATCACTTTGCATCTACTTTGTGTAAAAAAAATAGAATCTCTGAATCAAATGTGGACATCTGAAAATACCTATCAAACTTCTGCAGCTCATTCCGTCAAATCATCGTCCGTTACATAAAATAAACAGGGCCGCTATAGGAAACTTGTCTAACGTATAAAACAGTTATGTTCTAGCAACTTCTAAAGGACAGAGGAGGTGTTTGGAAACATGAAAAACATAAAATATCTTCTGATTATTAAAATCTAATTTTTGGCCTTTTGTCACACTTTTGTGCCCTTTAGTGTGAACAAGCCCTAATACATAATGTATATATTAAGTTTTTGAAGTAACTTGTCCAACACTGATTGACGGCGTGTGGCTAATTTTGGATGTTTCTTATGTAAAAGTGGAAAGAGAAGCTGCGGGAATGACCCGCCAAATGCACATTTTAAACTTAATTCTGAAGGAGGTTTGTGACTACATTCATTGCTTCACTTGTTCACTGTGATGCCCTCTACAAGTGTACAAGGGGCGCCATGATATATTTTTGCCTGGGGCGCCTGATGACCTAGGGCCGGCCCTGACTACCACTACAAATACTACTACTCCATATCCTTCTACTTTTATTACTACTTGCTCATTACCACTACGTCTACCCAAAAGACTAGTACAAATCTAGATACAAAACCCTCCCAGTTTGGAATTACTGTGTACTGTCCAACCAAAATGTTGAATAGTCGGTTCCCAAAGGTCATTAAATTGATGCACATTCAAATGTAGTTGAGCTGTGATTGTTTTTTTTTTCCATACAGTACATTTCTTTCAGTTTCTTTTGCCATTGTTCTTGTGCAGGATGTTGGACCTTAAGCCCAGAATTGGTGATCATTTTTCTAGCCACTAAAAGTCAAATTTGAACCAATTTAGTGTAATGTTCACAATTCTCTTCAACTTACAGCAACTCTGCTTCAGAAGATTCAAACCACTCTGCATCTGACTCGGGCAGTCAGTCTGAGAGCGAGCACGGCAGTGACCATGGCAGCGGCCGAGGCAGCGGACCGGTGGAGCGCAGCAGTGACCACGGCAGCGGACATGGCAGTGACCACGGCAGCGAACATGGCAGTGACCACGGCAGCGAACACGGCAGCGAGCACGCTAGTGAGCATGGCAGCGAGCGCAAGAGGTCCCATCACTCAGAGTCCAACAGCTCCTCAGAATCAGACAGCCAGGCGGAATCAGACGAGTCCAAGTCTCATCACAACAGCGAGGCCAAAGACAAGCCTGTGGGACGCAAGGAGAGGCTGGCTGACGTCAAGAAGGTAAGACGCCCTCGCCATGGCAGCGGATGTGTGTGGGCCCCAGGAGCTGTAACGGTGTGCTGTGGTTCAGATGTGGGAGGAGCATCCGGATGTGTACGGGGTCAGGAGGTCCAATCGAAGCCGCCAGGAGCCAGAGCGTCTGAACGTAGGAGCAGGGGTAAGTGGCGCTCCGATACTCAAAACACAAAACTACCACACAGAACATATAAACCACCCTGAATATTTTAGAAAAGCCATTCTCATCTCCGTGCATCCATAAGCGGTTCTCAAATGGTCACACGTGTTGCAGCTTATTTCTGTACTGTTTCGGCAAATAACACGCATCATTTTGTGTCATTTTTCTTTGTATCAAAGCTGCTGATGTTAAATAGAAAAAGGTCTTGCGGGCTTGCTTCTGCTAAAGTTTAGTTTCACATAGTAGGACCCAGTGTTTCTATTGTCCAGCCACCACTGTGATCTACTCCATACACAATTGTGATAATCTACTGCTCTTTCACGACTGCCCTTGGGCACACTGACAGAATTGAGGCAACCAGTATGTGCCATTGGCCCCTCCAACCACCACCCAGCCAAATGACCAGCCTCGTGCTATGCCAGTTTGGGTTGAAGTATGAATTGATGTTGGAATGTTTTCTCTTTTATTTCAGGGCAGCAGTGGCTCTGAGAGTGAGAGCCCAAAGCGCAAAAGCTCACGAACTAAGAAAAAGGAGTAAGTAGTGACTCATGCTACACACTCTCTGCCATCAGCCATTTGTTTCTGGGTATCTGTTTGGATTGTGATCCTGGTTTGAACCGTTGATCTGTTCAAATCAGGCCCGTTTCCACTGGAATATCTTTGATTGGTGTTAGCCTGATTGATCTGAGGCTGAACTTGTGGCATTTCTTTGTTGTAAGACAAATGTGGAAAGATGGAGACTCCGATGATGAAGAGGAGTCTGAAAATTCCGACAGTGAACAGGAAGAGAAAAAAGTTAGATCCAGACGACTTCCTGCGCGAAGGTAAGACCTGTCCAGACAGTGACCCACATCATCACCTTCAGCTCATTCTTCACTTTGGTGTGGTCAAACTAAAATAATTTTTTTGTTGCTAGTTTTCACATTTCTTTGGCCTTTGGCTTTTTTGGACCTACTCTGCCAATCAGCAGAGTAGGTCAGAATCCTCCTTAGAATGCAAAAGATTTTGTGTTTTAATAAGGTAAATTTGTGCTGTTGTGTGATTGGTTCGCAGTAATTTACTTACTGGGAAGCACACTTTTATAAAAGTTAGGCTTAAAGCTTTCTTGGTTTAGTCCTGACTTCTGCAGGCTCAGTTTTGGCTTCGTCCTGGTTCACAGCAAATTGCAGCTTTTTAGAAATTAAACTTGAGGGAAGTGCATCATCTTGCAGCTGTTTTATAACATAGAATGAAATGTAAGTAATTTTCTGTGCGCCCTTTGACGAGTGTCTCCTCACTCACAAACCAGACTCTCGCACTGGGTTGGTGACCCTTGGTATACAGTTTATGTTAGCATAGTTCATCTGTAAACGGTCTTTTAGCATTTTTCTCATGTATACAGTCCATGTCAACAGAACAGCTGTAATTATATATTTATCTTTCAAAAAGGTTTAGTGTTTGGAAAGATTGAATAGTTGTCGATCATTACAGTCCTGGAGAATATTTGTGCTCCTGCGTATGTGACCTCACGTCTGCATGTAAGCACAGTGGATGTGTGTGGTTTGTTTTCCAGGCCTCAGAGTCGATCGTCCAAAAAGCAGCAGTCTCAGAAGTCCAGGAAGTCCAAGAGGCCGGACTCCTCTGCGGACGAGGACGATGAAGACGATGATGACGACGATGACGACGACGACGATGACGACTCTCCAAAAAGACAACAGCGCAAAAGAGGGGCCACCACAGTCAAGAGGTATTCTGTCACACACATTTTCTTTCTTCTTATCTGCTCAAGCATCGTTTCCACTTACTCTACTCGGCTCAACTCTACTCTACCTGGTTTCCATTACTCTTAAGTATCTGGTACTGTATCCTGGCTACCTACCCACAACAAACCAGTATCCATGGAAATCTCCTTGGTAACCATGGCTTCCAGCAGCACTCTGGCCAATCACTTTCTGTTAGAACACTTAAGGTTCTATCCAGCTCAGCCTGGATTGAACCAGGACCAAGCAGGTACTAAAAAGTACCTAGAACCAGTTAAACAGGGCCAATGGAAACGCTCCCATTCGGGGTCGAGAAGAGATGAGTGGGTTTGGGTTGGTGTTGAGACTTAAAGCTGCACTAACTGACTTTGGGATTTTGAAGCCGCGGACCCGCTGGCCTCTCTCTTTCTGCTCCCCTCCCCGCACCCACGAAGCTATCGCCCCCCACACACACACACTGTTGGGACGGAGCTAGCGTCTCCCAATATGGATAATACATGGATATGGATTTGTACGTGGATGGCGTGACCATAAAACGATAGAACCGGGAAGCGCGGAGGAACGGGACTTTCTTTTGGATGGCTGTTTCGCTAAGTAAGCAGTAACCGGTGATGAAGACACGAAGCTTCAGGTTAGCTCCTCGGCTTGTTGTGCTAACTCAGCCGTCTGTGCTAACAGAGACCTGTAGATTTCTCACGAAAGTGGGGGCTATTGGTCCGCTGTGATTGGTCACAATCTGCGACCCGAAACACATTCTCTTCCTTGTTTCATCAAAACTCGATCTAAAATATAATGTCACGCCAGCACAAATCTGCGCTAATTATTCTTCAAAAGGACGTATATCCCAATGCACTACATGGACATGGATAGCATTTTCGTAATGAATACGAAAATAAAGTCAGTTAGTGCAGCTTTAAATCCCAGAAGACACCCAGACACAGCTTTTTTTTATACATCTGGTGAGTTTGCTGTTGCTATGGAGATGCTGGTGACCTTAACAACTCCCAGAGCAGTCTATGTGACGGCTTTTAGTTTTGGAAGTGTTAATTACTCATCTCATGTGCATTCTCCGTGTTCTCTTTCATTATTTTGTATGAAATAATCTTTTACTTTTGAAATGTGAAGGGTTCTACTACCCATTTTCCACCAAAGATAATCAAGTGCTAGTTACCATAGCAACACACTGTTTACTGTCAGAAGTTAGCATTGGCCTTTGCTTCTGTATTTCAGTGAAAATGACCAGTTTAGCACGTTTTAAAAGTGAGTGAAGGTAAAAAAAAAAGGTAGAAAATAAACTACTTTTGGTTTGAATGGGAGCAGTCAAAATGACGGCTTTGGGGGTTCTAGTAGCCTCAGAATTCTGGGAGTCCTTAAAGTAAAGCGTGTTCCCCTTGTGGATGTGCAGCTATAAAGAGGACCAGCACGACTTCGAAACCGACTCGGACGACCTGATCGAGATGACGGGGGACGTGGCGGAGGAGCAGCAGGACGATGACAGCGAGACCATCGAGAAAATCATGGACACCAGGACGGCCAAGAAAGGAGGTCAGGCCCCTCTGCAAACCATTTATGTCTACAGTACGTGCTGGACTATGAACCACGCCTGTATATACACCACACCTGTATATACACCACACCTGTATATACACCACACCTGTATATACACTACACCTGTATATACACCACACCTGTATATACACCACACCTGTATATACACCACACCTGTGGAATTTGAAAAGAACAGTGCATGTTGTCCAATACTGATGGGGAAAAAATATTATTTTCATTACCACGATATTTGGCACACAAAATTAAATAAAATCTTCACTTTTGTGTTTTCTCTGAGTTTACTCTGGTCATTTACATCTGAGGTTGATGTTTCTCTATGTCTGATTTTCTTACTCTAGTCCACATGTGTCAAAGTCAAGGCCCAGATGAATTTTACGTTGCCTCCCATTGACACACTATTACGTCAATTGCGTTTTCCGCTATTTTCATGTTCCCAGATGTCTATTATATGTAATATGTATGGGGATAAGCTTGAGAGCATATTGAATCGAGCCAGCATTAAAATGGGTGAGAAACCTTCCTTTGCTATGAATAATTGAAGTTATGAGCTTGTCTGTAATAAGGACAAGACCTAATTGTGTGAAGTGGTTGTATAGCAGGGGATTGTCACGTTCTTGCAGCTCTTTGTCATCTGTTTGTCTTCTCCCCAATTACACGGCATTCAAAAAAACTTAAACATGTCTTAAACCTGGATTAACTAACTTTCAGACCACACAAAAAGTGACAATAGCCCCATATCCACCATTCCTACTCTACTCTACAATACCTGACTGTGTGTTTCCATTAGGCTTTAGTATTTGGTACCGTATCCTAGCAACAAACAAGTATTTGTGGAAAGTCCTTGATAACCATGCTGCTGCGCTCTGGCCAATCTCTGTCAGTTGGTACTCAAGTCCCAGCTCGGGAAGAATAGAAACAAGGACCAAGCAGGTACCACAACTAAAATTTGATAAACATATACAAAAACTTTCCAAAACTATACGTCGCAATCTTAACTGTTTCAAACTAATACGACATTTTATTCCCAATCAAGCGGCCCTGCTGTACATGCATGGGATGATCTTCTCCCATTTATCATACTGCATGACAGCATGGACCCAGGCAGCTCCCTCAGCCACAAAGTGCATCGGCTCATTATACAATCAAGCAATAAAAATTATGGACAAGAAACCAACCCGATATCACCACTGCAATATACTCAAAAACTGTCATCTACTGAGTTTTGAAAATTTTATATTATTGTACTCTCTAAAACTAACATTCAAATGCATCAATAACCTGGCACCAGAGCCACTAAGTTCATTTATACAGAGACAGACCAGCAACAGAGTCACCAGAAGTACATCCCACAACAACTGTGCTATTCCACACAGGAGAACCTCATTTGGTCAGTCTGCTTTCTCCATAAAAACGGCCAAACTGTGGAACTCGCTGCCCACTGAACTAAAAAACATATTAGAATTCAAGGAGTTCACCTCAAAGCTCAAGCTGTGGCTGAAAACAAACCAATCATGCACCCATTTCTAAACCTGTAAACAGTATTTTGTGTTTGTGTGTGTGTGTGTGTGTACGTGAGTGTGTGTGTGAGTGTTCTCGTTTGTGAATATTTTGCCCATATGGCTGTTATTGGTTGGGGGAATGTCTTAATTTTAGATCACTGTTGTAAATATGTGTTTTAGGGCTAGGCCTATTTCATTCATTCTGTATAATGTGTTGCACTGTAGGGAAAAGCTCAACCAGGGACAGGAGTTGAAAATTAGCATAAGCTATACACTCTGTATGTGTCGCATCAGCTGCATTTTCATAATGTAACTATGTATGACTACATTGTCCCTGTCAAATAAATGAATAAAAAAAAAAAAAAAAAATTTTAAAGAGCAGAGTAGAGTAAGGCCAGGTAGGGATGGTGGAAACGGGGCCTATGTAATACAATTCATCTATAAATGTTGCCTATATTCTTTGTCTTTGTCAGCCACGGGAGAGCGCACGGCAATGTACGCGGTGGAGGAGCACGGAGACCCGAACGCAGGCTTTGACCCCGACACGGATGAGGCCGAGGTCCAGTATCTGATCAAGTGGAAAGGCTGGTCCTACATCCACAACACCTGGGAGAGTCTGGACTCACTCACAGAGAACAAGGTCAAAGGCCTCAAGAAGCTCGACAACTTCAAGAAGAAGAACGACGAGCTCAACGCATGGTCAGAAATCACACCTCATGTTCTCCTCGTGTACTTTGAGTCCTCCTTAGGGGTGGGCGATATGAGAAAAAATAATTATCTCGATATTTTTTTCCCAACTCCCATGATATCTTTGAAATTAATCATTTTTACACAAAAAGATCTGCAATGTTAATCAAAATTATAAATTAGCAAACATGCACAAAAATATATTTACATTAAAAATCTAATTCAAGTAACACAGGAAGAACACATCCAAAAAGGCTTGCTCAATATTGACTCAAATTTACAAATAAAGCCGTGATTGCCGTTTTAGGCATCTTGCAGTTCTAATATGTATTAAAGATATGTAAAAAGTATATATATAATAAATACATTAAAAAATTATTGACAGTAATTCAAAAAAGCATATCTTCACATTCACTTTTGCGATATTATTGTCTACAATATATTTTGCCCGCCCCTGGTCCTCCTCATGTCCCCCTGTCCTTGTTTAGTTCTCCCCAGTGCTCTCGTCCTCCTGTAGACATTTTATATTTCTTTATTCCCCACTGTGGGACGAACAAAGGCTCTTCTAATCTTAATCTGATGAGAGGACGAGTCAGTGCAGAGTAGAGTAGGACCATGTGGGGTTGGTGTAAAAACGGGCCAAAGGTTCAGTCATAACACTAAACCTAAAGTGCAGTATTTTTTGCACTTGCCCTATTCCTGAAGCGCAGTATTTTATTGCACCTTAGAACTGTGTGTGTGTTTTTGTGTGTGTGTGTGTGTGTGTGTGTGTGTGTGTGTGTGTGTGTGTGTTGCTCAGGCTGAACAAGGCGTCTCCTGAAGACATCGAGTTCCACAACTGTCAGCAGGAGCTCAACTCGGACCTCAACAAACAGTTTCAGTTCGTGGAGCGCATCATCGGTGAGTCACTGAGATTAGAACAACACAAAGCACTCATTTGTGGTCCTCATTTATCACCGCTTCTGTTTCTTCGTCAACAGCCACAAAGACCGGGAAGTCCCAAGTGCCCTCGGACTTTCCCTGTAAGTGACATTAAACTGCATTTAAACTGCATTTTCTGTTTAAATGAGTCTATGTCAACCAATACTACAGTTTGCTTGATATGGTAAAACTATGCAGCGGTTAACCAGAGAGAGACAGACCAGAGAGAGAGACAGACCAGAGAGAGAGAGAGATGGACCAGAGAGAGAGATGGACGGACCAGAGAGAGAGAGAGAGAGAGAGAGAGAGACGGACCAGAGAGAGAGACAGACCAGAGAGAGAGAGAGACGGACCAGAGAGAGAGACAGACCAGAGAGAGAGAGAGACGGACCAGAGAGAGAGACAGACCAGAGAGAGAGAGAGACAGACCAGAGAGAGAGAGAGACAGACCAGAGAGAGATGGACGGACCAGAGAGAGAGAGAGAGACGGACCAGAGAGAGAGACGGACCAGAGAGAGAGAGACGGACCAGTGAGAGAGACAGACCAGAGAGAGAGACGGACCAGAGAGAGAGACGGACCAGAGAGAGAGACAGACCAGAGAGAGAGAGAGACGGACCAGAGAGAGAGACAGACCAGAAAGAGAGAGAGACAGACCAGAGAGAGAGACAGAGCAGAGAGAGAGAGAGAGACGGACCAGAGAGAGAGACGGACCAGAGAGAGAGACGGACCAGAGAGAGAGAGACGGACCAGTGAGAGAGAGAGAGAGAGACAGACCAGAGAGAGAGACAGACCAGAGAGACAAAGACCAGAGAGAGAGACAGACCAGAGAGAGAGACAGACCAGAGAGACAGACCAGAGAGAGAGACAGACCAGAGAGAGAGAGAGAGAGAGAGAGACGGACCAGAGAGAGAGAGACGGACCAGAGACAGAGACTGACCAGAGAGAGAGAGAGACGGGACCAGAGAGAGAGAGAGACTGACCAGAGAGAGAGAGACCGACCAGAGAGAGACGGACCAGAGAGAGAGAGAGACGGACCAGAGAGAGAGAGACCGACCAGAGAGAGAGAGAGACTGACCAGAGAGAGAGAGACCGACCAGAGAGAGACGGACCAGAGAGAGAGAGAGACTGACCAGAGAGAGAGAGACCGACCAGAGAGAGACGGACCAGAGAGAGAGAGAGACGGACCAGAGAGAGAGAGAGACGGGACCAGAGAGAGAGACGGACCAGAGAGAGAGACGGACCAGAGAGAGAGACGGACCAGAGAGAGAGAGAGAGAGAGAGAGAGACGGACCAGAGAGAGAGAGACGGACCAGAGACAGAGACTGACCAGAGAGAGAGAGAGACGGGACCAGAGAGAGAGAGAGACTGACCAGAGAGAGAGGAGAGAGAGACCGACCAGAGAGAGACGGACCAGAGAGAGAGAGAGACGGGACCAGAGAGAGAGAGAGACGGACCAGAGAGAGAGAGAGAGAGAGACGGACCAGAGAGAGAGACAGACCAGTGAGAGAGACGGACCAGAGAGAGAGAGAGAGAGAGACGGACCAGAGAGAGAGACGGGACCAGAGAGAGAGAGAGACTGACCAGAGAGAGAGAGACCGACCAGAGAGAGACGGACCAGAGAGAGAGAGAGACTGACCAGAGAGAGAGAGACCGACCAGAGAGAGACGGACCAGAGAGAGAGAGAGACGGACCAGAGAGAGAGAGAGACGGGACCAGAGAGAGAGACGGACCAGAGAGAGAGACGGACCAGAGAGAGAGACGGACCAGAGAGAGAGAGAGAGAGAGAGAGACGGACCAGAGAGAGAGAGACGGACCAGAGACAGAGACTGACCAGAGAGAGAGAGAGACGGGACCAGAGAGAGAGAGAGACTGACCAGAGAGAGAGAGAGAGAGACCGACCAGAGAGAGACGGACCAGAGAGAGAGAGAGACGGGACCAGAGAGAGAGAGAGACGGACCAGAGAGAGAGAGAGAGAGAGAGACGGACCAGAGAGAGAGAGAGAGAGAGAGACGGACCAGAGAGAGAGACAGACCAGTGAGAGAGACGGACCAGAGAGAGAGAGAGAGAGAGAGAGAGAGACGGACCAGAGAGAGAGACGGGACCAGAGAGAGAGAGAGCGACGGACCGGAGAGAGCGACAGACCAGAGAGAGCGACAGACCGGAGAGAGCGACAGACCGGAGAGAGCGACAGACCAGAGAGAGACAGACCACACAGAGATTGTACATCTCAGAAAGAGCGCTAAACCACAGGTTTTTAAGCCCAAAATGGTGAGTGTGAGACAAACGGTTACTGAGCTAGAGGAGGTTACCTTTACATGTCAATAGGAGCCAGAGCACGTCCCTATCAGGGTTCATTGAGCTAGCAGGTTAGCATCATCCATCTGTATACAGTCTATGGCTTCCTGCACTTCCATGGCTCATATGTGGCCTGTGCTTGTGTCCAGCTCACAGTCACAAGAGCGGGCCGTCTGACGAGCCGGAGTACCTGTGTAAGTGGATGGGCCTGCCCTACTTGGACTGCAGCTGGGAGGATGGGGCTTTGCTCAAGAAGAAGTTCCAATCCTGTATCGACAGCTTCAACAGCCGCAACTCCAGCAAGACCCTGCCCTCCAAAGACTGCAAGGTGACCCTCTCACAGTGCGGCCGTCTGGATCAGAAGCAGAAAAACAGCTGACTGGGAATACATTATGCTAATATATGACAAATTCCGTGTCCCATGTGCTTGGGAGTCTGAAAACCGATATATAAACAGTCTATAGAGAGAGAGAGCGAGAGAGAGAGAGAGAGAGAGAGAGAGCAAAAGTGCTCACTGTGTATTTCCCTCAGGTCCTGAAGCAAAGGCCCAGGTTTGTGGCTCTGAAGAAGCAGCCTTCATACATCGGTGACGAGAACCTGGAGCTCAGAGACTACCAGCTGGCTGGGGTCAACTGGCTGGCCCACTCATGGTGCAGGTACAGCAGCAGGGACGATGATGGGGCAGAACTGATGAATCCTTTATTTAATCGTTTGGAGATGACCATATGTCGTTGTGGAATGTACTTCTCAAATGTCACATGTAAATGGAGCTTACAAGTCGTTTCTTGGCATATTTTTACACTCTGACCACCAGTGTGAGTGTGACATAAAAGACTATACAAAGAAAAATGATTTATACCAGATAATTATTTAGGCGTAGAACCAGAGAGACTGAATTATGATATAAAAAGCCAGTTTAGAGAGAATACTGTCGGCCTGTTATTGAGATAAGAGTTTGTAAGTGTGATTTATGATGTAATAGTGGCGTGTGATTTGGCTTTCGCAGGTGTAACAGCGTGATCCTGGCCGACGAGATGGGCCTGGGGAAGACCATCCAGACCATCTCTTTCCTCTCCTACCTGTTCCACCAGCACCAGCTGTACGGGCCCTTCCTGGTGGTGGTGCCCCTGTCCACTCTCACGTCCTGGCAGAGGGAGTTCCAGACCTGGGCCCCCGGCATGAACGTGGTGGTCTACCTGGGCGATGTCATGAGCCGGAAGACGGTGAGAGGATTTTTCACTGCATTTTCTGTCCTGTCAGGTTTAAGAGGGACACAACCTACAGCACAGGCTTTGGAACAGGTTACAAGTTTTAGATCAATGTTGGGATTTCATTAATCCTCACTACAAAGCAGAGAAGGGAGAGATTATCCAAACTAGCTTAATACTGTTACAAATGGCTCTGAAATTTTAATTATTCCCTCTGCCGGAGACAAAATGCCAGCCCCCAAAGCATTCTGCTGACCTTAGCTGTTAGATTCTGTGTCAGTGATGCATGTCCAGAGACCAGAGAGAGCGAAAGAGTGAGAGAGGAGAGACTACATGCCAAGAATCTTGTAAGAATGGAGCTCCAGCATTATACCAATCTCTACTGACGCTTAACGCAACACATCTAAGACTGTAAACAATAGTGAATGCTGGGTAATGTCACAAAGCCCGTCAATTCAATTCAACTTATTCTTGTATAGCCCTAAATCAAAATAGTAGTTATCTCGGAGGACTTAACAAAACCCTTGAATTTGCCAACACAAATCAGAAAATCAAACCTTCCAAACACAAGAAATGCAATGATAAAATAATCCATGAGGGGAACAGACCAATGTCCATTAATGTTGATAAATGTCCAAAGATGTTGTTGAATGTCTTAGTTGATTTGTTGTGGTATTTGTAGTAACTGATTTCTTAAAATGTTTGTACAGATCCGAGACTACGAGTGGGTGAACCACCAAACAAAGAGGATTCGCTTCAATGCACTGCTGACGACTTATGAAATTCTACTGAAAGACAAGGTAGGAGGGTGGACCGTGAACTAAGTTGTTCCATAGACGAATGAGAGGTCTCCGGTGGAAATCTAGAGCAGGGGAAAGGAACCTGTGGCTCTTTTTTATGATTGTGTCTGGCTCTCAGACAAATATTAAAGTCTTGTACTTTTTTGGCTCTCGCAGCTAAAAATATTCCCTACCTCTGATCTAGAGTCTGAATGAAGAAACGATGATAATGACGTACAATTGCTTTCCCCAATACTCCTTGTGATCCCGTGCGTGTGTCTCCTGTGCTCAGGGCGTGCTGGGGAACATCAACTGGGCGTTCCTGGGCGTGGACGAGGCTCACCGGCTGAAGAACGACGACTCCCTGCTGTACAAGAGCCTGATGGAGTTCCGCTCCAACCACCGGCTGCTGATCACGGGAACGCCGCTGCAAAACTCCCTCAAAGAGCTGTGGTCGCTGCTGCACTTCCTGATGCCGCACAAGTACGATCCACGCTCTCTGCACTGCCCTCTCACACCGGCTCCTCTCTGACTGATCCTCCTCCTGCTCCCTCATCTGTTTTTCATACTTTTGACAATGGAAGGTGTGAGGTGTGAGGCTGCAGGAGGTACACACTCTAGCTCCACTGGCTCCCATCTCTCACCGCATCAATACAGTCCTGTTTCTTACATTCAAAGCCGTCAAAGCTCCTCCATACCCGACCTCCTCCAGATCTCTCCCCTGAGTTTGTTTGTAGCAGATGCACAAAAGAATTGAAAAAACAATTTGTTTTTTGAGCTGGAGCATTAAACCGACTCCCTGAAGGCATCAATCAATCATCTTTTATTTGTAGAGCGCCTTTTCTACACAAGGCAACACAAAGCGCCTCATAACCCACATCACATCAAGCATAAACATTGAAATCTACATAAACATGAATAAATACAATTAAAATCCCACAGGACATTAAAAACAAACTATAAGATCAGTAAAAATGTTAAAACCGTAACACTTTAAAATCACACATGGGATTAAAATGATAAATCATGACAAAGCCAGCGATCAGAGGATGTTTAGGTAGAGCCAGAAAAAAAACTGCTTTATTCAGCACCTATTCCTCCCATTCAGAGTGAAGGTCTCAAAGTTTTCCTCCAGTGAAGTTTTTATAATACTCTGCAACTTGTTTTTGTCCTGCACTTGTGAAAAGGGTGTAGTAAACTCTTAGAGCCTTCTGACAGAATAGTGCAGCTAACTTTTCTCGTACGACAGATTTAAAACAGACGCAGGCCTTTTGATGGACCCAGTGCTTCTGTGTTCGCAGATTCGACTCGTGGGAGGACTTTGAGGAGGAGCACGGACTGGGACGGGACAATGGCTACCAGAGCCTCCACAAAGTCCTGGAGCCCTTCCTCCTGCGGCGCGTCAAGAAAGACGTGGAGAAGTCTCTTCCCGCCAAAGTGGAGCAGATCCTCCGCGTGGACATGAGCGCGCAGCAGAAGCAGTTCTACAAGTACGAGACCCTCCCCTGGTGCTCTCACCTGGTCCTCCTGCTCTCCCCTGCTTCTCTCCATTGGTCCCTCTGCTTTCCTCTGCCCTTCCTTCTCTCCTCTGGTCCACCTTCTCTCTCCCCTGGTCCCCCTTCTCTCTCCCCTGGTCCCCCTTCTCTCTCCCTGGTCCACCTTCTCTCCTCTGGGCCACCTTCTATCCTCTGGGCCACCTTCTCTCTCCCCTGGTCCCCCTTCTCTCTCCCTGGTCCACCTTCTCTCCTCTGGGCCACCTTCTCTCCTCTGGGCCACCTTCTCTCCTCTGGGCCACCTTCTCTCCTCTCCACCTTTTCTCCTCTGGTCCCCCTCTCCTCTAGTTCTCCTTCTCTCCCCTGGTCCCCTCTTCTCTCCTCTGGTCCCCTCTTCTCTCCCCTGGTCCACCTTCTCTCTCCCCTGGTCCACCTTCTCTCTCCCCTGGTCCCCCTTCCCTCCTCTAGTCCCTCTTACTATCCCCTAGTGTGTTTTTATGTGTATTGTTATGTTAGTTTTGATGTCGTTCTTGGCAAGCTCTGGCTGAAACCCTGGTGTCTCTGGGTCTGTTCTGTGCATCTCGTTTTGAGCCTGTGTCTCAAGCCCTGAGGATCGATTGTAACTTTTTATCTAAACAACATGAATGAGTGAATAGTTCCTTCCTCTCGCCTGTGTTTGTAGGTGGATCCTGACGCGGAACTACAAGGCTCTGTCCAAAGGCACCAGAGCCAGCTCGTCCGGGTTCCTCAACATCGTCATGGAGCTGAAGAAGTGCTGCAACCACAGTTACCTCATCAAACTGCCCGAGGAAGACGAGGAGGGGGACAGCAGGCCCATGCAACTGCAGGTACACACAACCACACACACAACTTCAGGTACACACATTCACACACACAACTGCAGGTACACACACACACACACAGCTGCAGGTACACTACACACACACAGCTACAGGTACACACACCTCTCACACTGAGCATAGCACACGTTTATCACAACAGAAATACCTAGGAGCTCAAAAGACCGCCACTTAAACAATGGTCCATTTAGTAGATTTTAAAAATACTCTAAAACTTTTTTTTTCAAGCTGGATTTTCTGGATTTTCATGATTTTTCAAGGATTTTAAGCACTTTGAGCTGCCTTTTATCTGAACTATTTTATACAAATAAACTTGCATGGTCTATCGGTTGGTAAGTGTTGAATATGCCATTATTAACATTTATCTGTTATAAGATGCTTCGGCCTCTGCAGTAACTTCACAGTTCCGTTCAGTCCCCTAATATGTAAAAAAAACATTACATTTGTCCAATCATTTTAGCTTGATTGTGTGTGTGTATGTGTGTGACCCCTTGTTGTGTGTTGCCAGGGGGTGGTGCGTGGCAGTGGGAAGCTGGTGCTCTTGGACAAACTGCTGAGCCGGCTCCGGCAGCGAGGGAACCGGGTCCTGATCTTCTCCCAGATGGTGCGCATGCTGGACATCCTGGCCGAGTACCTGACCATGAAGCGCTACCCATTCCAGGTGAGCCGCAAACTACTGACACCTGACTCCATCCGACTGTTATCGCTCCGACTGTAACGTCACAGCTGGAGGATTCTTTGTAACCAGTAACAAGCAGTGGAAGGAAAACGATTCTGTAACTTACATCTGAGGTTTATGTGATATGTGGTTTATCATGTCTATGATGCTTGTTGTGACTCTGACGTCTGCTTGTTGTGACTCTGACGTCTGCTTGTTGTGACTCTATGATGTCTGCTTGTTGTGACTCTATGATGTCTGCTTGTTGTGACTCTGACGTCTGCTTGTTGTGACTCTATGATGTCTGCTTGTTGTGACTCTATGATGTCTGCTTGTTGTGACTCTATGACGTCTCTTTGTTGTGACTCTATGATGTCTGCTTGTTGTGACTCTTTCTGCTTGTGACTCTTATGACGTCTGTTTGTTTTGACTCTATGATGTCTGCTTGTTGTGACTCTATGATGTCTGTTTGTTGTGACTCTATGATGTCTGTTTGTTTTGACTCTATGATGTCTGCTTGTTTTGACTCTATGATGTCTGCTTGTTGTGACTCTGTCTGTTTGTTGTGACTATGATGTCTGCTTGTTGTGACTCTATGATGTCTGTTTGTTTTGACTATGACGTCTGCTTGTTTTGACTCTATGATGTCTGCTTGTCGTGACAATGATGTCTGTTTGTTGTGACTCTATGATTTCTGCTTGTTGTGACTCTATGACGTCTGTTTGTTTTGACTCTATGATGTCTGCTTGTTGTGACTCTGGTGTCTGTTTGTTGTGACTCTATGATGTCTGTTTGTTGTGACTATGACGTCTGTTTGTTTTGACTCTATGACGTCTGATTGTTGTGACTCTATGATGTCTGCTTGTTGTGACTCTATGTCTGCTTGTTGTGACTCTATGATGTCTGTTTGTTGTGACTCTATGACGTCTGTTTGTTTTGACTCTATGACGTCTGATTGTTGTGGCTCTATGATGTCTGTTTGTTGTGACTCTATGACGTCTGCTTGTTGTGACTATGACGTCTGCTTGTTGTGGCTCTATGATGTCTGCTTGTTGTGACTCCATGATGTCTGCTTGTTGTGACTCTATGATGTCTGCTTGTTGTGACTCTGACGTCTGCTTGTTGTGACTCTATGGAGTCTGTTTGTTGTGACTCTATGATGTCTGCTTAGTGTGACTATGATGTCTGTCTGTTGTGACTCTATGATGTCTGCTTAGTGTGACTCTATGATGTCTGCTGTTGTGACTCTATGACGTCTGCTTGTTGTGACTATGACGTCTGCTTGTTGTGTCTCTATGATGTCTGCTTGTTGTGACTCTATGATGTCTGTTTGTTGTGACTCTATGACGTCTGCTTGTTGTGACTATGACGTCTGCTTGTTGTGTCTCTATGATGTCTGCTTGTTGTGACTCTATGATGTCTGCTTAGTGTGACTCTATGACGTCTGCTTGTTGTGACTCTATGATGTCTGCTTGTTGTGACTATGATGTCTGCTTGTTGTGACTCTATGACGTCTGCTTGTTGTGACTCTATGACGTCTGTTTGTTGTGACTCTATGATGTCTGTTGTGACTCTATGTCTGCTTGTTGTGACTATGTCTGCTTGTTGTGACTCTATGATATCTGCTTGTTGTGACTCTGACGTCTGCTTGTTGTGACTCTATGATGTCTGCTTGTTCTGACTCTATGATGTCTGTTTGTTGTGACTCTATGATGTCTGCTTGTTGTGACTCTATTATGTCTGTTTGTTGTGACTCTATGATGTCTGCTTGTTGTGACTCTATTATGTCTGTTTGTTGTGACTCTATGATGTCTGCTTGTTGTGACTATGTCTGCTTGTTGTGACTCTATGACGTCTGCTTGTTCTGACTCTATGATGTCTGCTTGTTGTGACTCTATGATGTCTGCTTCTTCTGACTCTATGACGTCTGTTTTTTTGTGACTATGATGTCTGCTTGTTGTGACTCTATGATGTCTGTTTGTTGTGACTCGATGTCTGCTTGTTGTGACTCTATGATGTCTGTTGTGACTCTATGTCTGCTTGTTGTGACTCTATGACGTCTGTTTGTTATGACTCTATGATGTCTTGTTGTGACTCTATGATGTCTTGTTGTGACTCTATGATATCTGCTTGTTATGACTCTATGATGTCTGTCTGTAAAAAGGTCCTGTGTACAGACTAAATAAATTGCAGACCACATCCCATTTTTGCCAATTCCCGTCCATAGTAAAAAGTTTTAAAACCTTGCACTTAAAAGTTAGTCACCTTTTGGGCTTAGTTGAGCTAATTGAGCTAGTGTGTTAGCATTGTCCATCTATCTACAGTCTGTGATATGAACATGTCTTGGCGGATTCACCAGTTTTTTCACTTTTTACATTCATGTATCAATAACTCTAAAAATACTTAAAACTACAAAATGGAGACTTGACGAATGCATTTTGAATAAACACAATATCCACCATAAGGATCGCCTCCAAAAGATTAGTTCCATTTCCTAAACATCAAATGTGTTTGTCGTTTTTTTTTGTCGATAAATGACAAGTAAATGGCAGATAATATTTAAGTTATTTCACATTTTTAACCTTTTTATTTAAGCAGGAAGTCCCTTGGGATAGACTGTGTTTTCGAGGGGTTCTCTGCTCCCTGGCCGTGCAGCGGTGTGATGATGACCTTTGCCACCGCTCTGTCGGCTTGTTTTTGCCTGTGCCTCTGCCGGGCGTCGGGTTTCCGTGTTGTGGCCGCTCGGGTTTATTTATACCTGAGCACCTCGTCCAACACTGAGCAGCAGCCGAGTGGACGCCGAGGGTCCAGGACTCGGACTCACAACTGAAATCTGTGTCTACTCCACAGCGACTGGACGGTTCCATTAAAGGAGAGATCCGGAAACAGGCCCTGGACCACTTCAACGCAGAGGGCTCCGAGGTCAGTGTCTTCAAGGGGGGTCCAACTGGTTCAAGAACAGGGACCAACTCCAGATGTGGATGTTCTTCAGGACCAGAGATGGAGGATTTTTACCTTTTGTACATGTTTTTAGTGGTAGGGGAAACCGGAGCACCTGGTGGAAACCTAGGGAGACACAAACTCCACTCAGAAAGACCTTGTTTCTACCGGGATTGGGAGACCAGGACCTTGCTGAGGAGCGACAGGGCTAACCACTCAGCCACTGTGATGCTATATTACCACTAGAGGCAGTAGTGCTCTCCCTCATGTACTTTCTAGTCTCTCATCCGTCAAACATCTAGTTAGGAAGCACACCCACTTCCTCAAGTCTATTCACTCTTTTGAGGAAGTGGGTGGAGTCTGATGTGCTCCTGCTTGGTTGGAATGAAAACCTGGTGCCACACAGGTCTGACATCCCTGCTCAATGAGATGGACTTTATTTTAGCAAAAGACACTTTTTAATCTCCATGTTTGATGATAGAGAAACTCCATCTCGCTTCTCAGCAAGAAGGTCCTGGTTTCGAGTCCCGGTCAGAACAGGATCTTTCCGAGTGGAGTTTGGAAGTTTCTCCCTGTGTCTGCCTAGGTTTCTCCTACCACTAAAAACATGTTCAATAGATAAAATCCTCCAGCTCTGGTCCTCAAGAGCATCCACATCTAGAGGCGGTCCATGTTGCTACGGCGACCAATGGCGTCAAATGCAGAGGTCACTTTTCGCTACGAGGTTAAATACAGTGAAAATCTCCAATCAGTTAAGACTAGAGCTCCCAGAGAGCAGTCAAATTGACGGCTTTTGTTTTGAAAGTGTAGTTATCTCATGTGCTTTCTTGGTCTTCATATTTGTGACTTTTTCTGTATCTTTACATAGTTTATTTCTATATTTTTTTAATGAAATTATCTTATACTTTTGAAATATGAGTTGGTTTACCTTTTTAACTAATTTTCAACCAGAGAATATCAAGTAGTTTCCATAACAACACACTGTTTACTGTCAGAAGTTTGCATTAGCCTTTTTTGCTGTATTTCAGTTAAAATGACTACCACATTAAGTACGTAATCTTTATTTAGATAGCACATTTTTATTTCTCCCTCTCTCTTGCTCTGGGAGTTTTAGTAGTTTCAGAAATCTATATTCAAACGCCTTGAAGAGGATGTGTGTGTGTGTGTGTGTGTGTGTGTTTGTGCTCATGAACGCCTGCCTGTGTAGGACTTCTGCTTCCTGCTCTCGACTCGTGCTGGAGGTCTGGGCATCAACCTGGCCTCCGCTGACACTGTGGTCATCTTCGACTCGGACTGGAACCCTCAGAATGACCTGCAGGCCCAGGCTCGAGCCCACCGCATCGGACAGAAGAAGCAGGTCGGCCACACTCGATGCTGCAACACCCACTCACACCAGTCTCAGTACACATACAGACCTCTCTAGTCTCAGTATACATGCAGACCTCTCTTGTCTCAGTATACATACAGACCTCTCTAGTCTCAGTATACATACAGACCTCTCTAGTCTCAGTATACATACAGACCTCTCTAGTCTCAGTATACATACAGACCTCTCTAGTCTCAGTATACATGCAGACCTCTCTAGTCTCAGTATACATACAGACCTCTCTAGTCTCAGTATACATGCAGACCTCTCTTGTCTCAGTATACATGCAGACCTCTCTTGTTTCAGTAAACATACAGACCTCTCTAGTCTCAGTATACATGCGGACCCAGACCTCTCTAGTCTCCTGTCTCAGTATACATACAGACCTCTCTTGTCTCAGTATACATGCAGACCTCTCTTGTTTCAGTATACATACAGACCTCTCTAGTCTCAGTATACATGCAGACCTCTCTTGTTTCAGTATACATACAGACCTCTCTAGTCTCAGTATACATGCGGACCCAGACCTCTCTAGTCTCTTGTCTCAGTATACATACAGACCTCTCTAGTCTCAGTATACATGTAGGCCTGTCACGATAACAAATTTTGCTGGACGATTAATTGTCTCAGAAATTATTGCGATAAGCGATTATATTGTCGTTCTGAGATCATTTGCATCGATTACAATGATAATGCAGGTACACCTTTTCAAAGAGAAATAAACTTTTATTTTTAACGAATATTTAACGCTAGAACACAATAAATTAACAACCAAAAACAATAAATAAAATAGACTCAGTCTCTTAAAGAACAACTCACCCTCAAATCCACTTTTTTTTCCTGATAAACTGTATAAATGAGTGTCCAATAGTGTTGTCTACATGTCCTTATCATTATTTTGACATTTTAGTGCAAACTTGTTCAAAATCCAATTTTTGTGTACAAAACCGTCTGTTCAGCGCCTCTCACGTTTGAACAGCACTTACTACATTTGAATTTAGTGGTTGGCAGAGGAGGTGCCATCATACGTCACAGTGCCATCATACGTCACCAAGTCTGCCGCTGTGGTATAAAAGCTGACCCCTCCCCTAGAGGCTCTCGTAGAGTGTTGGAGTTGGAGTTGGATCAGAGCGAGCGAGTTTTTTCACAGCGATTATCAGGTTTGCGTTATTAGTTTAATACTTAGCCAGTTAGATTAGTTACATTTAATATAGTTTTATCCCTAGTAGTAGGCCTAGTTGTTTTATAGCGTTAGTTAGTCTTTAGCTTTATTGTTAGTGTTAGAATAGTTTCCGTTTAGCATAGCCGTTAGCATTGAGCTTTAGTTGTATTGTTTATGTAGTATTAGTGTAGTGTTTTGTGTAGTGTATTGTATAGTTAATAGTAAGTATGGGGAAGAAGTGTATTGTAGTGGGCTGTAGTAGTTCTACTGGTTTACATGGTATTCCAGTAGACTTAGAAATTAGGCGCCAGTGGTTGCGCGCAATTGGCAAGGGCGAAGGTGAACTCCCTTTGCGTCCCGGAGTTTGTGACAAACATTTTTCGCGGGATTCCTACTCCAACGCATTAGCGCTTGAAATGGGCTTCTCCAAGCAGCCGTGTTTGAAGAGAGAGGCAGTCCCCACCCTGGCTCTCCCCACCCTGGCTCTCCAACAGCCATGGCTACCGGGAACGGCATTCACACTGCAGGTAAAAGTGCAAAAATAAAGCTCGCTATGTTGTGTCAACATATTTAATTACAGCTTTGATTTGGGGATTGAAAAGTAAAATATAATAATTTCTATGTGTGTTTTTTTTTAATTGTTATATTTGTTACTGCATCGAGCAGTTAGCATCCTCATGTAGTAAGTAATACCTGCGCTACTACTCTTCCGAGTCTCACACTACCAAGGCCCAATAATTGACGTGCGCTATTGCTACTTCCTGCAATGGTGCTGCCATCGCCACACTGCGCAATACGCTTGTAGTAGGAGCAGCATAGTGAGCTAATCCTCTTTGGTTATTGTGGTTTGTTGAATATGGAGGGTGAGTGTGTATATACGCGCTAACGCGTCAGTCTGCACAACAATAACAAAGTTACGGCGCAACTGTGCATGAGAATACGCACCAAACTTATCTGTTTTGTGATGACTACGTTTCATATTTAGCAATAGCTGCGTGAAACGTGAGAGCATCTACAAGCTAACGTAGAGCTACAATTTACTGTGTGTCTGAGGCTAAACTGACTGGACAGGTGCAGGTCATTGATGAGAGGGATGACCAGGGTGCTCACAGATATCAGTGTTTCTGACGTGTTTCTGCTAATCGTGTTATCAATACAAGTACATCAATCCAAGTTTAAATTCATATATTTTTTACCCTTACATAATTTTAGTTCAAATAGCAGATAGTATATCATCTGTTATTCCTTGTCCACACTCCACTGCGATAAAACTGAAGCATACGTCATTTAGCAGAACTGCATTTTTAAAACTAAATGAAAGCTGACTTTCAAGTTTAGAGAGTATTATCCTGACCGTACACAATATGAATTATGATCATATGTTGTGTTTGACTGTGTTTTTAGCCAAAATCAACCCGTGAAATTGGCTGTCAGACTGATGCACTACTTGGCGTGCATGAATCTGTCCAGGCCAATTTGAAACCTGCCAGGAGAAGCAAAGGTGATAATTGTTGGGAGCTTTTGCTAATTGAATAGTTTTGCTGTAACTCTTGCCTAGTGCATTTACTAACCTTTTTGTTTTTTACACAGCCATCCAGGTACAACCTCATTGCAGGACCATGTCTTGCAATACAGAGGCCTTGATGGAGGTTCAGTTTCCTGAAGCTCCCATGGCAACCTCCACACCGGTCAAAAGACCAAGGTGCGAGGTGTCAGCCTCTGACCCCACTTACCATCTGGATGGAAGTGCAAGCTCCCTGAACTGTACTGGGTAAAAAATAAACTTATGGATGCATCTGTAAATTATGTTACCTAAGTTTTTTGGTATTCTGTTTACGTTATCATATACATTTTTCAGCTTTCAAGGCCTATATTTATTGATTGTTCTTTTGCAATATAGAACTCCCACACAAGTCCCTCCACATAAACAAATTAAGTACATTGTTTATGAGGAACAACTGCTGGGGCTATTCCGGAGCTGTCCTGTTTGCACCCGTCATTGTATTATTGACACCGTGACAGTCGGCACACTGCTCCGGGTGAAGCAGCAGTGTACTCATTGTGAGTACTTCAACCAGTGGTCCAGCCAGCCACTGGTGAACAACATTCCCGCTGGAAACCTACAGCTCTGTGCAGCAGTATTGTTTACTGGCTCATCTATTCGTCAGGTTTCAAAGGTAGAGCAATACTATTTTGTTATTATCATGTTTCCATATCTATCAGTTGATGACATGTGTTCACGTTTTATAGTTCCTCAGGGCCTTCAACGTTCAGGGACTGTCTGAGCAGTGTTTTTATAGGCATCAAGCCAAGCTCCTCATCCCAACAGTCAATTGGCAGTGGAAGCTTGAGTAGGATGAACGTGTCATGGAGGCTGTTGCTGGTGGGGCTATGACACTGGGTGGAGATATGCGAGCCGATTCACCTGGTAATTCTTTATCCACAAGCTTCTGACAGATGTGAAAAGTTGGCGTGGGGTGAAAAGTTGGCGTGAAAAGTGTATATTGTCTTATTGTAGGACACTCTGCAAAATACGGGAGCTACACAATGATGAATCTCAAAGCTAACCGGGTAATTGACATTCAGCTTGTTCAGGTAAATCACATCACAACATGTTGCGTTCACAGGACATCACAACATTGTGGCCAAAAGTTGTGGCACTATTCAAAATGATGTGTTTCTTTGGAAGGTTTATGAATAATAATTTACAAATCAATTTGTTTTTCAGTTTGGAGATTTCTTTAAATAAAAAATGACAACATCGCAACATACTTTAATGTGAACTGTTACTACTATAGAAATATTATTTGCCCAACAATTACATTGAAGAATATTTATAATGTAGTGATGTCATTTGAACGTAACCAGTTACTTCCTAACATGTCGATTGGAAGTATAAATCTTTTTGCCTTCACAGAGTAATGAAGTGGGGAACAGTGTTCGCATGGAGAAGGAGGGATTTGTCCGTAGTCTGACAATGCTTGAAGAGAGGGGTGTTGAAGTGCAAGCGATTGTGACTGACCGACACTCGGGCGTCCAGAAGTTTTTACGGGAACAAAGACCGGATATCAGTCACTACTTTGATCCTTGGCACATGGGAAAGGGTATGTATTTCAGTAATTGTAAATTGTAATGTGTGTTTTTAATTTTGTACATCATTTAAAAACAATTTTATCTTTGGTGGGCGTCCCAGGAATCGGGAAAAAAATGGAGGAGCTGGGGAAGAAAAGGGGAACGGAGGACGTAAAGATATGGAAAAAAAGCGTAGTGAACCATCTGTATTGGTCGGCATCAACCTCCTCCTCAGGTGACGAGGCTGTGGCTAAGTGGACATCTGTAGGCAACCACGTTCAGAATGTTCACATTCATAAAAACCCCCTGTTCCCTCGCTGTACTCACGAGCCTTTGGTTGGGGATGATGCAAGAGTGTGGCTAAAGCCAAGTATGTGTAATTACAACTGCTCCTCCCTTACTCAATCTCAAATTTTATATTAATCGTTTACATTTGACATATCAATATGTCGTTCTCTTTGTAGGCACAGCAGCATGTGAAAGGCTGACCAGTATTTTGTTGGCACCACGTTTTGTGAAAGATGTAGTGAAAATAAGCCCACAATACCACACGTCACACATCGAGGCATTCCATAGCCTGATCATCAGATTCTCTCCCAAAAGTGTGGGCTTCTCATTCAAAGGAATGCTGGCTAGGTAATGAATCCTAAAGGTTTAACAAAAATTCACTTGGGTTATTTAATCTCTTAGAAATGTTTAGAAATAATATACAGATATATTGTTTTATGTGAAATTTTAGGCTGCAGGTCGCTGCTTTGCACTATAATGAAAATGCAAATAGGGCACATGCTGCAACGTCTGTTGGGGAGCTGAGGTATTCTGTAGTGTACCCAAAATACAAGCGCGGAGACTACACAGTGAGAGCCATGACAACCAACCCTACTTCATGTATGTCATATTTATTGAAACTAGCATGACGCTTATAAGTATTATGAGGATAAACTTTGATTTTTTTTAGACTACATTGACAAGCTTATGGCTCTGCTTTTTGAAAGCGTGGTGGAGGATGCCCGTCCTTATCAGGAATACTCTGACAAAGTACCTGTGCCTGAACCACTCTGTGCCCAGTTTGAAAGACCTGACAAACAGGAGGCTGTAAGCAGGCACAGGTCCAGGTTTGTCAAGAGAACGTAAGGTGAGCAACACAACACATTGCCACTCTAACAAAAGTCTGAAGTACAATAATGTATTGCTAATTTTTCAGTTGGTAAAAGAAGCATGCAAGAGACTCGGCTATTATGTTGGCTCTGCGGTTTCGGATGGATGTTGACAAAATCAGCCCTCTGTACCACACATCAACCCTTGTGAAGTTCCACTCGACATTCAAAATTTCCAATAAAACTGGACATTCAATGGAATGTTGGCCAGGTCATTTTACCTGAGTACATACTGTTAAAAATGTTGCATGTGTATCTAATCAAGTTTTATATTTATTTATATATATATGTATGTATGTATGTGTGTATATATATATGTGTGTGTGTGTATATATATATATGCTTCCTTTTGTAAATATTTTATTGTAGGACCTTTATTCTGTTCTACTTGTTCCAAATGTACCTTGTTGTTTATGAAAATGTCACCTCAAAGCTGTTGCTATATAGTAAGTAAATTCCTCTACTGGGCACTCAAACTTTTGTTTAGATATTCTTTTTTTGAGGGTGCAGCCTTCAAAAGCTAAGTAAGCTACATCAATATTGAGAGTAAAAGTGCAGTATAAAAGCATGATTTCAAATCGATACTGAAATAACCAATCACTAAAAGTTACTATTCTTTTCAGATATTTTTTTAATTGACACAATAAATTACAAATAAAACACTTTAATAAAATAAAACTAGTTGAAGTCCAGTGGTGGGAGAAAACCTCTATAATTGCCATCTTCAGGGAACTCGCTCCTAATCCTGGTCACCGCGCAGGAGGGGATGAAGACTCGTACGTGTTCCCCCAAATACCCCCAGCACCACCGGACAAAATTACGGTAGGCCAGGTGCCTATAACCGCTGAAAGAATGGTGGTGCGTGTTAAAGAAATAATCAATAGATTATAATGTAACTATAAACTAACCTGTTCACCATGGTCTCTGGCATGTCTCCAAACAGTTGCACGTATGTGGCGTACACTGCTTGGAGAACATATGGATTTAGAGCCACTGGCTCAAATCCGGGGTGCTGGGTTATGCAGGTGTCCACACCCACCTGCTGACATCTGCACATTACCTATTACAGTGATGTCAGTCAGAATTTTAATGATGACATCGGGGACAAGACTTTAATCTTGTGTAGTCAAAATTTTTGAGCATGTTAAATTAATGTTTTGTGTACATAATTGTATATTATGTTGTGGTATCGTTTCCATCAAAAATACCTTCGGGGTCTCCCTGCAGCACACGTTTTCCCTTGGGGACAATGAGGTGCAGTGGCCGCAGGTGCACCTATTGAGACGGAGTCTACAATATTATAACTATATGATAACACAATATATTGTCTATCTAGGTGTGGGGTCATTAATTACATTTACAGAGGTTTAATTCGACGAAAAGGTTAAGCAAAGGGCGCAACATAAGGGGGTAATTTAATTATATGGGACTGTGTTATAGCCTATGTAATAACCCACGCTTGTCAAAGGTTCGAATCAGACAGGTTAGAATTTGGGGGTTCCAATTCCTACAGGATTGCTTATCAATACCTGTGACCTAAATGCAGATCGTACTTTTTTATGCCACTGTAATCAATATATACCATTCAGAAACAGGCCCCATTCTGTGGCGCTCTGCAGCCTCCGCTGCCTCAGCAGCATCGGCTCCTCCGGTGGCGCCAGCTAGCTCGCGAGCTAGCGGCTCAAATTGATAGGGCTGAGGACCGCTGTCTGCCTCCTCTCTTTCAAACTCCTCTCTCTCAACCTCCGGTGAGGACGGTGGAGAGAAGTCCTCCACCTCCCAAGACCGCACAGAAGCTGTGGAGCTGGCGTCGCTGTGTTCACTCTCCATCATTGACACGGCCAATGCTGATGTCAAGTGTCAATCACAGCTTAGACCCGCCCAACATTCACCCCCCCGCCTGTCCCCTTTGGTCCTCCAGGCTACGCCCATTTGGAGGGAGATTTGAACAGGAAATGTGAGTGACGTAAGCCTCGAGGAGCGGGGGTGAGAACCTCTTTAACAAAAAATGACCAGGAATAAAACTGCCAGGACCTTTGTAAAGAAAATATGAAACAGATGCCTCAAATGTCAATGATTTCTCAGACTTTATGGCAGATTACGAGAAAGAAATACCAACATGTTGACTTTGTGTGGCTTAAGACAGGATCTCTCTGGAGTAGTCCCACCTCCCCACACACCAGGCGAATGACAAGTGACTGACATGTGAGTTTACCAATGGGGCGTACAGAAGTCCTGCTGCGGTAGCGCCCACCGGAAGTAGCGGGGTTTGTGCTAAGCTAGCGGGTTTTTTGTGTAAAGTTCTACTCCAAGAATGCACGTCTGCAGCATCTCTGTGTTCAGAGACCTTCTAGAGACTTTATATAACAGCAGTATGTGTTCACGGAGGTGCGCCATTAGTTTATTTTATTGGTATGGTACGGTACTTCTGCATCGGCAAACACGCTAACGCTAGCTGCGCTAGTATAGTCACTAAACAAGCCTGAATGAGAACTCAGCTGCCGGCATATGTTCACAACTACTGTGTCCCCCATTGTCAATCCTGGTTAAGTTCTGGTTTAGGTCCTGTTTTGGCTGTATTTTGTATTTTTGAGTAATTTCCGTCTGCTTGCTAGACCGCTAATGTTCCCGTGACCACTTTGCGGCTCTCTGACCCGAGAGAGAGGGGGGAAACAAACAAGCATGCAAATGGGATTTATCGCGGCCAGAAAAGTTATTGAGCAAATTTTATTTATCGTGCGATTAATTGATTTATTGACTATCGCGACAGGCCTATATACATGCAGACCTCTCTTGTTTCAGTATACATACAGACCTCTCTAGTCTCAGTATACATACAGACCTCTCTAGTCTCAGTATACATACAGACCTCTCTAGTCTCAGTATACATACAGACCTCTCTAGTCTCAGTATACATGCGGACCCAGACCTCTCTAGTCTCTTGTCTCAGTATACATACAGACCTCTCTAGTCTCAGTATACATACAGACCTCTCTAGTCTCAGTATACATACAGACCTCTCTAGTCTCAGTATACATGCGGACCCAGACCTCTCTAGTCTCTTGTCTCAGTATACATACAGACCTCTCTAGTCTCAGTATACATGCAGACCTCTCTTGTCTCTGTATACATGCAGACCCAGACCTCCCATGTCTCAGTATGCATGCAGACCGAGTATACATGGAGAAGTTTGGTCACAGCTCAGCGTCCTCCTTGGTTATTTTGCTGCAGTGACTGAACTGGCTAAAGCTGGTGTGTGTCTTTGTGGTTTCAGGTGAACATCTATCGACTGGTGACCAAAGGCACAGTGGAGGAGGACATCATCGAGCGAGCCAAGAAGAAGATGGTTCTGGACCACCTGGTGATCCAGAGGATGGACACCACCGGCCGCACGGTTCTGGACAACAGCTCCAGGAGCACAAAGTGAGCCTCCACAGGACATGCATGAGGGTTTGGGTTACAGCCTTAAACACTGGGGGAAAAGCTCAGAAACCGTACTTTTGGTTAACAACAAGAATAATTTGTGATCTGTATCTGATCAGTCTGATTCGTGTTCCTCAAGTTAGCACTGAAATCCATTCAGGCTTTTCCTTATTTGTTGGCGGGTTGCACCTTTCCCGACCTGAGGGCTATAGTCCATTCAGCAAGTCCTGAGTCTCTCCCGGTGTCATGGGTTCTGGTCCTGGTTTCCCTCTGTAGTCTGTGCACATGTCGCAGTTGAAATTCTCTAACACTGTGTTCCTCAGCGCCAATCCCTTTAACAAAGATGAGCTGACCGCCATCCTCAAGTTCGGAGCCGAAGAGTTGTTCAAAGAGGCCGAGGGGGAGGAGTCCGAGCCACAGGTAACTCAAGGACCCCCTCTATCTTCACTTTAGGTCTTTGTGCTTAACAATGTGAACGATTATGTGACTGCAACAACAAACTGTTCACAGGAAATGGACATCGAGGAGATCCTGAGACTGGCTGAGACCAGGGAGAGCGACCAGGGCTCCAGCGCCACGGACGAACTGCTCTCCCAGTTCAAGGTACACCTCGCGAGACCAGCTGGGTCTTGACCTTAACTCAGCGGAGGTTTTGTGTTAGGTTTGAAAAATGATTTGATATTACGATCTCGACAACTATCATATCTATTCTTCTGATGGTCAAATCCGTGACTCATCCGTCAGTTCAAAACTAGGCCATCTTTACTCGTGTGTTGGTATTTTTCATGTTACTTCTGCACCTGGTCCCAGTCTTCATCCGCTGTTAAAAAAGGGTTATTACTTCCTGATACGTGGAGGTCTTGCGTTTCAAACATGGTATAGCATGTGGCTATAGCCAGTACATACTTTTGACTTGTTTGCACTGAGAGCCAAAGCAATTTCCATGTCTGTGACTTCCTGTTGCTTACAATGCAATAAAAAATGATTCTGATTCTGACATACTCTCTTCATAATGGTCTAGATCAATGCTGTTAAACTGGTCTGGTCTGCTCAGGTTAGAACTGAAACATGCAGCCACACCGGCCCTTTCTTGAACCGGTTTGACATCCCTGGTTCTGACTACCTCACTTTATTTATGTATTCATTAGGGACATTCAATCCATATCCATGCAGTGCATTGGGGTAGACGTCCTTTTGAAGAATAAGTACAGCAGATTTGTGCTGGCGTGTCATTGTATTTTAGATCAAGTTTTTGTGCAACAAGGAAGAAAATTTGTTTCGGGTCCAGATTGTGACCAATCACAGCGGACCGCTGGCCCCCACCTTCTCGAGAAAACCTGAAACTTCCCTTGTCTTTGTTAACGGTTACTGCTTACTCAGCGAAACATCCAAAAGAAAGTCTTGTGCTCTGCGCTTCTCTCGGTTCTATCATTCTATGGTCACGCCATCCACGTTCAAATGTGTGATCCATATTGTGAGACGCTAGCTCCGTAAACAACAGCACATGAGCACACGCATGAGGAGGGGGGGGGGGGGGGGGGGGGGGGGGAGATAGGGGAAGCTTCGTGAGTGCGGAAAGGGGAGCGGCAAGAGCGAGGCCCGCGCACACTTTTGAAACGGCTGCTTCAAAACCCCAAAGTGAAACGGGGTGTAGGAGCATGTGTTTTTATTACAACATCACAAATGGAAGAGGTTCTTATTGAATCATGTCTCGTCTGTTTTGTGTGGACTTGCTTTAGGTGGCTAACTTCTCCACTATGGAGGAGAGCACTCAGGAGCTGGAGGAGAAGTCTGCACGGGACTGGGACGACATCATCCCAGAGGAGCAGCGCAAGAAGATAGAGGAGGAGGAGAGGCAGAGGGAGATGGAGGACATCTTCATGCTGCCCCGAAGCCGGAGCTCCAACAAGAAGGTCTCAGAGCACTCCTTCTTCTCATGTGTGATCAATGTGGTCTCTGTATCAGTGCTTAAACATCTGAACTTTACTGTAAACAAGTCATTATTTATAGTCACTCTCTAATTTTTACAAACAGTAACTGAATTAACAAAAGTAAGTCGTTATCAGTAACAATACATCACTGCAAAAAATGTTGAAATATGAGGTCATTTTTTCTTGAATCGAGTGGTTTTTATCTTAATTTGAGTTCATTCAGTCTCAGATTTGCCAATGGAATAGAGTCATTGGGTCTTATTTCGTGAACTTTTTCTCATTCCGAGGGAGACAATTCTTGTATTTTTTTAAACCAGATAAATCTGCTTTGTCCCTTTGGAAAATCTTGTTTTAAGGCAATCAAAATGTGCTCAAATTAAGATGTTTTTTGACACATTTTCATCACTTTTTGCAGTGTTCAAATATACAACATAAAGTTCAAAGGTTATGTCAAAGGAAGTATTGACTTCTTGGTTCCGTGCATGTGCCCTAGAACCCAAAGAAGGTAATATGCTACATTGCCAAATTTGGTCATTGAATAGTGTTTTCCAAAAAAAGCACAGATCACTTTTTTTCAACAAATATCTTTCTCAGAGAACAGGGCGAGTGAGTGCTACTGTGTCCAAAAGTCAAAGACGTAATTAAAATCAGATGCTCTTCAGGATGAGAATTAACATTGCAAAACAAAGAGACCCTATTCTGTTGGAGAGTAAATACTGGGTGAAATCTGAGGCACTGATAAAAAGTCCTTTAATTTGAGACAGGGACCAACGCGTTTCGTCCATGCAGGGCCTTCTTCAGGGCAGTGTTAAAAACATACTGTTTGACAGGTGTTCAAATAGACTCATGAAGGGAGGATATGATACAAACACCACAGTATAATATTATGTTGACAAATAAATACCACATAAAAAAAAGTACTAAGGATTAATTACACCGGAGGGGCCTCACAGTGGATACCTTATCCTTAGAAAACATTATAAAAACACTGAAAAGTCAACATCATGGTTTAACTCCGGATAAACAGTCTCTTTAAGTTTAAAAAAATATCTTTCTGTCTGAGTTCTTCGGGGTTAAATCCAGTGGAAAGTCCATATAGAGGTGTGCTGAGAGATTTTTCGTGTGCCCAGGCCCAGGCCAACGACAGCGACAGTGACGTGGGCTCCAAACTCAAGAACCGCTCGTCCGGCTCCGACAGCGAGACCGACGAGAGCGGCGACGACAAGAGGCCGAAGAGGAGAGGCCGCCCCCGCGCTCGCAAGAACCTGGTGGAGGGCTTCACGGACCCAGAGATCCGCAGGTGCTACTCGCTACACTGAAGGCTAACGGCTAAAGTTTAGTGTTGTTACAATGACACAACAATGCAACGAAAACCAAACAGGGACAAACATTCCTCTCCGGCCGCAGCTTCTTCACAGCTGTTAATTAAATGCTTATAAACTAATTTTCTCTCTTGATGTTGATGTCCGCTACATCACATACACTTAATATTATTAAGAGTTCACTTCATACATCAATCGGTAAAAAGCACCATGTCATAATTAATTGCCCACCCCTGCTCTAACCAGTAGTGCCAGTAGTTTAGGATAATAATTACATTAAAATGCGTCTAACGAGTACGAGACGGTTCTCTGATTAAAAACTCTCTGATTCTGCTGCTAAAGTTCACAGGAGTCTCGTGTCTGAATGTTTTTTCTGCACAGGTTCATCAAGGCCTACAAGAAGTTTGGAGCGCCTCTGGAAAGGTGAGGATCTTCTGTGTCTTCTGTCTTAGTCGTTCCCGTGTGTCTGGGCTGAAGTGTCTCCCATGTTCACGGGTGTTGGCCTGTCAGCATCATGCTTACACTCGTCTCGCTGCTCAGGCTGGAGGCCATCGCGCGTGACTCGGAGCTGGTGGACAAGTCCATCGCGGACCTGAAGAGACTGGGGGAGCTGGTGCACTCCAGCTGCATGTCCGCCCTCCAGGAGCACGAGGAGCAGCTCCGGGACAACCCAGTGGAAGGTGAGGGACCCCAACTCTTCTGCGTACAGTGCTTTAAAGTTTGCTATCCCCTGGTGTAAACTTTAGATTTTTGGCTTTTTAGGAATGATATTACAAATAGTTTTCTTGCTCAGTGATTGTGTGAAGCCATTTCTTCAAATTAATGTGTTTAATTTTTCTATTGAGGTTAGAAACTTTGCTTCTGACCCTGATCTGAAGTCTCTCAGTTCATCCATGTAGTTTGTTGTACAGCACATGTAAAGTTACCGATGATTGTGTTCCAGCCAAAGGCCCCGGAAAACGCAGAGGGATCAACATCAAGATTTCTGGAGTCCAAGTCAACGCCAAGTCCATCATCCAGCACGAGGAGGAGTTTGAGCCACTGCACAAGGCTGTTCCCTCCAGCGTGGCAGAGAGAAACAAGTCAGTGAAGAGAAGGCAGAGCAGCTGTGAGGGCTAATGCTAATGCTAATGCTAACGCTAACGCCCCTGTGACCCCAGGTTTATGCTGAGCCTGCGGGTGAAGCAGGCACACTTTGACGTGGAGTGGGACCTGCAGGACGACACGCAGCTGCTGCTGGGCATCTACGAGCACGGCTTTGGCAACTGGGACCTCATCAAGACCGACCCCGACATGAGGCTGGTGGACAAGGCAAGTTTCCACAGCTCACACTGACCCCCACATCAGGCGGGTTTCAAAGTTCCGAATGTTGAAATTTTTGAGTTTTCACTTCAATTCATTTTGTATGGCCCTAAATCACAACAGTAGTTATCTTGTAGGACTTACAAAGGAGTTGATTTTCCAACACAGATGAGAGAATCAACCTCTCGGAACAGGGCCTTTCTAAGTCAAGTTTGCATGTTCTCCCCATGTCTGCACAGGTTTACTGAAGCTCTACCACTAAAAACATGTACAATAGTAAAATTCACCATCTCTGGTCCTGAAGAGCATCAAGATTTGGAGATGGGTCCCAGCTGCTCCTGACAAAGGGCATAGTTGCACTGAATGATGGGTCATTTGCAGACGGGCTGTGACCACCTGATCGACACGATTCAGCAAAAATAACTTGAGGGTTTACTTTCTTTCAAAATGAGGATCATGTCTCAATGGAGGAAGTCTTCTAAGTTCAGACACTGCAGTACTGGGGTTTGGCCACAAGGGTTTGTTCTTTCCCCTCTTTAGTATTCATCCAAGTATATATCGAGAAGACATTTTCCCTGATCCTTCCTGCAGTCAAACAAGTATCTCCTCCAGACTGTCATTAGCTCAGACGGTTACATGTTCTCCCTGTGTCCTCAGATTCTGCCTGACGACCCTGGGAAGAAGCCCCAAGGCAAACAGCTGCAGGCCCGGGCCGAGTACCTGCTCAAGCTGCTGAGGAAGGAGCAGGACCAGGCCCAGGACTCTGTCGAGGTACACTGTCCAGGGATGCACCGAGACATGCCCTGGATCTGCTCAAAGGGCCTGTATCAAGTGAAAGATTTTTTCATTGTCACTGAATTGAAAAAGTTTCCACTAAACCACAAACGAGATAAAACCAAAGATGTGGATTCGTGCACTAGAGCGGCTTAAGTCACAATGTTTTGGCCTTTCTTCTGTGTCTGTTCGGTCCCGGACCTGTGTGTGTTTGTAGGTCTATGTTTGGTTAAGCTCATTTTTATCAAGAGAACAACCACAGAATTTATATTACCATAAATATTGAACCCTTTTGTCCATAGAAATAAATAAAACATATCTTTACTCATTCAATAAAAGTAATTATTTGGTCAAATACCATTATTAAAAAGTCACTTCCTTTTCTGTTGTTATTAAAGATGGAGCAGATGAAACATTGTGTTACTTTTATCAATCCAGGAGCCAAACTCTCTGCAGCTTTAATGTTTATCTCTATATCTGTGTGTGCATTACTCTGTTTGCTCTAATGTTGGTATATTAGACACACACACACACATACACACACAATAACTCTACCCTTTATGGGGCCCAGCTTCAGCCAGATTCGACCGTGTGTGGCCCGTGGTTAAAGTGAGTTTGAGATGCATGTGACCCATGGTTCTCTGCGCAGGTGAAGGTGAAGGTGAAGAAGAGGAAGCCCCGAGCCAAGAAGGACTCGGCTGCAGCCAAGGACGAGGCCGGCCAGGACAAGGGCTCGCCCCGGCTGTCCGACCTGCAGTCTGAGGAGGGCCAGGTGAGACAGAGCCCAAACCCAGGCCCGGCTAGTCCCGGCTAGAGAGACCGGCTAGAGGGACCAGGCCAGAGGGACCAGGCCAGAGGGACCAGGCCAGAGGGACCAGGCCAGAGGGACCAGGCTAAGCACAGAGACGACAGCACAGACGGTCCTAGTGAATTGAAGACCTATAGTTTGTGTGTGTGTGCGGCAGGAGGACGGAGCAGAGAAATCCCCCGTCAAGAAGAGGCAAAAGAAACGAGCCAACAAGGAAAACAAGGAGAAGCAGACTACTCCCAAGAAGGACAAGGACTCTGAGAAGGAGAAGAAGAGCCCGCGCGCCCGCAAGGACAAGGTTCTGCTTGCTTTACTGACCTCATTCTGAGCAAACGGGGAAAAAGGATAATGTAGATTTGAGATGGAAGACACAGAGGGGCGAACATTTAACCTGGTCATAGTTGGTGATTGTTCTCCTAAACCTGGGGCACCAATTTGTGATCCACGGACAATTTGGCAGTGTTGTAAAGCAGGGTGCTTGCTCAAGTTTGAAAGTCTTAATAAGTATGGAACTTTGAAACACTGTTTTCCAGACCTTAAAGTCTTGAATTTTGTGTGAAAGTTTTAATAAAGTATGGGGGGAAAAATGTATGGTAGAATTTCACAGTATGCTCAAAGGCATTGTGATATGAAAAATAGGAAGGTATGCTTTAGAACTATCATTTTATTTTATTTTTTTATTGTAATTTATTATATTCCACACCAAGTAGAGAAGTAACAGTTCAAAATAAAACAAGAATACAAAAGTAAATACATTTTATCCCTCCCCCCTCCCACATGCCACCCCCCTCCCACTTCCCACCCCCCAAGATGTCCTGCGACAGGTTTTACCCAAGGCTACAAGCAGTAAAACAAGAACAAAACACAAAACAGAATATCCAAATAATGATAGTAATAATAAAATTTTGGATTAGGTTCCTTAACATGGAAAAAAAAAAAAAGTTCAAGAAAAAAAAAAAAAAAAAAAAAAAAAGTAGACACAAGAAAATGAATAAATACAAAAATAATATTATATAATATTCTTCTTACAATGTTCTTAGATTTAATAGATATATAATAATGTTATTCCAAATCTTAATAAAAGTTTCAGGTTTACCACTTATGTTATATTTGATCTTTTCAAGTTCCATGAACATCATCATATCTTTAAGCCATGTGGATACTTTCGGAGCTGTTGTTGATTTCCATTCTAGAACAATTCTTCTACGTGCGAGTAGTGTTGCAAATGCAATGCTCTTCTGATGGGTCTTTTGGCTCTCAGGTAAGACACCAAAGATTGCTAGTTCAGCACATGGTAGTAGTGATATGTTTAAGGACTCTGACAGATGTTTACTGATCATGGTCCAGTAGTACTGGAGATGTGGACAGGACCATATCATGTGAGACATATTTGCCGGAGACATGTTGCACCTGTTACAGCTATCACTTACATTTGGGTACATTTTTGAAAGTTTATGGTTGGTGAGGTACAGTCTGTGGACAATTTTAAATTGAATTAGGTTAAGCCGGCTACAGGATGTGCTGTCATTTACCAGCGTTAAGGCATTAGACCAATCTTCCACACTCATTGTCTTATGGAGTTCCTTTTCCCATTGTGTTTTCATTTTTTCCAGAGATCCCGTAGTAGCCTTTGAAATTACACAATTAAGTTTTGAGATGAGCCCCTTTTTGATAGGTGGGACATCCAAAATAAAATCAGTTATTGTGGGGGAAGGGGCATTAGGAAAGGTTTGGAAATTTAATTTAACAAAGTTTCGGACTTGAAAGTATCTAAACAAATGAGATTTTGGAAGTTTGTGTTTTTCGCAGATCTCATTAAAATTAACAAAAATGTTTTTAATGTAGAGGTCTTTTACTCTGATCAGGCCAAGTTTGTGCCAGGTAGAATAGCCTCCATCTGAATTTGGGGGGGAGAAAGCATAGTTATTACAGATAGGGCTATGAATAGACATGTCCTGGGAATGTAATGTGCGTCTGAACTGATACCAGATCTTTAATGTGGATGCAACCACTGGGTTAGAAGTGAATTGGTTGATGTTAACAGGCATTTTGGATGTAACTAGTGCCATTAAAGAGGTGGAGCAGGATTTGGCTTCTAGTTCACACAAACTTAATGATTGATCTTGCATCCACATTAGTATTTGTGTGAAGTTGGCTCTCCAGTAATAGTGTTTTAAGTTTGGGAGCGCTAAACCGCCTTTTGAGGTATGTCTCTGTAAGAACTCTGCCTTTATCCTGGGTGTTTTGCCTTTCCACAAGAATGAGGTGATTAACGTATTTACCGTCTTAAAAAAGGAGTTTGGTAAGTGAATTGGTAAGCATTGAAAAAGATATACAAAAGCTGGTAATACATTCATTTTAATACAATTAACTCGGCCAACGAGACTAATGTGTAGGTTATCCCATCTATGCAGATCTGCTTTAAGTTTATCTATTATTGATGGGAAATTGTTTTTGTATAACTCAGTCATACTCTTGGATATAAAGATCCCTAAATATTTGAATTTTTCTGAACATATTTTAAATGGAAGGTGTTTTTGATCAACTTGATTAGCATGCTCATTCACAAGGAAACATTCACTTTTGCCAAAGTTTAATTTATATCCAGAAAAGGGGCCAAATCTATTCAGTAATTTAACAATATGTGGGATTACAGAAATAGGATCGGATATGAAAAGCAATAAGTCGTCTGCATATAGGGACATTTTATTAATTGTATTAAATCTTTCAATGCCTTTAAATTTTGTTTCAGATTTAAGTGCGATTGAGAGGACCTCTATTGTCAGGGCAAAAAGTAGTGGGCTGAGAGGACAGCCTTGGCGTGTCCCTCTGCCCAACTTAAAAAATTGTGATCTAGATCCGTTTGTTATGACTGATGCTTTGGGAGACGAGTATAGAAGCTTTATCCAGGATATATATTTTGGGCCGATATTAAAACATTTTAGAGCCTCGAACAGGAATGTCCATTCAACTCGATCAAAAGCTTTCTCTGCATCCAGCGAGACCACTACTTCTGGGGTCTCACTGGATGCAGGAGAAAGAATAATACTGAGAAGGCGCCGAATGTTGGAAGAAGAATGTCGATTTTTCATAAATCCAGTTTGATCTGAGGAAATTATTTTAGGCATGATTAGTTCCAGTCAACATGCAAGTATTTTAGATAGGATTTTATAGTCTGCTTAAAAGAGATATAGGTCTATAAGAACTGCATTCGGAGCCTTCTTTACCTGGTTTTAAAATAAGCTTCTGTTAGAGTTTGTGGCAGAGAGCCCTGGGCCATAGAGTCATTAAACATGTCCAAAATAAGAGGTGCCAGTTTGGTTTGAAATGTTTTGTAAAACTCAATGGGATAACCATCTGGACCAGGGGCCTTTCCACTTTGCATTGCCATAATAGATCTTTTAATCTCATTTATGGAAAGAGGAGTATCTGTATGGCTTGTTTCAGCTTGTGTGAGTACTGGGAATTTAAGACCGTCCAAAAAAAGATTCATTTCCTTGTCGTCTGTGGGAAATTGCGAGGTGTACAGCGTGGAAAAATATGTTTTGAAAGTTTCATTTATTTTTGAATAATTAGTAGTAAGTTCACCTGATAAGGTTTTAATTTCATTTATTTGGTTCCTAGTTGTTTTATTTTTAAGCTGGTGTGCCAGATATCGTCCGGCCTTCTCACCATGCTCATAATTTATTCCACGAAGTTGTTTTAATCGATTTTCAGTTTCTTGAGTGGATAGTAGATTATATGTCATTTGGAGATTTGCTCTTTCTTTTCGTAGTACTGCGGATGAGTTCTTTGACATTGTGTCGTCTAATCGAGCTATATCTTTCAATAGTTGTTCCCTCTCTTGTTTCTTAGCTTTATTTTGTTTTGCGCTGTAAGATATAATCTCGCCTCGTATAACAGTTTTCAATGTTTCCCACAGAAGAGAAGGAGATACAGATTCTGATTTGTTATTTAACAGAAACACATCAATTGCTTCAGAGATTATAGAACAGAAGTTACTATCATTTAAAAGTGAGCAGTCAAACCTCCAAAGGGGCCTTATTTTTTGAACTAGTGATAGGGTCATATCCAGTATAAGAGGGGCATGGTCAGATATGACTATGCTGGAGTAGGTCACATTATTAACATTTTATAGAAGACTTTTATCTATAAAAAAATAATCTATTCTTGAAAAAGAGTTGTGAACATTTGAGTAAAAAGAAAATTGCTTTTTATCTGGATTCAGGGCGCGCCATGGGTCTATTCCTCCAGTTTGTTCCATGAACTGTGATATCATTTTTGACATTTTATGAGGGGAGGTAGTATTTTTGGAAGATTTATCAATCAAGGGATTCATAGTACAGTTCAAGTCTCCTCCCAAAATAAGACGATGTAAATTTAAGTCAGGTGGTACAGAAATAACTGTTTGAAAAAAGGAGGGATCGTCTCTATTTGGTGCATACAAATTAACCAAAGCCACTTTTGTGCCATCCAATTCACCAGTTACAACTAGAAACCGCCCATTCGGGTCATTAATAATACTGATTGGCTTAAAGAGAATTTTTTTATGAATTATTATGGCCACCCCTCTTGATTTACTTTTGAATTTTGAATGGAAGGTTTGCCCGACCCATGACGCTCTCAATCTGTGGTGGTCCTTTGGGACCAGATGAGTCTCCTGCAGAAAGGCTATATCAGTTTTTAATTGTTTTAAATGAGAGATTATCCGCCCTCTTTTAATAGGGCCGTTAAGACCCTTCACATTCCATGAGACAAATCTCAGACCATTTTCCTTATCACCCATTTTTAATTAATAAAACAATACAACAGAAAAGGCATGAAATATATATTGGTATTAAGGTGTATACTAAGACAGCGGTACCCAGGCAGGACAGCCCCCCCACTCCTTTTCCCAGCCCACCCAGCCCCCCCCAAATGATAAAGAAAAATTGACAGGTAAAAAACAAAAAGTGTTCCTAAGCTTGTGCCCACCCAAGGCACAGGCAGCAGGATGGTGTGTGTTGCTTGTATGATGTCCATACCGCATTTTTGAGCGCTCCATTAATGTGTCAGTTAGTCGCCTTATTTGGAGAATGTCTATAAAGTATATACAAAAGGAAGGCTCACCTCACTTCCAGTTTAGTTGTCCGGTCCTCTTTTTCAGGAATTTTTTCTTTTCTTTTTTTCCTTCTACTCACGACTAGAACTATTTCGGTCAGCAAAGACTTGAGCTTCTTCGGGAGAATCAAAATAGTGATTTTTATTTCCGCTCCACACCTGCAGGCGAGCGGGGTGTAGTAAGCGGAATTTTAGTCCGTTGCGATATAGTTTGTTCTTAACTTCTTTGAACGCACCTCGCCTCTTCGCCAAAGCAGCGCTGATATCCGGGTACACTCGAAGTGTTGAGCCGCTATATTCCAGTGGATGTTGCGTGGCCCATCTCCGGAGCGTTTCTTTATCTTGGTAACGCAGGAATTTCACGATGAAGACCCTGGGTTTCGTTGATCCACCCGTGTCTGCCGCTCGAAATCCTGGGGTGCGATGGGCGCGCTCTATCTCCGGGGGGTTTGAGAAGACATCGGGGCCAACCAGCTTCATTATCAGGTTAGCCATAAACTTGATGGGGTCTTGGTCCTTTTCGCTTCCTTCGGGAATGTTGATAATCCTCAGATTTGAACGACGGGATCTATTTTCCAGTTCCTCCACACGATCGTGGAGTATCTGTGTTTCGGTCTTGAGGGTTTTCACCTCGACCTCAATTTCTGTAATGTGTTTGAAGTTTTCTCCGACTGTAACTTCAGTTTGTGTGAGGCGAGTGTTGAACGATGCCACTTGTTGTCCAAGCTGTGACACTGATTGTTTGAGTGATTGTGTTGATTCATTCACCAAAGTTGCCATGTCTTCTTTGAAACTGTCCCGCAGTTTATTAAGCAGTGACTCGAGCTCATATTTGGTCACTGGGTCTGCGGCGCTAGGCTGATTTGCGTCTGGGAGTATTTCATCTCCGCTGCTAGTTGTGAGCTTAGCCACAGAGCTCGCAGCTCGAGTTAGTGGTGGGTTTTGCATGACGAGCTGGAGCTGCTTCTGCTTACTCATTTTTTTAGCGGAGCGTAGAGAATGTACCTTTGTTGTAGATACGGTTTAAATGTCCAATTCAGGAAGTGAGGTTTGAATGAGAAATGTTAAATTCCAAGGTTTGTTCAGAGCGCTCTGCACACACGTGTGTTCACACGGACATCCGGTGAAAAAAAGGTGGGAGAACTATCATTTTACTAACTGGTCACGTACTGTATTAGCCTGATTTATGTCCAATCAACACCTGCTTAGCCTAGTCTGGCACATTTTCGTGATGTCACTGCTGAGGTCTATTGACACATGGCTAGCCTTGTGGTCAACAGAAATGAGTCGTACCATGTTTTCACATTTATGGTCTTTTCAGTTTTATGGTCTTGGGAAAAAAAAAAAAATTATGATCATGATGATGTTTTAAGTGTGTGTGTGTATGTGTGTGTGTTGCAGCCCAAAGCCAAAGGGAAGAAGAACCAGGGCCCGGTGCACATCACTGCAGGCTCCGATCCCGTCCCCATCCAGGGCAAAGAGGAGGACGAGCTCGACCAGGAGACCTTCAGCATAGTACGTCTCCATGTGTTTATGTCTGTGTGTGTTTATGTATGTATGTGTTTCTGTGTATGTGTGTATGTCTGTATGGGTTTGTGTCTGTGTGTGTGCTCGGGCTGTCTGGATTAGAATACTGTGGTCATGAGCTTTGGGTGATGGCGATGAGGTGCAGATACAAGTGGTCCGTATGAGTTTGTGCTGTGTGTGTTATGTTATTGTGAGGAGCACTTGTGTGTGACTGTGTGGTGTTGTGTTGCAGTGTAAGGAGCGCATGCGTCCGGTGAAGAAGGCGCTGAAGCAGTTGGACAAACCCGACGAGGGTCTGTCTGACCAGGACCAGCTGCAGCACACTCGCACCTGTCTGCTCAAGATAGGAGACCGCATCAGCGAGTGTCTGAAGGCCTACAGCGACCCGGACCACGTGAAGCAGTGGAGGAGGTATGGGGGGAGGAGGAGGAGGAGGAGGAAGAGGAGATATGAGAGAGGGAAGGAGAAGGTATGAGTAGGGAGGGTTGATCCAGTTTCCCTCCAGCTCATATGGATTTAAGCTGCAGAAATGATCGGAACTTGGACTGTAATTCCCACTGCCAGCAGCAGATGGCGATGTGTCCTACATCAGACATTAAGGGACATACTGTGTGTGCAACCATTAGTTAGAGTTCTAAACAGACAGAGCAGACATCTTGGAGCACATCATACCATTGTTTATAACTTTACACTTGTCTCTTTTCCTCAGAAATCTCTGGATATTTGTGTCCAAGTTTACAGAGTTTGGTGCCAGGAAACTCCACAAACTGTACAAGATGGCCCAGAAGAAGCGCTCGCATGAAGAAGAGGTGCGATACAATTCAATTCAATTACATTTTTATATCTCTAAATCACAAGTTTATGAAGACTAATTGAATCTACACGGACATATTTATAAATGTGGTTGCGTTTGGAGTGTGTGTAAAGTGCTCTGTCTGTTGCAGAAGGAGCATAAGAAGAAGGAGGACGGCGGGAGTAAATCCAAGTCTTTCAAACCGGAGCCTTCGGGGTCCAACCGTGACCCCAGCGGAGCCTCCAAACCCCTGGGGCACCAGCGGGAGTCGTATCCCCCAGGGGGCAAGAGGAACTTCAACGACGGTAAGTCTTCATCAACAGGAGCACTGAGTATACGTCTCAGTCTATATGCATCAGTATACATACGGACACCTCTAGAATACATACAGACCTCTCTAGTCTCAGTATACATGCAGACCTCTCTAGTCTCAGTATACATACAGACCTCTCTAGTCTCAGTATACATACAGACCTCTCTAGTCTCAGTATACATACAGACCTCTCTAGTCTCAGTATACATGCAGACCTCTCTAGTCTCAGTATACATGCAGACCTCTCTAGTCTCAGTATACATACAGACAGCTCTAGTCTCAGTATACATACAGACCGCTCTAGTCTCAGTATACATTCAGACCTCTCTAGTCTCAGTATACATGCAGACCTCTCTAGTCTCAGTATACATGTCTCAGTGTTGTTTATGGGCCGTCCTTATGCCTCTTGGCGCGTGTTTGCTTGTGCAGAGCGCGGCGAGTGGCAGCGGGACAGGAAGTACCCGTATCCTGGCAACAGTGGGCCGCCGTGGGGAGAGCGGCCGCATCAGTACGATCGCTACAAAGAGCACTACGGGGAGCGGCGGCACGGAGGGGACTACCGCAGCTCCGGAGGCTACCGCAACAACACGTCGCCGCGGAAACGACCCTACGACTACGGCAACGAGCGAGACCACCGAGCGCACCGGCCCTACTATGACAGGTCACTTTCATCAAACACTAACCCTGATCCTAGAAATATACACTTAGTAGGCCCTGGAAACATGCAGGGATTTAGATTTACTAAATATATTATTCAATTCAATGTATTTGTGTGTAGTACTGAATCACAACAGCAGTCGTCTCAAAGGACTTCACCAACATATGAAGTATTAACAAACACAGGACACTCACTGAGGCTGTAGACCCAGGACTGAGGCTGTAGATCCAGGGCTGAGGCTGTAGATCCAGGACTGAGGCTGTAGACCCAGGACTGAGGCTGTAGACCCAGGACTGAGGCTGTAGATCCAGGACTGAGGCTGTAGATCCAGGACTGAGACTGTAGACCCAGGACTGAGGCTGTAGATCCAGGGCTGAGGCTGTAGATCCAGGACTGAGGCTGTAGACCCAGGACTGAGGCTGTAGATCCAGGACTGAGGCTGTAGATCCAGGACTGAGGCTGTAGATCCAGGACTGAGACTGTAGACCCAGGACTGAGGTTGTAGACCCAGGACTGAGGCTGTAGATCCAGGACTGAGGCTGTAGATCCAGGACTGAGGCTGTAGACCCAGGACTGAGGCTGTAGATCCAGGACTGAGACTGTAGACCCAGGACTGAGGCTGTAGATCCAGGGCTGAGGCTGTAGATCCAGGACTGAGGCTGTAGACCCAGGACTGAGGCTGTAGATCCAGGACTGAGGCTGTAGATCCAGGACTGAGGCTGTAGATCCAGGACTGAGACTGTAGACCCAGGACTGAGGTTGTAGACCCAGGACTGAGGCTGTAGATCCAAGACTGAGGCGGAAATCCGGCGTGAGAAAAAAAATAATGATTCCTGTCATTTGAAAAAGGTTCAAGTGTGTTCTACCAATTGTATGAAAGGATTGCATGTGTATAGCGCAGGGATTAAAGAGTTCCGTCTAAGTGACGGATTTCCGTCAAATGAAATTGGTCTGAAAAAAAAACAAAATATATAATAATAATATAATACACACAATGAAATGGTTAATTATAACAAAATATATAGTAATACGTGTGAATCTGTTGTATATATCTAGATATATATTAATAATTTGAATATAATTGTATTTATATGTATATAGAAATAAAAAGTAATATAATCACGAGTGGGCCTTGAACGTGCCGTGGCTAGCTACATGAGCGCTCCGTAAATGATTCAAGGCAATGGGACGTAGCCAAGTTAGCGATGGTAACACGGAGGTGAAAGTTTCTGAAAAGTGCACGGAGCTTTTAAAAAGGAGAAGAGGACAAGGAAAATGTAATCCCGAACGGAGCAATAACAGCCAGCAGCCCGCGGACCGGTAAACTGGGCGCGTTATCAGAGGAAAGGTAGGACATAATTAACGTTTACCAAACGCAATGCTTTTTTATTTAACGGAATGTACAATATGTACTTTGCTGTGACTGGGAATGGGGGCAAGCATGTCTTGGTGAGCTTTTGATAATATCTTGGTGGCGATCCCCATGCAAAACTGCGTGATAAAAAAGCAAATCAACGAGAGCGAACGGAAGAAACTCGCTGAAGAAAGGTGTGTGTTAGCAGGTCTTATATTCATTCATCAAAGCTAGCCTAGCATGCACGCACAATCACAATCATGGATCGTTGTTTATGGAAGAAGGAGCAGTATAAGTTGCTGTTGATAACGGAGTGAAAAATAAATGGAGGTGGGCATGGCTGGATGAGGTGGAGACGATGGGATTCTGTTGCTTCATGGTGCAAAAAGATGAAGGTGTCCGGTGCTTGTTCGTACTTCGCTATTATTATTTTTTTATATGGGAGTAATGAGAAAACAGCTTTGGATTCACCACCAGCTCAAAACTGCGCACTTGGCAGCTGTCCGTGCACTTTCCACACTTCTTTACCTGGTGCATCAGATTCAGCGACAACTGAGACTAGGCTTGCTCTGGTGGACTGTGTCTGTGACCTAAAACTATCTGTGGCTTTATCGCAGAAAATAACCTGTCGTTCAGAACCATCACTACCGCTGGTAGATTTAATTATCATTAATCATTTGCAGTTGATAAAACTGCGCTGTGCACTAGCACCAAGTTGATAGGGAAACCTTTTTCTTAAACATTGAGTGTCCACAAACAAATGTGGACAGAATTTTGAATGTCCTTTTGCGATATTTTGACGAGGACAGAGCCAAAGGACAACGCCTCATCTCGCCTCAAGTAAAGCCAATGATGCAGATGAACTACTCTCACTAATATTCTGTCTAAGAGTTGACAAGTTGCTTGATCCACTGGTTGTAATTTCACATCAAAATACACCAGTTTAAATGTATATCTTTGAAGAATTCGTTTGATCTGTAATTCATTATATTTCCATGAGAAAATTTTCAGTCAAATCTTTTTTTTTTGCTTTAACCCCTGAAATTATATGTATGAGCGTATAAAGGCGCTTATAAAAACGCTTATTAGTGATCATTCTATGATTCATATAGATGGTTCAGGCTCAGGAATTTTTTCAACTTTAACCCATGTGAGGCTGTAGATCCAGGACTGAGGCTGTACATCTAGGACTGAGGCTGTAGATCCGGGACTGAGGCTGTAGATCCAGGACTGAGGCTGTAGATCCAGGACTGAAGCTGTACATCTAGGACTGAGGCTGTAGATCCAGGACTGAGGCTGTAGATCTAGGAATGAGGCTGTAGATCCAGGACTGAGGCTGTACATCTAGGACTGAGGCTGTAGATCCGGGACTGAGGCTGTAGATCCAGGACTGAGGCTGTAGATCCAGGACTGAGGCTGTACATCTAGGACTGAGGCTGTAGATCCAGGACTGAGGCTGTAGATCCAGGACTGAGGCTGTAGATCCAGGACTGGGGGTGTAGATCCAGGACTGAGGCTGTAGATCCAGGACTGAGGCTGTAGATCCAGGACTGAGGCTGTAGATCCAGGACATCTGGGGCTTTAGATATTATGAAAATTGCAGAGCGTTTCATGTGACCTCGGTCTGTGGTATATGCTAAACAAAAAAAGATTATGTATTTTCTTACAATGGTTAAACCGGGTTGGAAAAGGGAGTCCAGTTGAACAATGGATAAATTTAGATTTAGAGTAGGATTATTTTTTTGCCTGAACTTTCGCCTTCATTTCTGTTTTCCGTCATCACCGTGAATAGAGAATGGACATTGCTGGTACATTTCTGAAAGTGCATTATGTAAACATAGAAAAACTGTATTTAAAATCCAGATCCTAAACGCCTGAATCTGTTGCAGACACTCGGACCAGAAGAGGAGGCGTCCGGACGACTACCGCGGCCCCGGGTACCACTCAGGACGGGACGGCCCCACGCAGGACTTCAGGAGGCCCCCAGAGCACAGGCAGAGCGGGCCCCCAGGAGCCGACCACTACAGGCCCTACCCCCCCGACAAACCGCCCTCCCTGGAGACACGCTCCCCCCAGGGCCACAAGAGCCCCCCCACGGAGCCCAGCGGAGGGGAGGCCGTGTGGAGCCGCAAGGCCACCTAGCCCTGACCCAGGACCACCTGATGCCGACCAGGACCACTTGAAGCCGGCCAGGACCAGGACCACCTAAAGCCGGCCAGGACTAGGACCTTGGGCAGGGGTGTCAAACGGTTCCAGAAAGGGCTGGTCTGGCCACAGATTTTTATTCCAACCCAGCGGGAGCACACCAGACTCCACCCATTTACTCAGGTGTCTAGGTTAAGACTAAAGGGGGGAATTGGGGAAAATTTGGCGATTCGATAATATCGCGATATTTGAGCCACAATTCAGTATTATTGCGATTCTTAACATAATGTGATACAGCAAGTATTGTGATTCAATTCTGCGATATATTGCAGTTCATGTCCCTCAATTCATGTGTGACATTTATTATGGTCTGCACGTGATCTGAAGCAAACAGACAGAAGGGTAGTGCAAGAACGTTAGCCTTGAACATTTGGAAACGGACCTGTATCGATTTAATTGCATCTGCTAAATAACGCGATACTGAACAGAATAAATGTTTTCCCCATCACTAGTTAAGACTGGACTGGAAATGGATGGAGTCTGCTGTGCTTCTGCTTGGTTGGAATGAAAACCCGCATCCACACTGGCACTTTGACGGCCCGAGTTGATTATCCCCGACCTAGAAGCTTCCGGTGACAAGCAGAAACACTTCCGGGTCCAGACTAAAGCGGCAGAAGGCCAGTCCGTCTGCTCGGTCCTGTCCTGTCCTTCTCACGTCCAGACTCTTCTCACTCCTGTTTCTACGGATATTTATGTTTTATTTAAACCCCGCGGGCACGTACACGGCTCAACCCGTGCTTTGCTTTTATCTCTTTGCGAGCGTCGTTAAGTTTATTTGAACCCGGAAGTGTGAGACGCTTCCACTCTGTGACCACTGTACTCTGGAGGAGGGAGGGGTCCGAGCCCAGAGCCTCCACCTCACATTCAAGTGCCAAAGCAAAGCGCTCACAGACTGCGGCTGGGCGGAGAGTCCTATGGAACTCCTGCAGAGCTGTGAGGGGGGGGGGCCTGAAAGTGCCTGAAAGTGCCTGAGCACCTACGGGACACGCGTATTAGGAGTTTTTTTTGCAATCGGACGCAAAAAGTAATGAATGTGGAAATGCACCTTCTGATGTAGCACAGGTTCATGAAGTCTCACATTTTATTCAGACGTGGCTCTGGATGTGGGGGCCCTCGGCAGGACTGCGGCTGTGGGGCCCCCAATCACACATGAATTATACCATGAGGAGCAGATCAGCATTTACACTTTTGCTTTTTGAAATGCAGGAAAACATATATTACAATCCAACTCGATGTATTTGTGTACCGCCCTAAATCACGCTGTTGTGTCAGAGGACTTTGATCTGTTGCAAATCCACAACTTTCTTCTGTTGCGAATCCACAACTTTGTAGAGAATCAAACGGTTCGAACATAGGAAATATGAGTATGTTGGGGGTTGCTCCCAGGGAAATTTGAATCAATAACTTGCTGAATTTTACATGTGAAATGTCTCATTGCCAACTTTGTTCGTCTGCAACAGTGGTTTTTCACCCACGTCTCACAAAGAACCATTTAACCCCGGGGCTCCACGTCTCCTCGTCCTGGCTCCTCCGGCCGTTTGTAGTCCGTCTGCGTCCGATCCAAGCTCACAGACGAATAGAAGAATATCCTATTTTACAAAACAGACTCGACTCACTCTGAACGAGGGCAGAGAGGGACATGGATAAGTCCTGGTGCACAGTAACTCTCTGCTCTCACACACACACACACACACACACACACACACACTGCTGTTCTGGGCGTAAATGAGGACTTCTCTTTGGCCAAAGTTGCTCTCTTTCCTCTGGGCTTTGAAGTCGAGCGGAGACGACACAAACAAAGGAGATGAGGAGTCCCGGGGTCAGAACACTGGTGACACTGGTGGCAACGCTCAAAACAAGACTGTCCCGACTCTATGCCAGGCTGAAGACTAAAGCCAGTGTGAGATGAGGCCCAGGACGGTCTGTGTCAAGATCAATCACTGCGTTTTTCCAAATAATCAATGAGGAATGTGTGAGAGAGAGAGTGGAATAAGCTTTGACTAATGTGTGTTTAGGTATTTAAGAGAATGTTATACAGGCTCTTTCTGATTCATTACACTGGACATATTTCAATTATACACTTTAGCCCTGTTTCCACCAGCCCCACTCGGCTCTTCTCGTTTCTATAAACCGGTTTCTATTACACATAAGTATCTGGTACCAAATCCTAGCAACCCACCAGTATCCGGGGAAATTCCTTGATAACCATGGCGTAACACTTTAGCACCAGTGAGGAGAGGAGAGGTGGTGGAAACGGGGCTTTTTGGTGTTGTCAAAAATCAGTCTCTATTTTTGCTAAACTATCAGTACGCATCGACATCGGACACAGAACCTGTACTGTGAAAGTTCGGTGTTGTGTCTGGATTCAGTTTGAGATTGTAGAATGGTGACTTACTTGAAAGAGAACTGTTGAAGTTGGGGAACTCAAAATCCAATCTCCCAAAAATTAGCTCTGTATTTACGATCCTTGTCTCTAGTTCATGGCTTCGTCTGTTGCTAGTTTTCATATATGTATTTTTGGATTTTCTCACATCTTCAGATTCTCCTTCAGACCGAAAAGTGACTTGGAGAAGACCACCCTCACTCAGCCAATCAGCTCTCAGTCCATAAAGTGTGTTACTGACTCACTGGGCGCATTCTTACACAAAAGCCCATATTGTATTGTGTCCTTAACAAGATAAATAATAATAATAAAAAGATCACATATTTTTCAATAACATGTTTTTTAAGGTCCAGTCTTGGCCCAGTGTTGGTTCAGTCTGTGCCCAGTCTGTGCCCAGTCTAGCCCATGTCTTGACCCAGTCTTGACCCAGTCTTGACCCTGTCTCAATCAGATGAAGGCAGTTCCCCAACTTTAACAGAAACCACACCTCTCCTCTCAGTGTTTGACCGTTTCCATGTTTCCAATGTTACGAAGTGAAGTCTTAAATCATGTGTTTTGAGCCGGCTCCTGCGGCGCATGAGCAGTATTACAAGCAGTCCAGTTTTGGTCCAGTCTGGGTCCAGTCTGGGTCCAGTCTTGGTCCAATCTGGGTTCAGTCTTGGTCCAGTCTTGGTCCAATCTGGGTCCAGTCTTGGTCCAATTTGGGTCCAGTCTTGGTCCAATCTGGGTCCAGTCTTGGTCCAGTCTTGGTCCAATCTGGGTCCAGTCTTGGTCCAGTCTTGGTCCAATCTGGGTTCAGTCTTGGTCCAGTCTTGGTCCAATCTGGGTCCAGTCTTGGTCCAATCTGGGGTTCAGTCTTGGTCCAGTCTTGGTCCAATCTGGGTCCAGTCTTGGTCCAATCTGGGGTCCAGTCTTGGTCCAGTCTTGGTCCAGTCTTGGTCCAATCTGGGTCCAATCTGAGTCCAATCTGGGTCCAGTCTTGGTCCAGTCTAAGCCCAGTCATGGCCCAGTCTCGACCCTGTCTCTGGACGTTTGAAGTGTGCTGGAGGTGCTCTGTAGCGCCACCTGCTGGGAGCCAGGCCGTGTCCCTCTTGAACGCTCTCAATGGCGTTCCTTCAGCTTTCCTCGTGCCTTATTTGTGTTTGGTGGTATTAAAGTGAGTATTACTGGGACCATCTCCTGCTGGACCGCGGCTCGGCCCTGGACTCTGGAGGCCGCCGCGTATGTCGAGGTAATAATTTATATTTGAGGCGTGTTGTACATACAGTATGGGACATGTGGAATAAATGACTCATGTGTTCACAAGACTCTGCCTTTGTCTTGTCGTTATTGAAATAATGTAATTCTGTTTATTTACTTGGATCCACATTAGCTTCCACAGGTGCTCGCTGCTTCTTCCTGGAGTTTCTTTGTGACTGGATCAACCTCGATTTTTATACTTTGACGTGTGTGAAATTGTTGTAGGCTTCTGTCAAAACAAATACTACTCATAATAATGTTCAGCGCAAATATAGTGATTTAAAAATTATTAGTTTCTGAAATCAAAGGGAATTAACTTTTTCTAGATTTGCGTTTTTCAGTGTAGTTGATGCAAGTTGTATTTAACCCATTGACGTATTTGTCTGAGACCCTCTTTTCCACTGGGGATTACAGGACAAGAAAAATTGCTAGAAACAAACTTTTTTTTGCTGTTGAAAGTAGGTTACCCTGTCTTTCATAATCTGGTTTCATATTTTACATAGTCTTAGGAAATAATATTCTATGGGTCTTGAGAATCAGTAGGGAGTCAATGAGTTAAAGAAAAAAATGGCCAAAAGCTGAAAGTTTGTCAAAGTAAACCAGGAAAGGACAAACACAGTTCAGAACAAGACTTTTTACTCAATAAATAACATTATAAACAACGACACACCAGACTGACTGTACAAACATCTGTCTGGTATTATATTATTTTCATTTTCAAAAACACAACACAGTGTAATAAAGAGCTCCACAAACATAAAGTGCTTGAATGAAAACATGAGCCGCAGCACTTCACAGAGAAAACCGTATACAGTGGTCCTGAAATAACAGCACTAAGTTAAATATTTAAATCCTTAGAGCTGGTGCAAACGGGGCTTTTTGATGTGGTCAAAAATCAGTCCCTAATTTTTGTTTTGATTTCAATACGCACCGACTAAAATTTTAAACTGCAGCTGTATGTTTTAAGGCTGTAAAACCCTCACACTTTTTACACTTCTCTAACCCCGACTGCTGAAGTGAGAGAGACCAGAGATAGCAGACCTGTTGGTTGTAGGTCTGAGCGCTGCTGCAGCTGTCAAAAGCCATGCATACACTGTAAAATACAGCTGCAGAGGAGACTTGGGTCACAATCACAGCGGTGCACACAAAGCACTCAAGTTTTCTTAAGACTTTAAATATTGGTAACTGTCATGTTAAACTTGTGGTTATGATGATGTTGTTGGAGTTTACACGCGACACATGAGACGCACACTGTAAAAATAATCCATGCGACCGTGAAGCAAGGTGCATTATATCAGGGACCACTGTATAATAATTATTCATATGATTCATAACTGCCTCGTGACGTTTCCAGATTCCCTCCTGAGGCTGTTCACTCATGTTTTCTACTGTTCACATGTTTAAAATTCACAAAATCACAACAAAGTCGAAAACTAACAAAACAACAACAGACGACACTGAGGGCCCTGCAGACTCCGCTCAGACCATAGATCATGTCAGAGTTATAACACAATTGTCGTCATTAAACATGAGAATGTGTTGGGAAAGCGAGGGGAGGTCAGTGTCCAGGTAACGTCATGTTGAGCTAACATCGAGCTAACATCAGGCTAATGTCAAGCTAAGGTTAGACTAAACTCCGGCTAATGTCAAGCTAGCCTCAGGCTAATGTTCAGCTAACGTTCTGCTAACAGTACATTGAATAAGTGCTGAGATATGGGATGGAGAGTCCTGGTTCAAAAATATTTCTAATTCAAATTTGAAACATTGTAGTATTGAAGTGTTGCCTTGTAAATATATGTTATTATGAAATCTTTTATTCAATATCGTGATTGTTTAATTGTTTAAAAAGTCAAATAGATTCAAAGAGAAGGTATTAAACATGTGACAAAAACCTTCACTTTGACTCGGTGTAAAAAATATCAGACCTTGTGCTACTGGATCACCGACCAATCAGGTGACAGCATGTTAGCTCCGCCCACCGCACTCGGGACGGTCCCAGACTCTTGATACCAGAGTCTGCTGAAACCCAAGACCAGGGGCCAATCTGTCCTATGTGTCCCCGGTCTTGGAGCTCTGAGGGCCCTCACAGCTCTGACACAGCTCTGAGGGCCCCTGAGTGTGGCCCCAGTTCTGCTCACATTAACGACCAGACTGAGACTATCGACCCAACAGCAGCACTGCTGTTAGCATGAGACACACAGGGGCCTCTGTGGGGCCCGGGGCCCGGCTCCTCTGCTCCTCAAACAGGTGGTGTCTCTGGCTGTTGGAGTGCAGCAGCTTGACGTCCTCGAAGGCGTAGAAAGCCGCCATCGTGAAGTTGATGTCTCCAGTCGACAACAGGTCGAACACACAGGACTGGAAGTACAGGTCCTCCACTGGGAGGCGCTCTTTGCACATGGCTTTAGCCGTGTGGTAGCTGAGGCCCCTGGGGGCCTGAGGCGTGCGGCTCAGGTGGATGCGTTGGTTGGTGGGACAGCCGTGGAGACACAGGTACAGGTCCTCGGGGTCGCCCTCCTCCGCAGCGTGCACCACCTCCTCGGGCATTCGCACCGCGAAGGTCAGGTAGCGGCCGACTTGCCGCAGCACCATGGTGGTGCCGATGTAGCGCGCCTGGATCTCCACGTGCGCTCCGGGCGTGCGCTCTGTGATGCGCAGGCTGCTGGCGCCCGCGCGCTCGCCTCCGTTCCTGGAGCCGTCGGTGAAGGCGGTCGGCAGCTCATCCGTCTCAGCGAGGTACGTCTTCTGCTCCGCGCACTCAGGGAAGTTCTTAAAGATGATGGTGATCTGCACAAAGACAGCGCAGACAAGAGGCCGAGGGTGAGTCACTGTAAGAGCTGTCGTAGTTTTGACACAGTGGGTCTGCTCCTGGTGTCAAAACTACCATAGTTACCTGTTTCTCCTTGTTCTCTGGTTCAGACTGGACTTCACGTTTTATAAAGCTAAATTTAAATAGAAAACGGCAAATGTTTTTCAAACGTAGGAGTACAACATACTGTATGTTCTGTAACTGTTACTGTCCACGCTCGTGTGGACTGAGGGTTTCAAAATGAGGCACTTATTTTTTTCACACTGAAGTGAATGTGAAAGATCAGAGTTGGAGGATCTGTGATGTCACCGATCTGTGATGTGACTGACCTTGGTGGTGGCCGTTGCCATGGCGCCGGGCCGCACAGGCGTGTTGGTGACCTGCACAGACAGGTACTTGTTGTGGATGAGGGGCCAGGCGCCCTCCACGCGGCACGTGTGGAAGCGGTCCCCAAAGGTGCGCAGGTGCGGGTCTCCGAAGAAGCCGCAGTGAGCGTAGGCTGGCGGCGGACTGCGCACATACTGACACGTGTCTGGTGTGTCAGAGAGAGGAGGGGGCGGGGCCTGAGGGGGCGGGACCTGAGGCGGGCGTGGCTGGGTGGTAGGGCCCTCTTTAGAACAGTTGTGTTGCATCATGAGGTCCTCGATGCCGTGCTGCGCAGAGTGATAAGCCAGATCCCCGCGACAGGTGCGCGCCGTGCGCCGCACACAGCTGTTGTAGGCGCGCAGAGCCACACAGAACTCCTCCTCGGCCCCGGGGCCCCCAGTCAGGGCCCAGAAGTCTGCATTACACTTCAGGATCTTACACTGGAGGCTCCCTGTGAACACAGGCACACACAGAGACACACACACAGACACACACACAGAGAGACAGACGCACACAGACACAGACACACAGACACACACACACACACACACTGCTGTTATATTCAATACTCCATCTTTTTCCCATTGACCCACTTCTCACTGGTTCAAACCAAAGCCACGACTCACGACGACATCGTCTCGTTCAAATAAACCAATAATAAACAGATCCATGTCCTCGACTCTTCTGCAACAGCTTCCGACAATAAAACTCCAGTCGGGACACGTCTGGACACGCCTCTTTTACATGAAAACTGTGTGAGTGCATCAAAAATAACGTTTCATAATGTGATCCACTTCAGAAACAAAGAGATGTCGATGTGAGCGCCTCCGAGAAACAACATGGCCGCCGCATTTTAACTGAAGCAGCTTTAACCGAGCCCTGGCGATCCAAGATGGCGCTGTATTCAAATGAATTGTTTGTGCTCAGTGGCACATGTGCGGACACGGGCGCCAAAAGTTTAGCGGAACTTGCCTATATTTGGGCATCGTCTGGTCCTTCCGGTTCTGCGCAGTGGATGATCTCCCATGATGCTCTGTGGCAAATAAGCATGTGTGGCTCTCATGCACGTGCACAGAGGGGCTCGGCCGCGCTCTGACCAATCAGAGCTGCACATCAGAGCGGGAGCCAAACGAGCAGAGTGTGTGGCAGTAAAATGTGGATTTAAAGAAAACTGAAGGATTTAAGAAGTTTGGTTTGTTGGTGTTGATGGTGTTGATGGTGTTGATGGTGGCTGTGCTTCTCACCAGAGGGACAGAGCGACAGGAGCAGAGCCAGCAGCCCACACACGTCCAGCGCTGACGGCCTCCTCCGCTTCCCCATCCCCAGGCTTCCGGACCAGGCTCTAGGGGCTCTGGGGGGGTCCGCTGTCCCTAAACACACACACACATTTTGTCAGCCCATGTCTCTCAGTGAATGTGCCATAAAGAAATATACTTACTTTAGATTTATTTTATTTACTCAATCCTGAGCAGGCGCTTGCGGGACACCTACATGTAGCGTGGGGGTCCTCGAAACAGCTCTGATGTGCGAATGTAGAAGTCCATCTGTGTAAACAAACAACGACAGGCCGTGGTGAGGTCCCAGACTCACAGACTCAGGCTCTGGGGAACACAGCTCCTGAGAGAGAACTCCGCAACCTTTGATTTCAGCGTCAGAGACTTTTCTGAAACGGCAGGAAGTCTTCAGTGTCTCTGAAACATTTGCTGTTTTGTGTTTTACAATCATTATTTTTCTTGCTTTTTTCTGGCTGTAAATGTTACTGCAGTAAAGTGTTCATGGTTTTACAGTGATCCAGACAAAGCAGAGAATGCATGGTCCAAACCAAGCAGATTAAGCTTAAATCCATTGGAAAAATGCTATTGAAGCATTCAGAATTTCACTCTGAACCAGAGCAGAGACAATGTTTCGAACCAGAGCAGACTCTGCAGCTCATCACCAGCAGCTGCTCTACCTCTGCTCACTATTTTGTGTATCTTTTAGAACTATCAATTTATTTATTTTAATGGATGGATGTGTGTCTGCTGCTCGACACCTGCATTTCTCCAACTGGCATCAATAAAGTCTATCGATAAAAACTACTGCAGAACAAAAAAAGGTTTTTCTATGGTCTATTTGGTTTGAATCTCCATCCCCCATCTCTCATAAGTCTCCATCCCCCATCTCTCATAAGTCTCCATCCCCCATCTCTCATAAGTCTCCACCCCCCATCTCTCATAAGTCTCCATCCCCCGCTCTCCATAAGTCTCCATCCCCCATCTCTCATAAGTCTCCACCCCCCATCTCTCATAAGTCTCCATCCCCCATCTCTCATAAGTCTCCATCCCCATCTCTCATAAGTCTCCACCCCCATCTCTCATAAGTCTCCATCCCCCATCTCTCATAAGTCTCCATCCCCCATCTCTCATAAGTCTCCACCCCCCATCTCTCATAAGTCTCCACCCCCCATCTCTCATAAGTCTCCATCCCCCATCTCTCATAAGTCTCCATCCCCCATCTCTCATAAGTCTCCATCCCCATCTCTCATAAGTCTCCGCCCCCCATCTCTCATAAGTCTCCACCCCCCATCTCTCATAAGTCTCCATCCCCCATCTCTCATAAGTCTCCACCCCCCATCTCTCATAAGTCTCCACCCCCCATCTCTCATAAGTCTCCATCCCCCATCTCTCATAAGTCTCCATCCCCCATCTCTCATAAGTCTCCACCCCCCATCTCTCATAAGTCTCCATCCCCCATCTCTCATAAGTCTCCACCCCCCATCTCTCATAAGTCTCCACCCCCCATCTCTCATAAGTCTCCACCCCCCATCTCTCATAAGTCTCCATCCCCCATCTCTCATAAGTCTCCATCCCCCATCTCTCATAAGTCTCCATCCCCCATCTCTCATAAGTCTCCATCCCCCATCTCTCATAAGTCTCCACCCCCCATCTCTCATAAGTCTCCATCCCCCATCTCTCATAAGTCTCCATCCCCCATCTCTCATAAGTCTCCACCCCCCATCTCTCATAAGTCTCCACCCCCCATCTCTCATAAGTCTCCATCCCCCGCTCTCATAAGTCTCCATCCCCATCTCTCATAAGTCTCCATCCCCCGCTCTCATAAGTCTCCATCCCCATCTCTCATAAGTCTCCATCCCCCATCTCTCATAAGTCTCCATCCCCCATCTCTCATAAGTCTCCATCCCCCATCTCTCATAAGTCTCCATCCCCCATCTCTCATAAGTCTCCATCCCCCATCTCTCATAAGTCTCCACCCCCCATCTCTCATAAGTCTCCATCCCCCATCTCTCATAAGTCTCCACCCCCCATCTCTCATAAGTCTCCATCCCCCATCTCTCATAAGTCTCCATCCCCCATCTCTCATAAGTCTCCATCCCCCATCTCTCATAAGTCTCCACCCCCCATCTCTCATAAGTCTCCATTCCCCATCTCTCATAAGTCTCCATCCCCCATCTCTCATAAGTCTCCATTCCCCATCTCTCATAAGTCTCCATCCCCCATCTCTCATAAGTCTCCACCCCCCATCTCTCATAAGTCTCCACCCCCCATCTCTCATAAGTCTCCACCCCCCATCTCTCATAAGTCTCCACCCCCCATCTCTCATAAGTCTCCATCCCCCATCTCTCATAAGTCTCCATCCCCCATCTCTCATAAGTCTCCACCCCCCATCTCTCATAAGTCTCCACCCCCCATCTCTCATAAGTCTCCATCCCCCATCTCTCATAAGTCTCCACCCCCCATCTCTCATAAGTCTCCACCCCCCATCTCTCATAAGTCTCCATCCCCCATCTCTCATAAGTCTCCATCCCCCATCTCTCATAAGTCTCCACCCCCCATCTCTCATAAGTCTCCACCCCCCATCTCTCATAAGTCTCCATCCCCCATCTCTCATAAGTCTCCATCCCCCATCTCTCATAAGTCTCCATCCCCCATCTCTCATAAGTCTCCGCCCCCCATCTCTCATAAGTCTCCACCCCCCATCTCTCATAAGTCTCCATCCCCCATCTCTCATAAGTCTCCATCCCCCATCTCTCATAAGTCTCCATCCCCCATCTCTCATAAGTCTCCACCCCCCATCTCTCATAAGTCTCCATCCCCATCTCTCATAAGTCTCCACCCCCCGCTCTCATAAGTCTCCATCCCCATCTCTCATAAGTCTCCATCCCCATCTCTCATAAGTCTCCATCCCCCATCTCTCATAAGTCTCCATCCCCCATCTCTCATAAGTCTCCATCCCCCATCTCTCATAAGTCTCCATCCCCCATCTCTCATAAGTCTCCACCCCCCATCTCTCATAAGTCTCCACCCCCCATCTCTCATAAGTCTCCATCCCCCATCTCTCATAAGTCTCCACCCCCCATCTCTCATAAGTCTCCATCCCCCCATCTCTCATAAGTCTCCATCCCCCATCTCTCATAAGTCTCCACCCCCCATCTCTCATAAGTCTCCATCCCCCATCTCTCATAAGTCTCCATCCCCCATCTCTCATAAGTCTCCATCCCCCATCTCTCATAAGTCTCCATCCCCCATCTCTCATAAGTCTCCACCCCCCATCTCTCATAAGTCTCCATCCCCCATCTCTCATAAGTCTCCACCCCCCATCCCTCATAAGTCTCCATCCCCCATCTCTCATAAGTCTCCACCCCCCATCTCTCATAAGTCTCCGCCCCCATCTCTCATAAGTCTCCGCCCCCCATCTCTCATAAGTCTCCATCCCCATCTCTCATAAGTCTCCATCCCCATCTCTCATAAGTCTCCATCCCCCGCTCTCATAAGTCTCCATCCCCCATCTCTCATAAGTCTCCACCCCCCATCTCTCATAAGTCTCCATCCCCCATCTCTCATAAGTCTCCATCCCCCGCTCTCATAAGTCTCCATCCCCATCTCTCATAAGTCTCCATCCCCCATCTCTCATAAGTCTCCATCCCCCATCTCTCATAAGTCTCCATCCCCATCTCTCATAAGTCTCCATCCCCCATCTCTCATAAGTCTCCACCCCCCATCTCTCATAAGTCTCCATCCCCATCTCTCATAAGTCTCCACCCCCCATCTCTCATAAGTCTCATCCCCCATCTCTCATAAGTCTCCCCTCTCATAAGTCTCCATCCCCCATCTCTCATAAGTCTCCATCCCCCCCATCTCTCATAAGTCTCCACCCCCATCTCTCATAAGTCTCCATCCCCCATCTCTCATAAGTCTCCATCCCCATCTCTCATAAGTCTCCATCCCCCATCTCTCATAAGTCTCCATCCCCCATCTCTCATAAGTCTCCATCCCCATCTCTCATAAGTCTCCACCCCCATCTCTCATAAGTCTCCCCCCCATCTCTCATAAGTCTCCACCCCCATCTCTCATAAGTCTCCACCCCCATCTCTCATAAGTCTCCATCCCCCATCTCTCATAAGTCTCTCCATCCCCCATCTCTCATAAGTCTCCACCCCCCATCTCTCATAAGTCTCCATCCCCCATCTCTCATAAGTCTCCATCCCCCATCTCTCATAAGTCTCCACCCCCCATCTCTCATAAGTCTCCATCCCCCATCTCTCATAAGTCTCCACCCCCCATCTCTCATAAGTCTCCATCCCCCATCTCTCATAAGTCTCCATCCCCCATCTCTCATAAGTCTCCATCCCCCATCTCTCATAAGTCTCCATCCCCCATCTCTCATAAGTCTCCATCCCCCATCTCTCATAAGTCTCCATCCCCCATCTCTCATAAGTCTCCATCCCCCATCTCTCATAAGTCTCCATCCCCATCTCTCATAAGTCTCCATCCCCATCTCTCATAAGTCTCCACCCCATCTCTCATAAGTCTCCACCCCCATCTCTCATAAGTCTCCATCCCCCATCTCTCATAAGTCTCCATCCCCCATCTCTCATAAGTCTCCATCCCCCATCTCTCATAAGTCTCCATCCCCCATCTCTCATAAGTCTCCATCCCCCATCTCTCATAAGTCTCCACCCCCCATCTCTCATAAGTCTCCATCCCCCATCTCTCATAAGTCTCCACCCCCCATCTCTCATAAGTCTCCACCCCCCATCTCTCATAAGTCTCCATCCCCATCTCTCATAAGTCTCCATCCCCATCTCTCATAAGTCTCCACCCCCCATCTCTCATAAGTCTCCACCCCCCATCTCTCATAAGTCTCCATCCCCCATCTCTCATAAGTCTCCATCCCCATCTCTCATAAGTCTCCACCCCCCGCTCTCATAAGTCTCCATCCCCATCTCTCATAAGTCTCCATCCCCATCTCTCATAAGTCTCCATCCCCCATCTCTCATAAGTCTCCATCCCCCATCTCTCATAAGTCTCCATCCCCCATCTCTCATAAGTCTCCATCCCCCATCTCTCATAAGTCTCCACCCCCCATCTCTCATAAGTCTCCACCCCCCATCTCTCATAAGTCTCCATCCCCCATCTCTCATAAGTCTCCATCCCCATCTCTCATAAGTCTCCATCCCCCGCTCTCAGCAGAGTCTGGTCTGATGTTAAACTGGTCGTTAGAATCAAAAAGATTGGGGACCACTGCTTTATATTACTGTGTTTGTGTATAACTTCCTACTGGGACTCTACTCTACTCTACTCTACCCTACTCCACTCTACTCTACTCTACTCTACTCTACTCTACTCTACTCTACTCTTCCCTACTCTACTCTACTCTACTCTTCCATACTCTACTCTACTCTACTCTTCCCTACTCTACTCTACTCTACTCTTCCCTACTCTACTCTACTCTACTCTACTCTACCCTACTCCACTCTACTCTACTCTACTCTACTCTTCCCTACTCTACTCTACTCTTCCCTACTCTACTCTACTCTACTCTTCCCTACTCTACTCTATCCTCTTCTCCTCTACTCTACTCTACCCTACTCTACTCTACTCTACTCTTCCCTACTCTACTCTACTCTACTCTACCCTACTCTACTCTACTCTTCCCTACTCTACGCTTCCCTACCCTACGCTACCCTACTCTACTCTACTCTACTCTTCCCTACTCTACGCTTCCCTACTCTACTCTTCCCTACTCTACTCTACTCTACCCTACTCTACTCTACTCTACTCTTCCCTACCCTACTCTACCCTACCCTCCTCTCTTCTCTCCTCTCATCTACTCTACTCTACCCTACTCTACTCTACTCTACGCTTCCCTACCCTTCTCTCTACTCTATCCTACCCTACCCTCCTCTCCTCTCCTCTACTCTACTCTACTCTACTCTTCCCTACTCTACTCTATCCTCCTCTCCTCTACTCTACTCTACTCTTCCCTACTCTACTCTATCCTCCTCTCCTCTACTCCACTCTACCCTACTCTACTCTACTCTACTCTACTCTACTCTTCCCTACTCTACTCTACTCTACTCTACTCTACTCTACCCTACTCCACTCTACTCTACTCTACTCTACTCTACTCTTCCCTACTCTACTCTACTCTTCCCTACTCTACTCTTCCCTACTCTACTCTATCCTCCTCTCCTCTGCTCTACTCTACCCTACTCCACTCTACCCTACTCTACTCTACTCTACTCTTCCCTACCCTACTCTACTCTACTCTTCCCTACTCTACTCTACTCTACTCCACCCTACTCTACTCTACTCTTCCCTACCCTACTCTACCCTACCCTCCTCTCTTCTCTCCTCTCATCTACTCTACTCTACCCTACGCTCCTCTACTCTACTCTACCCTACCCTTCTCTCTACTCTATCTTACCCTACCCTCCTCTCCTCTCCTCTCCTCTCCTCTCCTCTACTCTTCCCTACTCTACTCTACTCTACACTACTCTACTCTACTCTACTCTGCCCTACTCTACTCTACTCTACGCTTCCCTACCCTTCTCTCTACTCTATCCTACCCTACCCTCCTCTCCTCTACTCTACTCTACTTTACTCTACTCTACTCTAATCATAAAAAAGTGCTATAATAGGTTCTATGTATTATTATTATTTTATTAATAAAGTGACCCCCCCCCCAAACACACCTCCCTCCAGGACCCTCGTCATTGAGCAGTGGTCTTTAGTGTTTGAGTGACGGGAGAACCACAGGACACTCAGGAGAAACCAACGGGAATCAAACCAGCAACCCACACATAACCTGTGAGGCCAAACCTGGGGTATAATGTGATCAGGTCTCGTTGTCTCTCGTTTGTATTTGCACGTTTGAAACATGTCGGGGCAGGAGACGTTTTACCTGCTGACACCAGACGGGACCAGGATGTGCGTCTGCCGCTGGAGAACACTCAAAAACTCAAAAACTTGTTTATTTGAAAATTGTGCCACACATTAATCACTGCTAACTGTATTGCACCTCGGTATTGCACCTTATTGGACTGTACTTTTATATTTTGAATGCACTGTGAATATCTATGATTTTAATGCCTTGTGTGATTGTTGCCTTGTGTATGAAATGTGCTACATAAATAAATTTCCCTTGCCTATATATTTTGATAACTTGCACTTTTTATTGAACCGTATCATTCAATCAATAAACCTTTTTTTATTTTGACCTTTTTTTTGGTCAAATCCAGTGTCATGGCAGTTCCTAATACATAAAAAAACCCACAAAACGTCTTTGTACACTCTGTACTTCTACGCTCATTTGAAAACAAATAACAAAACAATAAACACAATAAAAATATGAGAAGCAATACATAATCACAAAAAATGCAGGAAAATACAAAAAAGATAATTCAAAAGGGAGTGGGAAGATGTAAATACTCATTTATATAGAAGGATTTTCTACTTTCAGTCGATCATCAAGACTATTGGTCCTTCCAACTGTCAATCATTCTGGTGATACGTGCTCGTCCAATAAGACCAGAGAGTTTTGTTCAAAAAGTGGAGAGGGCGGTTCTTTCCTAAATTTGAATCCTTCGAGGAGCTACTTGACAGCTGTTGGTGAGCTACTTGACAGCTGTTGGGGAGCTACTTGACAGCTGTTGGGGAGCTACTTGACAGCTGTTGGGGAGCAACCTGACAGCTGTTGGGGAGCTACTTGACAGCTGTTGGGGAGCTACCTGACAGCTGTTGGGGAGCTACTTGACAGCTGTTGGGGAGCTACTTGACAGCTGTTGGGGAGCAACCTGACAGCTGTTGGGGAGCTACCAGACAGCTGTTGGGGAGCTACCAGACAGATGTTGGGGAGCTACCTGACAGCTGTTGGGGAGCTACCTGAAAGCTGTTGGGGAGCTACCTGACAGCTGTTGGGGAGCTACCTGAAAGCTGTTGGTGAGCTACCTGACAGCTGTTGGGGAGCTACCTGACAGCTGTTGGGGAGCAACTGGTAGCTCCCCAGTTACAGGTTGGAGACCCTTGATGTTTTTGAACTGCTGCCACCACAAGAGCCTCTGTGGCTTTAAGAAATACTAATGACTTGGAATTTCGAAATAAAAAGTACATATAAAGTAGCCTGGTCTTACCGCACCATCGTACTCATTTCATTTCATACTAAGGCCTGATTTTGCTCCATTGACTCCGTGAACAGGTGGAAGGGGTTAACTCCTTTTGCAGATTGAAACGATTGGATCTGAGTTTACTGTGACGTTTGTAATGAGCCCGAGAGAGGGAGGCATTTAGCATTTAGCCTAGCTTTAGCATGTAGCCTAGCTTTAGCTATCTCCTTTGCCATTAACGGAGCCCGTGGGGAGTAGAGCCACAACATCTTTGCCTCAATATTTGCTAAACATTCCTCTTGCTTCAGTTTCAATTTCTTGATATTTTGAGCTGAACCCGAACAGATTATTTCACTATTGCATTAAGTAAGTAATCTTTGTTGATATAGCGCCTTTCACAGAGCAGAGTCAAAGCGGTTTATAATTGTGGGCATTTGTCTCACACTCCACAGAGATGGGAGCGGGGCCAGAACATGAGGCACGTGCTAGAACTTATTGTACATGTTTTTAGTGGTAGGGGAAACCGGAGCACCCGGAGGAAACCTACGCAGACACAGGGAGAACATGCAAACTCCACTCAGAAAGGCCATGTTTCCGACCGGGATTTGAATCCTATGGAGGTTTTGCTGAGAAGCAAGAGTGCTATCCACTCAGCCACCGCATTTTCCGCCAAACTACAACCAGCAAATTCGGCGCAAACTCTTGACGTCACTGACACCGACCTGCCACACCCGCCTCCCCCGCTCTCTGATTGGTCGGAGAGGATTCAGCCGAGGAAACTGCAGCCACTAGGATCAGACCCAGACGTACATGTGGGAGATGATGATGGACCAGAGTTTACGGATGGATAACGCTTCATATAAAGTGACGTCTGAGCATTTCTCTGCCTGGTCCTATTTTTGGCACGTGTTTCCTGGACGCGGCGCTGCCTGAATGTGGATCTGTATGGGGGGCTTAGGGTTAGAGTTTTCTTTATGGGTGTGGGTTCTCTGTGTACCAGGGGTCTCCAAGTTTTTTCCAACACGAGAGCGACTGTATATCACAACAAAAAGGATGAGCTAATATTTTAGGCAGTGAGAAAAAGCCGACATGTTGAAGCAAAGCCTTGAAGCAAAGTATAGGAGGATTTTCCCAAACTCTCTGGTCTTATTGGACGAGCACGTATCACCAGAATGATTGACAATTTGGAGGACCAATAGTCTTGATGATCCACCCGGAAGTAAAAAAAAACTTCCTGTATACCTTCAAAACAAATTGTATTTATTGGACAAGCAGCTTTTGTCATAATTACATTATATTCACGTGCCTTCATTTAAATTTGAGCCTAGTCTGACTTTAATATTTGTGTTTCTTTTGCAGCGTCGCCTTACATACACACACAACAGTCTATTCTGCACAAAAAAGCCTATTGTATGACTACTTTAAAATCAGTGTGTGTCTCAGTGCGTGGAGCGGAGCGTTTGGAAAGATCTATCAGATTAATTAAAAACCTGCTCAAACCTGATTACATCTAAAAGAATGATTAAAAAAGATGTATTGAGGAAATATGTGGAAGAAATAGAGCGATGTCTCAAGCACGGAGTGATTTGTGGGAGAGATGTGTAGGGTCGGAGAGTGTTCGGGCCTGTGTGTGTGTTTTGTGTTGTCTGTTTTATACCATCGGTGGTAGAAGAAGAATCTGCTTCATCCAAGTTATTTGTCTGTAAATATTGATTTAAGTATAAAAAGTATTGCGTAGGTTCGAAATTAATACATAGAAAAATATGTGTCTATTCTTAATCCTTTGGGGAGCTATACTTGGAAAGCTATGGCGAGCTACTCGTGGCTCCCGGGCTATAGTTGGAGACCCCTGCCGTGTGCCGTGTCTGCAGCCGCGCTCGGAAACATACCTCGCACATGACGCATCGCTGGACGTGACTGACAATCTCCGTGTGCGTAAAAGCGAATCTGCCAAAGCACTTGGCACGCACGCGTAAAAGGGACGGAGACGCATTACCAGAGACGCACAAAAGCTGTCTGACATGGACCGACCTTCGCGGCTGCATGGCGTCTCCACTCCCGCAGAGATCCATCCAGCGGGGAGCGTGGAAGGGTGTCAGTGTCGGGGGAAGTCAAAGCCCTCTGCTCCCGACGGTGAATCCTCCATAGCGTCCATCGCGCGTCCTGCTGGTTCTGGTTCTCCCCGGTGTCGCTAGTTCTCTGCCCCCGTGTCCCTGGTTCTCTCCCCCCCACAGTGTCACAGAGCAGGGTGTATGTTCCACGGTGGTCTGGACTGTTCGTGTCCGAGGAGAAGTGAGAAGTATCTGGGTAAAGAGAGAAGGAAAAGCCCTGAGGAGGTGTGTGTGTGTATACGAGCACCGTGTAAAAAGATCTATGTGTGTGTGTGTGTGCGAGTGTGTGTGTGTATGCGTGCGTGTACTTGTCTATATGAGCACCGCGTAAAGAAATCTATGTGTGTGTGTGCGTGTTTGTGTGTGCGTGTATATGTGCAAATGTATGTCTATATGCGTGGGCGTTCGTGTGTGCGTGTGCGTGTGCGTGTGCGCGTGCGTGCGTGCGTGCGTGCGTGCGTGCGTGTGTGTGTGTGTGTGTGTGTGTGTGTGTGTGTGTGTGTGTGTGTGTGTGTGTGTGTAATAGAGAGGGGCAGGTCGTTAGAAAGTGTGAAGAGACAGTGATTGGGGAGAGCGGAGCGTCCAGGGCCGTGCGGAGCGACAGCGCGGCCTCTAGCGAAGGACTGGGGGCCCATGGAAGAGGGCTTGAGGGGTTTTTAATTAGCTATGACGGAGCGGAAGTTGGTTGAATGACCATCTAACATCTCACCAGCTACATCTAAACCATAAACTTAACTAAGATAAGAAAAGAGAACCTTTTTTCGTCCCATGGGGAAATTTCAATGTTGCAGCGACAATATGAGTAGCTGCTATGTTTCTGAGCTGTAAATGATTCGATATCAATATGTCGGTAAATATAAAGCAACAGTGTTTGAAATAAGACTAATTAATCATTTTTTTCAGTGTATGAAGTTATTCTCTGTCTGCATTTGTGGCCCACACCTGTGAGAATGTCAGCTTTAGGAGACGGGGGAGGGTGGGGAGAGAGGGGGGGGGGTTACGGGGGGAGAGGGGGGGCGCCCCACAGCTGTGCACACAGAAGCTCGCGGGGCAGAGACCATTGCAGTAAAGTGCAACAAAAGAGGAGCCGCGGGAGAATGTGCCGACGTACACAGCACCTGAGCGCTCTGAAGGGGCCCCTGGTCTGTCTGCCACTGCTGCAGAGACAGGGGGGGAGAGGGGAGAGAGCGGGATGGGAGACCTCCAATTCAATAATAATAATAATGAGTCTCTCTGGGATTTTTTAACAGCATCCTCAGAATTCTACCTGTGGTTTCTAAAGATAAGATAAGATAAGCTTTATTTATCTCACATAGGAGAAATTTACATGTCACATTTGGCATGGATAGGACACTCAGATTGTGCAAAGGGAGGAAATGTGCAAACATGTTACATGCAGGATATATGTGTACAATAAAAGTGACAATAATTATGTACAACAAAAGTGACACCCTTGGTCTTACTGGTGTTCAAAGAGTGACTTTATTCCACTTCACGTCGACAGTGCAGCAGCCAAATTTACGCACCAAAGTATTAGTCTTTACACAATACTGCCCAATAATCATCTGTGAGCCGGTCTGGGATCAGAAGGCCCAGATATTTCACTTCACTCCAGATATTAAGAACATTACCACCACGAGGAAAAGCAGTCCTGGTCTGGTCCGTCCTGATCTGCTTCTGGAATCTGGACAGTCGAATGACAAAAGCTGCAGAGGTCTCAGCAGAAGTTTTTATTGTTGGTAAAAGACACCAGCAGAGTTTTGCAGTCTGCACATGGTTCTACAGCTGATAAAACAAGGACGTTAATCTCACGAAAACATTTTATATTGACAACTTTTGGTCTGGACGGGAAGTAAACGGCTAGTGCTAAATTAGCTCGTCAAACGCAAAAATATGTATAAAATTTTGCTACGGTTTACAGATAAAAACTAAGAATAATGGTTACGATCGGATAACGGTTAATAGTGTATTAAGCTAATAATGACAAATAACTATAGCAATATTTGTAATAATTTAGTATTTCTGTCAAAAGAAGACAGAAGAGTCAAAAAATAGACAACATAGAAACAATTTCACCATCAGTTCTGGCTTAAACCTAAAGAATGACCCGGATGCTGCAGCTGTAAAGACCAGCTGAGTTTTAACAGTACTGCACCAAAAGTCTCATGAAAGATCCATCCTGTCCTGTGAATGAGATGCATCCGGCTGAAGGAGGGAAATCTGCAATTCTAGTGGCTCCAATTGGCCTGAAATATTAATGCAGCTAAAACTGTGGCAGAGCGAGCCGCCTCCGGAGGAACTCTCATTTCTCACTCATTAAGACGAGAAAGATCGGCGGCTTTCACGCGGCGAGAGAGAGCGGTCTGACCATGTGACCTGACCATGTGACCCGCCCTCAGCGTCAGCCGTGTCCTGGGAGATTTAAAGTAGTACTAGAATTTAATATGCTGCTATCCAGAATATATAACTACAATATGTGTTAATAATTTTTCGGGTGTTCATTTTGACATGTTCAGATGAATTATGTTTAAAAAACAGCTTTGAAGTGGCACCTTTTCACTTCCGCATAGAAACGCTAGGGGGCGCCAAAATGGCGGCGATGACGTAGCAGAAGGACCTCTCGCAGCAGCAGCAGCAGTCTGGGCTGAATCTGTAGGAGGTTTCACTGTCATCTGAACAAGGTATAAACATATTTTCATCCGTTTTGTACATAATAGTGCACAACTCACTTTGGTTGCCTTAGATTTATTTACCACAATGTACATTGTAATATCCATAAATGCTAACACCTATTAACGGTTTAATTAGCATTTTTATCAATGATTGCATCACATGTAGTCTATGTTTTCAACTTCTGCAGCTTTTTGTTCATGAAAGTAAAATATTTATTTAATTCAAGTTATTTTGATTAGCATTTATGGATATTACAATGTACATTGTGGTAAATAAATCTAAGGCAAAGTGAGACTGGAATAATGTAAAAACGAATATTAGCCTTGTTAGCATGTTTTATGATATAAAGTAGAGTTAGCTAACTTGCCCAACACTAATTAGCTTGAATCTCACAAATAAGGCTAAAAGGTTAAAAGAGTTGCGCACTATTATGTACAAAACGGATGAAAATATGTTTATACCTTGTTCAGATGACAGTGAAACCTCCTACAGATTCTAGTACTACTTTAAACATAAACTTTACATTTGTCCTTTAGTCCTGTTTACACCAGTCTCTACTCTACCCTACCCTACTCTACTCTACTTTACCCTACTCTACTCTACTCTACTCTAACCTACCCTACCCTACTCTACTTTACTCTACTCTACTCTACCCTACTCTTCCCTACTCTACTCTACTCTACCCTACTCTACTCTACCCTACTCTACCCTACTCTACTCTACTCTACTCTACCCTACTCTACTCTACTCTACTGTAGGTGGTTGTTGACTATATGCTTTATATAGTCAACAACCACCATGGTGGGTTTGACTGCCATGGTGGCAGTCGAACCCACCATGGCCCATAGGCCAATGCTTTACCAACTGAGCCACTGTCACCCCATCATAGCAACCTACCCACAGTATACCAGTATCCGGGGAAATTCCTTGGTAACCACGGCTTCCAGCATTACTCTGGCCTATCACTATCAGTTAGAACACTTCAGTTCCAGCTCGGCCTGGATAGAACCAGGACCAAGAGGGACTAAAGAAGGACCTGATACTGATTAAACATGACCAGTGGAAACGCAGCCAATCAGAGGAGAGTAGAGTAGAGTAGAGTAGAGTAGAGTAGAGTCGTGCACAGAAATACATTGAATTGAACTTCAACTTAGAGACCAGGTCTGCAAACTAGCTGTTAGCTATACGGCCTATGAACACAGCATCGGTTCCTGTAACAATGCTTCTTGTTCTGTCCCTATCAAATAAACACATAATAATAATAACTTGAGACATCGGCAATGTCCGTGCCAAGTCCCTAAGTTTTGCACCTATGTGTTTAGTCCCTCCAGATGGATCTGCACTCTGCCCCTTTACACCCGGGTTAGGGTTATAAGATCTAATATTTGCTTCGTTTAAAACAGCAGTGAGGGTCAGAGGAGGCGACAGAGTCTTGGGCGTCATATACAGTACAGACCAAAAGTTTGGACACACCTTCTCATTCAAAGAGTTTTCTTTATTTTCATGATAATGAAAACTGTAGATTTACACTGAAGGTATCAAAACTATGAATGAACTCATGTGGAATTATGTACGTGCTAAAAAAAGAAAGAAACAAGTGAAAATATCTTATAAATGTCTTATATTCTGGGTTCTTCACTGCTTCACTCTTGGCATTCTCTGGATGAGCTTCAAGAGGACTTGAAATGGTCTTCAACAGTCTTGAATTGGGCCAGCCCCAAACCATCTGGACTGGGTTCAGGTCCGGTGACTGTGGAGGTCATGTGGCCCAGCACCATCTCTCTCCTTGTTGGTCAAACAGCCCTCACACAGCCTGGAGTGAATCTACAGCAATAGTCATGAAAAGATACTCATTGAATGAGAAAGTGTGTCCAAACTTTTGGTCTGTACTGTACATGTTGTAACTGTGCAGGATTCAAAGTTTTCCACTGCAGACTTTCCACTGCCCACAGCCTAAAAGTTTCTCAAGACATCTGACCAAGCAAGAAGATAATCTAATTCTTTATTCTGTAATGAAGTGAATAAAAAGTGCATAGATGACGCCGAGCTGGGGCAGACGGCTCCAGGGTCCTCCAGCTCCAGCTCTGATCCTCTCCTGAACCCTCCACATGCAAAAAATATGAACCTGAATGAATAAGATATTTCTCTCACATAAATATTAGCCCCATTTCCACCAGCCCTGCTCTACTCTACTCTACTCTACTCTACTCTACTCTACTCTACTTCACTCTACTCTACTCTACTCTACTCTAAAATACTCACAGTATATCTCACAGTAAGAATGCACCTGACACAGTGTTGCAACAGTCCACACAGACAGAGCAGAGCGAGGCGAGTACCACCGGGAGTGTGTTATGAGTCGTTCTGTTCTCGTCACGTTTCTCACTGTTCTCTGTGTTTTGGGAGCGGCTCGGGGCTCGCTGCTCCCTGCGGCCGAACATACCTCAACTTCCATTTGTGGAGACACGAGGCCCGAGCCGAGAAGCAGCTGTCTGTGTCCGTCACCAGCCCCAGTAGGAATCCCCCTACCCCTGCCCTCCACCCTCCACCCCCTGCTTTCTGCTCTTCAGTGTCCTGTCAAACACAGCTCTTGCAGACTCTCAGATCTTACTGAAAATATGAGGCCAATAACACTGATCTAATACAGTAAGTGTTGGCTCTTCCTGTGTTTCCATTTGCAGCTGTCAGCTGTGGCCTGGACATGTCTCTCTAATCCTTTACAAACAGCACACAGTGTAAATGTTGCCTCCTTGATCCCCTCCAGCCTCAGTCGTGGGGCGATTTAGGAGGCATTATCACGGAGGCAGATGCTGAAGATACTTCCATCTCTCTCGCTGAAGTCACTGAGGTTGTTAGGGGCCGCCTCGGTGCCAAGGGCCCGGCTGAGGATGAGATCCGAGACTTACTATCTAAGGTCTAGATGTCAAACCAGTTCCAGAAAGGGCCAGTGTGGCTGAAGGTT